AATAGCTGTTCTTTCTTTTAAGAGTGCAAGGAGTGGAATAATAGGGGCATGACAGGTCAAGATTGAGATGCCTTGGGAGAAAGAGAAGCAGATGCAGGCCCCAACCATACAGACAATGATATGTGAGCAATTTAAGGCTGCAATGCAAAGCATACTTAAAAGTACGGACCAGAACATGGCTACAATCAGGATGCAGAACAAAAGACCTAAGAAGGCTACCCTCTTGCAGGATATTTGGTTGTGGCTTTATTTATTTTTAACAAAACTACTAGAAAATTAACTCTTAAGCAAGATAGAAATAAATGATATACAGATTTTTATTTGTTAACAACAGCTAATTCCTGGTTATCCAACAGTGTGCAATGAAATAGAATAATGGTCCCAGTTGTACTAAAAAATATTAAGAATCTTGCGGGTAGACTAGATACATTCCTATCAACAAATTCTGAAGTTAATTGTTTCCTAAATATGTAATTTTGGTAAATAATAAATTCACATGTCTATTTAATTTTAATAATTTTGGCATAACAAAAATTGTGGCAATATAAAAACTCTGAGCAACGTTTATCTGATATGTTGCTTTGTTACGCGTGCGTTCCTGGACTCACACGTGCACAGCCAGCGCGCATGGATGTTTGTATACACACTGCTGAGAGGTTTTAGGATCTTTTGCTGGAGTTAGGACGTGTGCTTGTTATGGATGTGTGCTAACTCTTACCCTTATGCCCACAAGAAGCTCACCCACAAAAGAAATAAAGAAAGCTTGGTTTATTATAGAAAATAGGCATGACAGAAAATGCTGCTTTAGACAGCAAAGTTACAGTCTAAGCAGGTAGCAAATTACGATACATACACACCTTAATTAAAGAGTAAAAGATTCCCTAACTATTCTAAAGGCCTTCAGAAGCATGGGCATGACACTTTTGCCATAATAAACCCACACTAGTAGAAGGAGGGGTGAGTATACCTGCCCTTAGAGCGAAGCCTAAGTATGCTGAGTCCTGGGGAGCACTGAGTAAGGGCTGCCCTGTTGGAGCTATAAGAGCCAACTAGCCTTTGAATCTAAGCTTTTAAATACCTTTTTGCCAAGGCATGCCAGTGGAAAGGGGAGAGGGTTGTGAAATAAGTGGTTGGACAGTGTTATAGAAGCGACCAACATGAATTTGATGAAACTCTAGGAGACAGTGGAAGATGCTCTGGTCCATGGGGTCACAAAAAGTCGGACACGACTAATTGACTAAACAACAACAACAATTTCCATAAGTCCTTTCAGAATAGTGACAAATGGTTAAAACTGGCCATCCTGTCTGCTTAACAAAAGGGTGAAAAACTTTGATAGGGAGCAATTATTTGAACCTAGGCATCTCTGTGACCTGCCTTCAAATCACCTTCATTGAGGGGATGGATCTCATTGAGGAGTTTGACTATCCTGCACTTGACAACTAAATTTGCATGTGTTGATCCTTAAGTCAGATGTGTGTGAACTCAGGATATTCCTGAATGCCTTTCAGCAGGTGGATAGAGGCTTGTTTGATGGTATCATGGAGGATATAGTGTCATATTATAGTTATCTCAATCTTATGCCCATGCCATGATCTACAAAGATAAACTGTATTCTAAGTTCAGATTCACTCAGAGCTTGTAACTCAAATCTGATCATATTACTAATGCTATTTCCCAGTAGTTTTTATTCATACACTTTATGAAATAGAGTAGGGAAAAACAATGTGGCAGTTGAAAGCATATAGCTACCAAGACAACATTTAATGAACAAAAGCGTCTAATAGCACAAATTAGCTTTCACATGCCAATTGGTTTGACTTTTCTCGGAAGATTCAGGTTATATAAGCACCAGAGATCTAGCAATATGACAAAATTCAGAGAGTGCCAGAGAATTCCATAACCAGATTGTGGGACATTTCTTCATCGCCAATATTGCTTTGCTGGAATCTTTGAAGGCATAGGACAGATAACATAATACAAAATAATAATTACAGGCACAAACCAGCAGCCATATCCAATGCATGTTTACAAAATGGCAAGTCCCACTGAATTCAGACGACTTTCTTCCATGAATGTGTGCATAAAGTAACAGCTGTAGGAGTCCTATGTGCACTCGCTTGGGACTAGGCCCCATTAAATTCAGTAGGGCATACTTTGGAATCAACACACAAAGGATCAACTTACACATCTTATAAATATAACTGGGGCAGTTAATAATGGTGTGCTGGGCCTGGGGGTAGCCCGAGCCACGGGGTCCAGGTCCGATCCTGAATCCAAAGGTTCCACGAGGAGTCAGTCCAACAGGGCCAAGGCAGGACACGAAGCAGGAAACCAGGCAAGGTCAGACACAGGCTCCCAGGCAGGTTCTGGCAAACAGCAATGTTGCTCCCGCAACCTGGGGTGGGATCCGACAGGCTTTTATCTTTGTCGGGGTAAGGGCCGGTCCTGTTTCCCCAGTGACTCACCTCTCTGTCTCGCCTGAAGGCGAGCACTCCTCCTGTGAGTACTCAGGTGTCTCCTTCTCTCAGACCTTAGTCTCTGCAGCTCAGGAGATGTTGGTGGGTTACTAGACCCAGAGGTCACCTCAGCCTCTCCTGACCCAGGTAGTGGAGCAGCTATAAGTGATTGCCCAGCTGAAGGCAACGAGGTAATCCCTGAATCTGGAGCCAGGGCAGGCTCAGGCCCCTGACTCGGCCCAGCTGGTGCTTGTTGCAGGGGAATCTGTGCAGACTGAGGCTCTTCAGAATCAGGCCCCAGACTTGGTTCAGACACTGCCTGAGGCAAAGAATCTGGTGTGGACAGATTCCTCTGGTTCTGAGCCCGAGCCCGAGTCCCAGGCCATCACAAGTGGTAAAACTGGAAATAAATTTGGATAGTAATTCAGATGAAATTCAGTATTTGGATAGTAATTCAGATGAAATTCAGTATTAGTTTCAATAATAATAATAATCCATTTTGGTGAAATTCAGTATTAACTGTGATTAGTTTTGCTCACTGTGCACATTGTGCCAGTATGACTATTTTAAAAATTATGTCATTTTGTTTTATTTAAAATAGTTATATCCTGCCTTTCTATCAATGAATCTCCAGGTGATTTACCATACGTGACTTTAAATCAGTCCATCAATAAGCATCAAATATAAAACACAGAGTAACAGATCAACCACAACGGATAAAAATTAAGCCCCAAACTATTATTTGAAAGTCATGGAAAGTGAGCAGGGAGCCTCTTTGGGGTGAGCATAGACAATACTATTTCTTCAGAGGAGTAGGTGGAATCAGCAGGGCCTCCGTTGCTTGACATAGTGCCTGAACAGGTTCATATGGAAGCAGTAAAGCAGGAACATAGGAGAGCAATGTCACAGCAGCATCTGCTGACATGGTATTTACCAATGTTGTATAGTTGGGGGGCTGGGGGATTGCTCCGGCTTGGCACATGATCCCTTAGGCTAGGCTCAGGCAGTGACTGACCCAAGGTCACCTAGCAAACTTGATGGCTCATCAGAGATGGGAATCCAGGACTTCCTAGCCAAAGTCCAGCCTGCTTACTGCTCTACCAGTCATTGGCAATTCACTACTATATGACTGCCAGTTGATTCTAATAAAATGGGTACTAGCCAATGGGTATTTATTGATAAAATGGGTATTATCCATGCTCTGTGGTATGATGAACATACACACATACAATATCATACACACCGTATGTACGCATTTGTTCATGAACCAACATAGTTATCTTTACATTATCTTTGGAGTGTGTAGCTATGGGAACAATGATGATGAGCTCCTACATGTCAAAATTTATCTCTAGGTATGGCAGCAGGAAGCCTTTAAGGTTATTAGCCCCATACCATTTAGGGCAGGTATGTCCAAAGTCTGTTTCAGGGGCCTAATCCGGCCCACTGGTCGGTTTAATCTGGCCCCTGCGGCAGTTTATTTCCTGGGGTAAAATCCTAAAAAAACCCTCAACAACTTCAATTCTAAAAGAAGCTCAGCAACTTTGGTTGGCCCTTTGGTAGCCTCTTCACTTCATCAAATCTGGCCCTCTTTGAAAAAAGTTTGGACACCACTAGGGTGTTAAAGGTAAGACTAGGGTAAACATATTGATAATCTGTGTTAAATCAGCAGGGAGGAAATATGATCAGAATACCTCACACCAGCATTTATCTGGCGTTAAGAGTATATTGCAGCATCTCAAAGGTTAACAGATGTTCCTGCACAATCTTATATTGGAAGCAAGCCCCACTGAGTTGGAGGGAATTTTGTCCCTTGGAAGTTTAAGAATTGCAGTCTTATTGGTGGGGGTTTTTTTCTGCCTAGAACCAATTTCATCAGATGCAAAATAACGTCTATTGCTGTGGCTGAAATTATCTCTTGAGTTTCCAGTGGTTTTTGTTTATTATTCTTGTTGTAGTAAAATCTAAGGTAAAAATGAAGCCTCCCATTTCTTCCTAAGCACTGACCCCCATGCCCTTGGAGAGAAGGGATTCTGCAAAGATCAACCACAGAAACCAGTACACTTGTATGTAAACTGTTTTATCAATTGTGACCCTAACAGTGCAACCCTATGCATGGCAGGTCAAAAGAAGAAAAAAAAGAAGAAATCAATGGTGGTAGTAAGTCTTACAGCAAAACCAACTGAGAGCCCTGTGGAACGTAAGAAGACCAACGCATTTATTATGCCATAAACTTACGTGGACTCAAAACCACGATATAACAAAACTCGCTAGCTAGGCTCTTTTAAGGAGCCGCGCAGGACTCTTGACTGAATTCCCTCAGCAAAGGGAGAATTGCATAGGAATGCAGGCCGAGCGTATTTATTCAGGAGGCGATTTCGTTGACATGCAAATCAGGGGATAACCGTCGCGCTCACAGTGACCCCCCCCCCGCCCTGAAAAAAACGCTCCCCCCTTTCCTGGTGCTGTGATTTCCAGGAGCTTGCAAAACGCCTTCCACCCCCCCCATCCCCAAAGCAGGCGTTGCATAGCAACGGCGAAAGGTGGCGCCCTCGAAGGCGAGGCCTAGGCGGTCTGTGGGTGGCGGTTGCTGCTGCCGCCGCCAACCTCCTCTCTTCTTCCCCCTTCCCTCTCCCGCTGGGCAGGGCGAGGAGCCCCACACCGAGGGAGACCGGCGCTCTCCCCCCGCCCCTCCTCCGCGCTCTTTCTCCCTTCAGCCCTTCTGTTCCTTTGCTCCGGAAGGAGTTGCCCGCTTGGCCTAGGAAGTTGTCCTGGGCAGAGTCCGGCCCAGAGCGAGGCCTGTGGCTGCCGCTCTCGGGAAACGGCAGCTCTCGGGGTTGGAGACCAGGCAGCGAAGGACTCCTCCGGGCTGCTCCCTTCGGCCACCCGGAGGTGCCTTGGCCTCATGAAGAAGGTAAGCGCCGAAATCTGCCTTGGCGGCGGCAGCTCTCCCCCCCCCCCATTGCCCCGGGCCGGGCGCCTCCATTGCGGGGAGCTCCCTCCGCTTTCTCCGCTCGCTTCCTCGGCCTGGCTTGGCGGGCTGAGGGGGCCGCTTTCTTTTTTCGGCGGCGGGGGGCGGCAGAATGGGAAGGCGGGCTGTGTGTGTGTGTCTCTTTCCTCCTCCCCCCCCCCAAAAAACCCGCCCATTCCCCCTCAGTTGTTAGGAGGAGAACCCGAGGGAGAGAAGCGGGAAGGCGGCGGCGCTTCTTGCAGACACCGGGACAAGGCTCGGGAGAGGGGGCAGAGGGGTGGGAAGGGCGGCGGGTGCCTGAGGGAGGGAGGGAGTGTGTGTGTGTGAGTGAGAGAGAGAGAGAAAGTGCTTGGTGTGCAGAACGTGAAGCGCTTCTGGTGGGGTGAGTAAGTGGCGGCGGCGGACTGGTGTAAACAGTCTGCCGCCCTGACTGCGGTTTAAGGCTGGGCACCTCCCGGGGCTCGGATGGTCCTGTAATCACACGGGGTGATTTGCCTTGGAGGCTGCGACCGTCGAGGTGTGCTGACGCCAAGCGTTTCTTTCCCAGGTGTAGGTCTCAGGGGTCAGCTAGCTTCTTTCTCCTGGTTTTTTGGTTAAGAGGCACTTTGTTCCTGGATCCTATTTAGCTGGGGTGGAGAATAACCTCCATAGACCATTCGCTTCTTCCCGTTTGTCCGTGGGTAAAGTTGCTTATGTGTGTTCTGGCTGTAGAAAAGCAGTGAGTGTATGTATATTGTTTTCACCTGGAAGAAAATCTTCACCTGCCTTTTCATGGCAAAACTTACGCAGAAGTAGAACTGCATTCTTCCAGAATGTTGTCACTTGCATAAAATATAGCAATGCCTTCACATTTTAGCTAGTTACCATCTAGAGATTTTGGTGTGTGTGTGGCCCCCCCCCGCCCCCCTTTGTGCATGAAAAACTTATGGGACGAAATGAATACCAATTGAATCTGAATTTTCTTTTGAGAATATAGGCCTTTTTTCCATCTCAGCTAATGTATAGTGTTAGGAGAAGAACATGGATTTAGGGAAGCAGATTTAAGTGCCCATACAAAGACTTCATTCTGAAAACCAAAAGGAGATGAGGACAAAAAATGATCCCTGGTGTTGGCAGTATTTTGTTCTGCGCCAGCAAATAGAAAGTATTATGATAAAAAATGTGTCCCATAGAATTTTGTATAACAACTGATACAGGGAAGCATACTTAAGTGCTTTTTTTTTTTGGCACCACACACATGAACATGTTTGGGGACACACTGAGATACAGTTGGGGTAGAATTTATTTATTTATTTATTTATTTTTGCTTGGAAGAATGCAATAACAATTCAGTAGAGCCATGCAATACTGAACATTGGAATGACGGGTACAAGTTAAACTCTTTCTTATATTTGAAATATAAATTTAATCTTTAATCACATCAGTGTTAGTTGAGTCCCCTTTGGGGATGTGATAGGTGTGTCCCATGCCTACGATGACAGCTTGCCTTCTGTCATGGACAGGGAGGATCTTGGGGAAGACAGGTGTCTCTTTGAGGAAGCTACTTATCTGCAGTTGGGGGAAAGATCCTGGTAGTGGGTGACCATCATTGGGAACATAGATCAGGCATCCCCAACCTGCGGCTCCCAGATGTTTTGGCCTACAACTCCCATGATCCCTAGCTAACAGGACCAGTGGTCAGGGATGATGGAAATTGTAGTCCAAAACATCTGGAGGGCTGAAGGTTGGGGATGCCTGACATAGATGCTGGGTTTGTGGTAGAGGTGCAGACAACAGGGTGACTTGCCTGTCTCGAATGAAGGTTGCAGATGATGTCTGTTGCCTAGGTAGTCTGGTAGATAGGATTTGGGGGAGGGTCAGTTGTCATGGTGCATGTTGGCACCAGTGACATGGAGAAATGTGGTTGAGAGTTCCTGGAAATAAAATTTAGATTGCTAGGTAGGGTGTTGAAAGCCAGGAGTTTCGAAGTAGATTTTTGTGAAATGCTGCTGATTCCATGTGCAGGGCCAACTAGACAGGCACAACGATTGACAAGTATTGTGTGATGTGCTTGGTCACATATGCAGAGTCTGTCGTCATATGAAACCTTATTGTAGCGGCCATCTGAGCACCATAAAGGCATTTCTTAAGGCAGCAGGCACAAGTTCAATTGTGGTCAAATATCATGCTCTTAAACACTAAATAGCAGGATACCATCTATGGAGATGGTTCAATCTTTTAATGAGAAAGGATTCAAAGGTGTGCTAAAGGAAGATAAGGAAGTTGTGGAGAAGCTGAATGAATTTTATTTTCATCTTGTCTTCACAGCATAAGATAGTTTGGCAGGTCCCTGTAACAGAAAGGGAGTCTGAGGAACAGTGGCAAATAGCAGTGCAATGAGACAAAGTTCTTATTGACAAAAATAAAAACTTCCAAATCACTGGGTCTGGATGGCATCCACCTGTAAGTTCTTAAAGAACTCAAATGTTCTCAACCTTGGGATTGTAGTGGATGGCTGGATGCAGATGTATGTGAACTTAATGAGCAGTAGCTGTGGAAAGTGCAAATTCCATGCTAGGGTTCATTAGGAAGGGCATTGAAAATTGATAACATAATGCCATTATACATATCTTTGGTGTGGTCACTCTTTGCATACTGTGTACAGATCTGATTGCCTCACCTCGGAAAGCTATAACAGAGCTGGAAAAGGTTCAGAAGAGGGCAGCCAAAATGATCCCGGGGTTGGAGCAACTCCCATATGAGGATAGGTTACAATATTTCTGGAATTTTAGTTTAGAAAAAAGATAAGTCAGAGGGGACATGATAGACATTTAATTGCAGGGGGTTAGACAAAATACCCTCGAGGTCTCTTCCAACTCTACAACTCTCTGATTCTATGAAAATCATGCATTGTGTGGAGAAAAGTAGTCAGAGAAAATATTAGAACTCATGGAGATCCAATGAAGATTCAGGTTGGTAGATTCAGGACAGACAAAAGAAAGTACTTCTTCACACAGTGCTTAGTCAAACTATGGAATTTGCTTCCACAAAAGGATACTGATGGCCACCAACTTGGATGGCTTTGAAAGAGGATTAGATTAATACATGGAGGATAAGGCTATCAGTGGCTGTTAGCCATGATGGCTATGTTCTGCCGCCACTGTTATAGGCAATGTGCCCCAGAATGCCAGTTCCTGGGAATTGCTAGTGAAAAAAGTGCTGTTGAGCTCAGATTCTACTTGCAGGTGTCCCATGGGCAATTGGTTGGCCAGTCTGAGGACAGGATGCTGGGCTAGGGCCTTTGGTCTGATCCTGTAGGACTCTTGTGTTCTTATGTACAGAGGGTACAGAAAGCACCCATGTTCCTTAACTGTTGAACTCTTATTTCTAAAGTAACTTGATCTTATTTTTAATTAACTGCCTGTGTTACTTAAATACGCACTTTTTCTAAAGTTGATTAAAAAAAATTCAGGTTGGTTACAATTTTTTAAAGTAAGTTTTTCAGATGACTTCTGTTTCGAGAATGACAGCGTTATTATTATTATTTTTTTTAAAAAGGCAAGGCCAGGGGTGTGGCATAATCTAAGTGATAATCACTAAAATCTTGGAATGCTGAATGAACATCTGGCAGTGTACAACTTGTACAACCAGGTCAATGCAAGTTTATGCTGATACACATTACACACCTGTAGAAAGGTTATTTTCATATGTAATATGATTAACTAATCAAAGAGGTAAGAGCTTGTAAATTGTTTGTGTTGAAGGCTAATCCAATGTTAATGTAGTCTTCAGTTTCCTAAGTTGGACTCAATTAGCTTTTTAAATATGTATTATTTGTTTTTAGTTGTTGTAAAGGTATAAATATACTCATGTGCATTTGGAATTACATGTTTACATTAATAAAAATTAATAAATGATAGCATGGGGAAAATAACATGATCAATATATATTTGTGTTTTAAATTTTTATCATTTAAAGCAATTTTACTTCATAGTCAATATAATATTTTATGTAGATAATTTCAATTAAAAATGTGTGTCTTGCCTAGCTCTGTTGCTGGGAAAGTCTTTGCCCTGAACTTGACACAACCAATTGGGTTGCATCCAGTGCAGCATTTGGTAAAGGATGCTAGCATAAGGGGAATTCCCCATCTCCTGTCCCTCCTTCAACCCCTTCACCCATCAGAAGCTTCTCCTGAGGGTCGGTGGATCTTCAGTTAAGACCTAGGATGTGGTGTAGGGTATCTCCACCATATTGTCCTCGTTCATCCTCCCTGCTTCAGCCCTCTGTGCCATCATCCCAGTCTTTTCTTGGGAATGCCCCAACATTTGATAGGTGCTTTTCAATGGATTGCAGTGGAGGTGCAGTGATGGATTCCCTTTGTGTGAGCTTCGTTGAGTCAGTGTTGCATTGGATACAATCCTGTTTTTCCTGGGTGGAGCTTAAACCCTTGTTCCAGGGAGCTATGAGGGTGCTGTGTTGTATTTATTATTCCTTCCCTTTAAGTGTCATAAATTAGTACTTGTGAGAAGGGTAACTCCATTTGAGCTCCTATCTTTTGGGCTGCCTGGGAACTTGCAGTAGCAGGATCTATGCTTTCTGTGTGCTGTTGGTGCTATGGCGTCATATTGCGTTTGGTGGTGCAGGGTGTGTATTCCTCATTGTGAGTTCATTGGTTGCCTTTATGGGTGGCATGTTGGTGTTGTCAGCAGAGTCCCTGAGTGGTGGATGCTGTTTACAGGAACTCTGCATCTTTAAGGTTTTCTTCCCCTGGTTGCATATTTCCCCCTCTGTTCCTGGGACGAGCATGCATTGAACAAGTCAGCTGCTCTGCTAGCATAGAGGTTGTCATATCTTTGGTCCCACTCAGTGTAATGTGAACATAGTATTACTCTGCACATGTGACATTAAGTGCATGAATTATTCTTGTTACTTCTCTTTAACAATGCCTAAAGACTTCAAATGGAATGGATTTCCCCCCCCTGTTTCTACGGGGCACCTAATGCCATGGAATATTTATTGACTTTGAGTCAGTAAAGACAGAGATGTCATTCAGTGATCTCTTGCCAACTTCAGAGATGGAAGAAGAAATATCAGAGGGTAGAAATATTAGGGCAAGAGAAAAATTGGCTCTTCTTTCTAAGAAATGCCAAATTGAGCTTTATATAAAAAATGTTTAAAGAAAAATTATCTAGTGTTTGCTGCATTACTTTAATGGCCATATCTGCCATTTGCAGCTGTGGCAAGCTGTTTGTTTAGCGGTACAGGAAAGTGAAACAGATTGGATTGCAGAGAATTTATTTTTCATACCTGTCTAATTGCAAACACTCTGAACTATGTGTTTGCAACTAGCGAACATTTTTTACCATCCATTGAATGCTTTCATTTATTTATTTAAAAAATATGCTGGTGGATGGGAGAGAAAAAGCTCCTACATCAGTAGTAGTGATGCCAAATTGGGGGGGGGGGGAAGCATGCCTAGGCAGCTGGATGGGTCATTCCTTGAGAAGGTGGTGTGTGAGCCTGTCAAAGCTACTTAAGGAACATCAGTTTTTATTACTTGGGAAAATGTTAGTCATATAATTGTATTTCATATTATTGGGGCTCCACCATTTTTGGCTGGCTTTGGATGCAAAGTCAAAAAAATGTAAAATCCTTCAATTGCTTTTGTTTGGCCAACAGCAGCCAAATAACCTTTCTACCTCCCTTTCTGTAAGGTCTGGAGCTTGATGTTTTGGCCACTGTGTGACTGAGTTGCTCTGGCTCCAGTTCTTTCACCTAATATTGAAGCTCTGAGCAGGCTGAGATCATTGCCCACCACTACCACTCCGAGGTTGGGAGAAAGGTGGCCAAATAGCATCATCAATGGTGAGCATAGAAAGTAGAAATGTGTGGGTCTGCATTGGAGCTTTTCTTAGTCTGATTCCAGAATGGTAGCCAAGTGTAACCCTAAATTGGCAAGCACACATATAAATGGGGGAAGGTGGATATAGAGGAGTGAATTCAGAGGATGATGGGATCAGGGAGAATAGAAAATGGTGATGTCCTCAAAGGAAAAATAGTTACCCTGTCTAGTTAACCAGGCATTACTGGTGAGTTGGTAAGTTTATTAACAAATATAGTGTGATAACAAATCATAATCTCATTTCAAGCCGGAACTGATGAAATTGAATTGCCTGACGAGTTGCAATTTGGTGGTTTCACATTGCAGTCTTCCTTTTTCTTTTAATTCAATATGGCCACCTTAAGGTCAGTTTCAGAGTGTCTTGGTAGGTTGAAATGTTCACTTACTGGTTTTTGGATATTTCCATTTCTGATGTCAGATTGTGTCCTGTGATGGGATTATGAGCTGCTTGTGCGTAAAATCGTATTCCCTCAGAGTTTGTTCAAGTCCACAAACCTCTGTCTGTGACTGAGCCCCTCTGACATGGCTCCTCTAGTCACTAGAAGATTCCGACAGTGGTTGCTTTCGTAATCGCTTCCAACATAAAAGCTCCTTAACGGAAACACGTCTTCTGGACTCTCTGCGTGACAGTTTCCGGCGAGGAGTGGGTGTCGCTACAGGAGGTCCGGAAACCTCACCACTGTTTTCGCTGGAAGTATCTCTGAGCCATCCCCCCAGCTCCCTTTCCCTCAGTTCAGCTTCTCTCCCCTGCTGGTTTCCTCTTCCGCTGCTGAGTCTCTTCCAACCTGTCTGAGCCCTTTCACCTCCCTCAGTTCAGCTTCTCTCCCCTTGCTGGTTCCCTCTTCAGCTGCTGAATCTCTTCCAACCTGTCTGAGTCCTTTCACCTCCCTTCCTTCCGATGGCAGTTCCCTGACATCCACCTCCCCTCCAGGGCCCCCTTCACCCCCTCTCGCCCCCTCCTCTACGGGCGGTGAGGAGGCAAAACCCGGAATGAACTTCCTTCATCTTCCGATGTCTCGAACACTTCTCTCCACCTGTTGCGGTTCCTGGTCTCGAAGCACTCCTCCTCCTCCGAGTCCATCTCCCCTTCCCCTTCCGATTCTGGGAATCCTTCCAACTCCTCCTCCTCCTCAGTGGTCCCAAAGTATTCCCTCCGGAACCTCTCCACAGGCTGAGGTTTCCGCGGGAACCTTTGATGGAACATTTCTATCAATACCTCGTCATTGATATCTTTGGCCATTACCCACGTGTTTTCTGACTCCGGTTCTCCTTCCCACGCTACCAAATACTCCACCTGATTCCCCTTCCACCTGGCATCAAGGATTTCTGCCACATGACTGCTGCATTCTCTTTCTTCTATGACCGGTCCCAGTGGCCATCCCTTCTCGTCCCCCCTCGTACGGTGACAGTAACGACCTGTGAAATACTGGGTGCAGTTTCATGTGGTTGGGTAACCGGAGCCTGAAAGCCACTGGGTTGACCTGTTGAATGACCTCAAAGGGACCCAACCTCCTGGGTCGTAATTTCTTACAACCTCCTTTGAACGGCAACCCTCGGGTTGACAGCCACACCCTATCTCCAACCCTTATGGTTTCACCTTCCCTTCGGTTCTTGTCTGCCTGCCTCTTGTATTCTTCCTTCGCCCTTTCTAAGTTGAGTTGGAGCTGACGGTGGATTGCTTCCATTTCTTCTACAAAATGCTCGGCTGCCGGTACGCTCCATCTCTCCCCTTCTCCCCCTGGGAAAGCCCTGGGATGACACCCATAATTAGCCAAGAAGGGGCTCATCCCTGTGGACACATTCTCGGCATTGTTGTAGGCAAATTCCGCCAGCGCCAACTTTTCTACCCAGTCATTCTCTCTGTCATTGACATAACACCTCAGGTATTGCTGGAGGACACCGTTTGCTCTTTCCGCCTGCCCGTTGGTTTCAGGGTGCCGGGCAGTCGAAAAGTTGACCTCCACCTGCAGTAAGCTCATGAGCTTCCTCCAGAACCTGGAAGTAAATTGTTTTCCTCGGTCTGAGACCACCCTCAATGGCACCCCGTGCAACCTAAAAATGTGTTCTACAAATAACTTCGCTGTCTCTTCCGCCGTGACTGCATGCGAGCAAGCTACAAAGTGGCACATCTTTGTTAGTAGGTCTACCACCACCATGATGGCTGTTTTCCCTTTGGACTTCGGCAGATCAGTCATAAAATCTATCGACACTGCCTCCCAAGGTCGTTCTGGTGTTGGTAAGGGTTCTAATAGCCCCGCCGGCGCCCGCCTTTCCCCTTTGGCTCGCTGGCACTGCTCGCACCCTCTTACATACTCACGTACATCCTCCCTCACCTTAGGCCACCAAAATTCCCTGGTGACCAACCACATGGTTTTGTGTTGCCCCAAATGCCCGCCGTGGGGCTGTCATGCAACTGCTTGAGTACCCTCCCCCTTAAGTCTCCTTCAGGGATATACAGTGCCCCTTTGTAATACAAAGCTCCATTTCTTTCCTCGAAACCCCTTGATTCCTCTCCCTCATCCCTAAGACCTCTGAGCTTATTCTGGGCGTATTCATCATTCTCTGTTTCTTCTACCAGTTCTCTTTGTCCCACCAATGCCGCCCCACACACCCAGCGGTCCTCTGGAATGACATGTCTCTCTTCGGGTGCTCCCTCCCCCTCCCAATATTCAGGTTTGCGTGAGAGGCGTCCGCCCTAATGTTCTCTGGGCCTGGCACGTAACAAATCTCAAAGTTAAATTTGGAGAATTCCTGGGCCCATCTCACTTGCCGTTGGTTGAGCACTCGTGCCGTCCTCCAATACTCTAGGTTCTTGTGGTCAGTGCACACTTGCACCTTATGTTGTGCGCCAATTAGCAGGTGCCTCCATCTCCGGAACGCCTCATGAATGGCTAGTAGTTCTCGGTCATACACCGTGTAGTTCCTCTCGGATTTGTTCAGCTTTCGCGAAAAAAGCACACGGTCTCCACTCTGACTCCTCCTTCCCTGGCTGGAGAAGCACCGCCCCAACCGCTCTGTCTGATGCGTCAGTTTCCACTCTCATCGGTTTTGTAAATCCACATGCAGGAGCTGTTGTTCCGAGGCGAAGGCCCTTTTAGTTCCTCAAATGCTTGCTCCGCCTCCTCCGTCCAAACGAACTTCTTCTTACTGCTGAGACAGTCCGTAATGGGCGCCGTCAGGTGGGCAAAGTTTGGGATGAACTTACGATAGAAGTTCCCAAACCCTAAAAACCTCTGCACATCCTTCCTTGTTTTGGGTGTTTTCCATTCCAGTACCGCCTGGACCTTGTCGGGATCCATGGCCAACCCCTTGTCAGACAGGCGATACCCCAGGAATTCCACCTCCTTGGTATGAAACTGACACTTCTCCAGTTTCACCCACAGCTGGTTGGCTTGCAGCCTGCTCAACACTTCTCTGACGTCTCTCACATGCTGCTCCTCATTCTCAGAATACACCAACACGTCGTCTAAGAAGGCCACACAATTCTTGTAAAGCAACGGCCCCAGGACGTGGTTCATAAACGATTGAAATGTTGCGGAGCCTGCTTGTAGACCGAAGGGCATAACTAAGTATTCAAATGCCCCTAAAGGGGTGAACATGGTGGTTTTCCATTCATCCCCTTCCTTATTCGTATCAGGTTGTACGCCCCCCTTAGATCCAGCTTGGTAAAAATCTTTCCCTTCCGCACCCTTGTCAAAATGTCGTCAATCCTGGGCATCGGGAAGGCCACTGGTTCTGACACTGCATTTAAGGCCCTGAAGTCACACACCAGTCTCGGCTTGTTCGTGTTTTTTGTCCACAAAAACACTGGGCTGCCCCCACCGCCCTGGACTCTCTGATGAACCCTCTCTTCAGGTTCTTGTCAATGAACTCTCTTAGCTCCTGCATCTCTCTGTCTGACATGGCGTACAGCTTGCCCACAGGGAGCTGTGCCCCAGGGAGCAAATTGATTTGACAGTCAAAGGCTCTATGCGGTGGTAGTTGGTCAGCTTCCCTTTCGCTGAAGACGTCGCGGAGATCTGCGTATTGTCGTGGTACCTTCACGTTCTCCGTCACTTCAGTCCCTGCTAGAGTGGCTTGGGCCCCTGCCAAAACCCTTCCCTCTTTGCAATGTTCTAAGCAATGTGCTGACCCAAAAGAAACCACTCTTTGATGCCAGCCCACCAGCGGATCATGTAACGCTAGCCAGCTCATCCCCAATATAATGGGAGCTCCTCCCAAGGTGGCCACATTAAATGCTATTAGTTCGGTGTGCCTTGCCACCTTCATTATCATTGGGACGGTCTGCAAGCTGACTTCTCCTCCCAACAGCTCCCTGCCATCGATCGTGGTTACCTGCAGGGGTTGCTTAAAGGAGCGTCTGTATCTGGTGTTCAGCTGCAAACTCTTTGCTCATGAAATTGCAGGAGCTGCCTGAGTCCAACAGCGCCTTTATCTTTAGAGGGTGTCCGTTTGGCAGCTCTAGTGTCACTTCTATCACTAGGGCGGGTTTAGGAGGTTCTGGAGTGGGCACTTTCACTGCTCTTTGGCCTGGCTGCTGTGCCCCGACAATGGCAGCCAGGCGTTGGCTTTTAGTTGCTCCGGTATTTTTCCTCTCTTCCCTCCACAGCTCCCACCATCCCTTGCCATTCCTTCCTCTGGGGGCAGACTCTGGCAAAGTGCCCTGGCTGTTGGCAGAGATAGCATTCCCGGGCGCCTTTTCCATCCTTCTTTCCCCCTCACTGGGCTTTGAAACTGCGCGCGCGCGCTGTTCCGATTTCCATCGGCTCTGCCGGCGGGACAGTTGGCTCTGGAACGTCTGGAATGCGGAACTCCTTCCAACGTTCCCCTTTCCCTTCCCGCCTCTCCAATGCTCTCGCCTCCTGGCGCGCTCCTATGGCCAGCGCTGATTTGGTCAGCTGGTCCATAGACTCCGCCCTGGGCGCCACCACTACTGGCCTTGACACCTACTTGATGTCATCAGTCCATGATTTTCTTACAAAGAAGGAATGCAGCAGGGCATTGGAAGATACACCAGTGAGTAACATAATGTTGTGATTGACATTCTCATTGCCTGAGTACATGTGGGGACAAAGTTGGCATCTCAGTTTGTTGCCAAATTTGGTCCCTTTATTTGTGTGTTTGTTATGTGGCCTGTTGTTGCTGGTAAGTAGTTTTTTTAGGCTGGCTTGGTGGGCTGGCTGTAATGAAGTACAGGTCTACCATCCAAACCTTTGAGAGGGATGTGTCATTTTGCAGGATAGGCGGTAGATCATTGACACATTTTAGTGGTTTAGCTGGGAGCAGTAGGTTAGAACAACTGAGGTTCTGTATTTTTTCTTCTTCTATGGCTCTGCAGTAGTAGATTATTGCTGGGTCCCATCTGGCCTTATAGATCTGCTTTCTCACTTCATTTGATAGGTCTAAACTGTAAGCTATCAGAGTCTGTCTCATGAATCTGAGCAGATGGAGTTGTATCATACATGCAGCTCGGTTGTAGACAATAGATTTTGTGTTAACATTCTTGATGGAAGATGGAAGCAGAAGAGTATGTGCGGTTGCGAATAAGTTTCAATTGTAATGTGTTGCTTATATGTGTGTTATGTAGTTGCAAAGTAACATCCAGAAACCTGTTGCATAGAATGATCTTAGCTCAGGTTTTTTGTGAGGTGAAAGTTTTTGAAGTCATAGTGGATGTTTCAAGGTATATGTTTACAATTTGCCGATACCTACTACCTAAGATTTTCAGATCCTTGTTTTGAGGGACTTCTCCAAGCTAGAGTAGAAATTTGGACTGTACTCACTCTTCTCTTTCCCATTTTTAAATGGGATATTTACAGAGAAGGGCAATTTTCTTAATCAGTTTTCTTAATTATTGACATGTATAATATGCTTTAGATTACGGTAACTGATCTGTTAGTTACTAGTAAAGGTACCTCTGCCTGTAAGGGCCAGTCGTGTCCGACTCTAGGGTTGTGCGCTCATCTCACTTAAGAGGCCGGGGGCCAGCGCTGTCCGCAGACACTTCTGGGTCACGTGGCCAGCGTGACGAAGCTGCTCTGGCGAGCCAGCACCAGCGCAGCACACAGAAACTCCGTTTACCTTCCCGCTATAAAGTGGTCCCTATTTATCTACTTGCACTTAGGGGTGCTTTCGAACTGCTAGGTGGGCAGGAGCTGGGACCGAAAGACGGGAGCTCACCCCGCCGCGGGGATTCGAACCGCCGACCTTCTGATCGGCAAGCCCTAGGCTCTGTGGTTTAACCCACAGCGCCACCCGTGTCCCCTGTTAGTTACTAGATCATGCTAATCTGTAACAAATTAAAAACATGCTACAGTGATATTTTTTTTAAAATTAAAAACAACAACCTTAGTTTAGTGGCAGGTAGCTGCATTTATCTTGCAAAAGTCAAAGCCCATAGTCATGATTATTGCTCACTTTTCTCATGGAATTATAACATTTACTTACTACCCTTTTTCCTGCTGTGACTTCAGCTTAATTGTTTATTTTTAATAACATCTATAACAGCTTTGTTACAATAAGCCTTTGTTGGCTTATTGTTGTGATTAACCTGAGAATTACTCACCTAGTCACAGCCTGGGTGGTGGCATATTTAGACTGCTGGAATTCAGATGATTAAGACACAAGTTCAAATTCCTGCTTAACCAAGAGATTTAATGAGTGACTGACCTGCCTTACTTTCTCTCGGTTTATTTTACATGTTAGGATAGTAGTGGGAATAAAATGGTGGTGAGAGGACAACTATGGAAAGTCAGGATAAAAATAATCATACCAATACTCACAAACACACAATAGAGAACATACAAAAAAATCTGAGCCGGGTGCTCTTAGGCAAAAGCAAAGGAAAATGAGCCAGCAATCGACTGCAAGCTCCCAGGGATCGACCAGTCGATCCCGATTGACCTGTTGGACATCCCTGTTCTAGTAGATCCCGCTATGTAGACATGGGGTTCTCTTCTGAGTAAGCATGTTTTAGGATGGAAGTCCTTGGATTATATAATCTTTTTTAAAAATAAATATTTCACTTTTAACCAACTACTTAAATAAATGTGTGTGATTCATCAGGGTTGTGTTTTGCTTTTCCATCACAAATATGTACAAATGCTAGTCACTGAAAATGTCAAAACTTGGATTTAATCCAAGAACTGAAAATAGTGTTAGCTTTTATGCACTGAAAAATATCAAGCTTTCCTAGTGGGGAGGGATAAATAAGAGACTGTATTTGAGCAACTAAGCACTTAGGTTCATCTGTGCCAAATGTTTTTCCAAAGTAGGTTGTATACTACACCAATTAAAAAGATGTAGCTGCAAGTGGTTTTAGGTTTGTTTGACTTGTTCCTAGGAGGAGAAAAAACTAAACCATGGAAAAACCTAAACAATAAGGTCTGAGTAGGGAACAATAGCCTGCTCTCAGTGTGAATATTATTGGAATAATATGCATGGACTTCATTAATTGCCTGTTTAAATGTCCTTATTTGAGTCAGTTCCAAACATGTTTTGAGGAATCTTAGCTGAGAGTGGGCTGTTCAAGGGACCATACTGTTTGTTTATGTAGTTATTTATTTTGACAAAGTCCATCTGAGGTTACACTTCTAAATACTTCAGAAGTTTTATGTAACAAAATAAAAGCTTTGTTTTTAAAGTTTTTGTTTAAAGTGTTTTTACGTTTTTATTTATACTCTGCATTTTATTTTCCAAACAGAAACCCAGAGCAACTTGGAACACCTCTTGCAGAGCTATTTTGTTTTTCTGGTATTCTGTGTCAGCTGATGGGTAGTTAATTTTTGATAATGAATTTTGCCATTCTCAAAGAATATTTTGAAGAAAAAAAATACCAACCCATTGAATAAATTTCTGGGGGGGTGGGAAGTGGGAGAAGGGAACAATATTGCAAGAGAACAATATTTTTCCAGCTCGGGACTGAAATATTGACAGTCCAGTGATCCTTAGGTAACTTTATTGGCTTTATTGTGTTGTATTTCAATAAGGGTGAGGTTTGCTTAAATTAAATTGTTGTAACTTGCCCTGGCACATCATGGTGAAGGGTGGGTAAAAAATCATATAAAGAATAATAGTATTAACTAGTAATAATTAATGTAACCATTTCCAATTTTGACAGCAGTACCATAACAAATAGTCTGGTTGGCAGTGAGTGATGATGGCTAGCAGTATGGCTTTGCCCTCTAAGCTTCTCTACTTAAGTTTCATTTGGTCAAATCTGTTCCATTATCCCTTTTTCCAGCCCATTCTGCAACTCTTAATCATTGGCCCTGAATATATTTCAGGCAGCACAACAAGACCTTTTTATTTCAGCAAGTGGAAGATATGCGAAGTAGCCAATGAAATGCTTCCATTAGTGTAGGTACTTCTGGCTATGCAGTGGAACTTCTTTTCCCTGTACATCCCCTAAATATGTTATTGGGGTTCTCCCAAACCTTTGGAGCAGATTTGGGGAGAGTGTGGCAGGCACATGGGGAGATGGAGGGGGAAGGAAGTTCTTCTTGTGGTAACAGAACTACTTGGATACTGCCCTCTGTCTTTTAAGCCCCCCACCAATTCAAATTTAGCTTGGGGAGGAGCTGTAAAAACTATGTTTTTTAATTCAAAATGAATAATCTGTAAAAAGGTAAAGGACCCCTGACAGTTAAGTCCAGTTGCACAAGACTCTGGGGCTGCGGCGCTCATCTCGCTTTATAGGCCGAAGGAGCCAGCATTTGTCCGCAGACAGTTTTTCCGGGTCATGTGGCCAGCATGACTAAGCCGCTTCTGGTGCAACGGAATACCGAAACCAGATAAACACACGGAAACTCCGTTTACCTTCCTGCCAGAGCAGTACCTATTTATCTACTTGCATTTTTGTGCGTGCTTTTGAACTGCTAGGTTGGCTAGGTTGGCAGGATCAGGGACTGAGCAACGGGAGCTCACCCCGTTGCGGGGATTCAAACCACCAACCTTCTGATCGGCAAGCCCAATATGTAAATGTCTAAGCTAGTTTGAATAGCACGTTCTCAAAGGGGTTTGCAGAGGATGATGATTTTGACTTTGCCATGGTTTCCTACAAAACAGATACTGTACATTACATTAATATGAAAAATCTCAATGAGAGACAAGTTTATCAACCTTCACAGTAACTGCACAGCTCTTTGTCTTCTTCATGTCAGTGTATTCACAGTCCTGAGAATCTCATCTTTAAAAAGACTCCTCCTCCTCCTCCTGATTTTAGAGCTATCTGAACACTTGCAGATGCTGTTTGTGACAAGCTACGTTGCTCCTAAATGGGCTAGGTGGGTGAGCTTGTGTGCCATGCAAAGTTACGTATTACTGTTTTGCGCAGTTGTTAGCACCCTTGCTCTTAACACCATCTCTTTATCATGAAAAATGTGTAGCACAGACAAAAAAAAATCCCAAACCATAAATTTGTAGAAGTAATGCAGAATAGGAGTTTAGCAAATTACACAAATGCAGGAGAAGTGTAACATTAAGAGTGAATGCCTAGTTCATTTTTTTTCTTGGTGTGGAGATTCTATTTTTTTTTAAGTGCTTAGTGCGTAATTGTCTTCACTGTATGTACCCTAAGAGTACTGTTTGTACAAAACAAATTGTTTCTTGCATGTCTGTTACAGAGTTAACCTTTTGCACACCTGGCATGACCAGTGGCTTAAAGAGATAAGCCAAAGAAAGACCCCTGTACTCCGTAGAGGTGTGGGTGTACCGTTTGCGCTAGTTGTATAGTTAATGTGACTGAGAAAGCAAGTGAATAAGTAATTAGAAACGATGCAAGGTGAATTTTCATGGAAGATAGTATGTGCTGGGGCCAGAGTTGGAGGTTTTGGGATTTTGCTCCTAATTATTGTTCGCAGACAGCCTCGTATCAGTCTGCGTCAGCTATGAATGACAAAGGTGGATTTTTTTCTGTATTTCTCTTTAAGGATAGGTGGAAGCTGGAAATCAGTATATGAAGTGTGTGTTCATGAAATGTAGAAGATCAGAGTGAGAAGAAATTTGGACTGTTGATATGGAAAAGAACTGTGCCTTAGTTGACTGATGGACCGTAGTTGACTCAAAATAAAGTGGTGGAAGTTTAAAAACAAACAAGCTACAAGAGAATAAGTTTTCTAACTTGACATGATGTGACATGATGCCCAGTAGGGCATAGTGACTACATTTACTTCTCAATTGCATAGGATATTGGAGGTGCAAAAGCCACTGCCCTGCCATGTGTAGAGAATTGCTGTTTAGATATTGCAGTGCTTTAAAGCCAAGTCCAACAGCAGACTTTTTCTAATGTTCTTGTGTCACACAATAACACCACGACTGTTTTAGTTCTGTTGCCTGATTCCTCAGCAGGCTATACATACTAGAGTCTAGACTAGTGGTTCTCAAACTTCCCCTCCATGGACCACTTGAAAATTGCTAAGGGTTTTCGTGGATCATTTAATGACATTTCTGCCTGCTGTAGCAATTACGGTGCATTTTGCTAGATGCTGTATGCTTTTTATTGTATTTTCTTGCTTCTTTAATTTCTTCTATTGTATCAAATTATTAACAGAGATGTTGTGGGCCACCTGAATGAAGCCCATGGATCACTGGTGGCCTGCCGACCACAGTTTGGGAACCCCTACACTAGGCTGAGGGTTTAGAAGCATTTCTGGATCAGCAGCTTAATGGCCTCTTTCCACCTTTGCCTGCTTGCTTGAAAGAGTTGAAATTTCAAAGTATCATTCTGCAATATGTGGAACATTACTAGTGGCTGGAAGAAAAAAAGAGTAAGGCTATTCAAAAGCATAGCTAGCTCTGGGCCAGGAACAGCCTAGTAAGACTCTTAAAGTACATTATACCTTATAAATGTTATCTTCAAACGTGTTTACGTGCAGAAATAGTCCTTAATCTGAGGCTCATGTCTAAGAATTTGAAACATTCTTCCAGCTCTGATCTAAAGGCTTGTACAGTGTGGAATTACTAATACTGTAATCCACCTCCCCCAGTATGTGGAAGTTTGTTCCACTAGTTTCAACAGATTGACTTTGTGTCATGTGTTTAGGAATAATGATGCAAAGTTTTCACCTAAAGTAAATCGCAAGGGATGAATCTTAAGTTCTGTTTAAAACCTTGTGCACTCCACTCTGGTTATTTTTCAGACATGAACATCTTTTCTTTTCTTTCTTTCTTTCTTTCTTGTGAACTTTTGTATTGCATAAAAACAGATTGTATTTATCTGAAGCATTTATACCCTGCTCATTAGCAGAGAAGACTCCCATAGCAGTGTACAAAAATCAGTAGTAAGAAAGAATAAAATGATTGTTTCATGACACATTCAGAACAACAGCTTCCTTAATACCTGTAAGAGGCAGACTTATCAGCATTTCCATATACAGTATAGCTGATTTGATGTTGAGTTCATGGCATTGCTGCTATTCCGTAAATGATCAAATTTTTAAAAAGTATAGCAAGTTTATCTTAATATTAAAAGCGATGCCTTTCAGATGAATTATTGGTATATTCTCCACTTTGTTGCACTAGCATTAATAATTTGAAAATCAGCTTCCTAAAGATTCACCAGGTGGCAATCTTGGAAACCACAAGCAAATTGAACCATTATTAAGACAGTTGGGTGAGAACTTGCCTTAGGGGAGTTGCCGGTTAGTTTTCTACCTCTCCAGAACATATTCCATTCTCAATGTTGGAGCTAAGCACTGCTTGCTGGTGAGTAATTCACGCAGCTGATAGGCAGACTTCATACCTTTTAACTACACACTCCATTCTTCTTGGAGCCTAGATGCTGTTTTTTCTCAGAGAGGTGGCAAGTGTGAACATCAATTTTCCCTCCCTCCCACTTTTCCTAACCATTGAGACAATGGCTGTCTTTGAACCATGGGAGCAAAACCAGGTCTTTGGTTTTTATGTACCTCTTAGTGAATAGGGCTTGGGGCCTTTTTGGTGGCTGTGCCCAAAGTTTGGAAGTCCTTCCCTGGGAAGGCTGCCTAGCCAATTTCAGGTGCCCTTCCACTTTCTTGACAAAGACTTTAAAAAGCAACCTAGACAGGCTGGTTCAGCTGACTTGACTTCTTAATTTGCAGCTTGCCTTAATAGGTTTTACAGCTCATCTTATTATGTGCGATGTGGCTTTGATTTGTGTTCTCTACTAACTATAAAATGGACTTACTGTATTTTTATTATTACCATTAGCCACCTTTGGTACTATATGTAGAAAGGCAGCTATAGAGTGGAGATAAGAAAGAAAAGTTGCTTGCTGCAGTCATATCAAGTGTTCCTCCATGTCTACCCATTTCAGCTCAGACTTACCCCTGAAGTCTCACTGGACTTCAGAGGCACTGAAGGTGCCCTGTCTCTCCCTTCAGGGAGGCATAAAGCTGGTGGCAAACACAAATTTTGTTGTTATCTAATTGGAGTAGGACGCTGGTGGCGCTGTGGGTTAAACCACAGAGCCTAGGACTTGCCGATCAGAAGGTCAGCAGTTCGAATCCCCACGACGGGGTGAGCTCCCGTTGCTCAGTCCCTGCTCCTGCCAACCTAGCAGTTTGAAAGCACGTCAAAGTGCAAGTAGATAAATAGGTACCGCTCTGGCGGGAAGGTAAATGACATTTCTGTGCGCTGCTCTGGTTCGCCAGAAGCGGCTTAGTCATGCTGGCCACATGACCCGGAAGCTGTACGCCGGCTCCCTCAGCCAATAAGGCGAGATGAGCGCCGCAATCCCAGAGTCGGCCACAAATGGACCTAATGGTCAGGGGTACCTTTACCTATATAGAGGAGGATGCATTGCAGGGGGTTGGAGTAGATGACCCTTGGGTCCCTTACAACTCTATTATTTTATGACTGTCAGGAGCTGGGTTCATAAGTCTGTGAGTGTTCCTTCACAGTGTCCTGTTTAAAGAATTTGAAATGGACAGATGGCATATTAGAATGGACCTTTTTCTGTAGAACTAGGGATTTCTGGCAGGATTCTGCTTTGTATGTAAACAACAAAGATTGGCATGCTTTTGTGGCTAGACAGGGAAAAGAAAGCTTATTGGAGGTCTGCAAGGTATTTGAAGACTCCCCTTGTCTCTCCCAAGTAGTACTTGGTGCTGGACAAGCGGTAGGATAGCATGTTGGAGCTACTTTTGCGTCGTCACAGTCCAACAAGGTTAACTCACTAGTTCCTGTAGAGGCTGCTTTTGGCCAACAATACTTTCCAGAAAATTTGGGGTTACACGAAAATATTCGTATGGGAACTGACTTGGATTATCTTACTCCTTAATAAGTACTTTTGGCATACTGTTTCTGTCAAGGAGAGGATTCTGGCACCAGCAGTGAAAATAAAGAACTGCTTCCAATTCTGTGAATCTTACACTGTTGTTAGATGACACACTAGTCCTCCTATCAAGTTCAACAGAGCCTAAGCTTAAATATCTCTTTGGATTCTAGAAGTATCCAAACAAGAAATATTCCCCTCCCCACCAGGCAACTACTTTTATCTTGAGGTGTCAATGTCCTAAGACAACTCTGTATGCAGCATGAAAGCAATTTCAAGAGAAATGCAATGGACAGTGAAACATAATGACACGTATTCTGTCCTTGCAATTACTTTTTCCTGAACAGTTTGTGGATTTAATTTTTTGATACAGAAAAATGTATTGACTGCCAGTAAACTAATAAGAAAAGCAAGTAAGAATGATTTGAACTGGATATGGCATGGTTGCCAGAATGGAAGGAGAGGATCTCCCTGATGTGCAGCCAGATTTAGGAACAGGAGACAAGAAAAAGCAGGTGACTGGCTTTTGTGTGTGCATTATTGTAAATGGCATAAGGCCCAATTTTAAGTCTGCTACTACTTCTTTCTGTGTACTGCAATAGTAATAAACCCTGTTTGACTCAGTACCAATGTTTACATGTTTCAGTCACATCCAGTAGAGATTATTGCTTGTTTGCTTTCATTATTGGTTGCTTTGACAGTCAAGATTAGTATGCTAGCACTGTAAAGTATAAGAACTCTCAGCATAAAGATTACCTCTTGATAGGTGTGGGAAGGTTCCCCCCCCCATACTCTTAAGACATTTCATATTCAAAAAAAGCATGTAAATAGAAAGCAGAATGCTTTGGCAATGCCTACTTGTAGGTTGTAAAGTTCTTTGCATTTGTATTGTGTGCTTTCCAGGTGGCGCACAAGTGCTTAGTTGATATTAACCTCATAAAATCCTGTTAAAAATCTTCTCCAGTGTCTCTACCACTGTTAATGGAGAGATCTTCACAGACTTAAGAAGTTGGCCATCCTTCTTTTCAGAGCCATGGAGTGTTAGCCCATGCTATGGCCTTGTACCATTTGATTATCTCAGCAATAAAATTAAGTGGTTAGCAAAAGAAATTATTTCTACCTAATCAAGTAAAGCCTAGAGTGCACTAAACTGGGAGGGTGAATGGGCAGAACTGGACATCTTTGAGCACTTGAAATAAAGTTGGCTCATTATCTGTATTTGTCTGGCAGGGACAGTTGGAGTATTTGTAATTTCATTCCTATCTTTATTAAGAAAGGACCTCAATATCTGGACTGCATTTCCCCCTTCTTTTTACCAGTAAAAGCCAAAGCAGACAAATTGTATTCTATGAGATAACTTAGTAACTGAAATGTGTTCCTATAATCTTGATTCAGGAAAAATACATTTTTTTGGCTACCAGAAATTCATGAAATGGGGTTTGATAATTTTTTGCAGAAGGCTTCCATTCATATTTACAACAATCTGTACTATAGATGTATGCAGAAGACAAAAGAATCTGATTGCTTTTGCTATGTGTACTTAAAAAAATTAAAATGGGTTCCCTTCTCCTTCCCTCTTATATTTGAGCATAAGTTTTTAAAGCTTTGCAGTAAGTTTGTATTTCTAAGAATAAAACAGTGTATAAATAATCAGAGTAGTTTAAGTTTGTATTTTAAAAAAATGTGTCAAAATGAAAACATTTAAATGGGGGTGGCATTGAAAAGTACAAAGCAGCAACTTCTCTGGAATTGAGAGAAACTATTCCCAACTGGTTGAACAAACATTTTGGTTGCCAGCTAGGGCTGACTTTAAATGGACCAGCTGCCTGTGTCAGCAGCATAGGGTTACCAGGGTAACAGTGACTGTTTAAAGAAGAATGTAGCTGAGAGGGCAAGTTTTTGATCTGTGAGTTAAGGGAAGGAATTTGGTGTGATCATGCATCAGCCCTCCTAATCACACACACTCAAGCACTCAAAGCTATGTGGGCGGTGTGTAGCAATTTACAATTCTGTTGAAGCTTGTGTGAGGCTTCCAATTACTTCATTTTCATAGGAGCCAAAGCACTTGGAGTGTACTATGAAAAACAGTACATTTGTGATTTTGAGGAATAGTGATGAGGGACTCACTGCTGTATGTGACGCGCAGTTTGTAACTGCAGAGATAATTGATACCTCCAACCTCTGGATTTTGATGACTTGGCTTTCCCAGGGACAAGGAACATTCAAATCCATCTTCAGATAACACTTATCTCAAAAGGAACTGTAGATTTAGTCATATGGATTTTTTATATTACTGGCTTTTTTGTTACCTAAATTATTTTATTTCTAAATGATATATTCAAAAGATAGAGATGAAAAGATAAACTAGGCAGTTATCTATCTATCTATCTATCTATCTATCTATCTATCATCTATCTATCATCTATCATATTTATAGACCACCCTTCACCTGCAGGTCCAAGGGTAGAAATACACAAAATTAAAACTAAAATCAATAAACTATATTAAAACAAGCCAACATAAATTACATACAAACCAAATGGCAATAGCCGAACCTTCTCTCAAAGCCCCCTCCCCCTGCTGATGTGTGTATTCACCCGATGATAAAATGAGAACAATGTCATGATACGACATGGTTTAGAGGGAATGTCATTGCAGAGGCGTGGGATCACACCCATAAAGCCCACCCATGAGTCCCCACCATAGCGATCTTATTGGGTAGGAGACCCTAACTGGGGTTCTCCTGTAAATATTAGCACTCAAGCTGGACAATATGAAAGGACACTGGGGTGTTGGACTAGATGATCCTTATGGTCCCTTCCAACTCTATAATTCTGTGATTCTAATCAAAGTTTGTAACCCATATTAACCAAAGGAATATTTCAAATGATGAAATGGTGCAGGCCTTGTGAAAATGAGTTAAATAACCATTTTAAGAATTACTGTATGTTGTTGCAGCAGAAATGTTAGAATTTGAAGGAGCAAACATGAAGTGAGATTTCTAAAAGTTTCAGACTTATCAATAGTGTAAAAGCTGTTTCACGATTTCAGCTTTTCTCCTTCAGAATGTTGGATTTTCTCCTCAAACTGACAAGTTCAACTAAACTACAGGCATTTTTTAATCAGCTGTTCCAAGGATTAAACTGTGATGTTAAGGTTGGGGGAAAAGGTCTTGCCTCTTCTGAGACCTTTAATATTACTGGTATTTGAGGAATGTGTTCATAAAGTTTGAAACTGAATGTAGTCTCTCTTTCATGTTCTGAAAACAGGCAGCTTTGGCACTTCGGTCTGAATCTTAGTAAATACCTTATTTTGTTGACTTCTCTCAGTTTATTCATTATACAGTACGTTTAAGCATCTTCTTTGTATTCTGGTACAAGAAAATTATAACAGTCACTTATTGTGTATTAAAACTTTAGACTGACTAAAGTGGTGTGTGCTTGTTTTTTTGTTTTTGCTAGTTCTTCTAGTTAAAAAAAAGTCTTTAAAAACTGGCAAATCTAATACTATCTTTGTAAGTTTCTTCAATTCCTGCATTCCTTCTTAGCCTTTGAATGAAAAAATGGCTTGGTTCACATGTTACAGGAAGCCAAACTATGGCTTGCCATGAATGACCAAGGGTGCTGCTGGACAAATTGCTCTTGCCCTGCTCTTCCTTTTCCCAAGGCAGAATGAAACAAGCCAGAATGCTGGCTTGTTTCTCTCAAAATAAGCCACAAGAGGAAGTCTTGGTTGAAGAGCCAGGCCCTCTCTGAGAAACAAAACAATCTTTAAAATCAGTATTCAGTGCATTGGTGGTTAACTGCTTGTCTGCTAGATTTTGATCTAGTGAGATGTAGTTGGCTTAAGACAGCAGGTTTTTTTAAATCAATCACTTCTGTTAGTTTAGGTATCCCTAGTTTCAGTGACTAGAACCAGGAAGTATGCCCATGATTTGTTTCTCCCTTTTTAGCCACTGGATATTTGTTTCCTCCAATAATGATGCAAATTATTTTTGTTCTGAGTGAATAGGACGGCACTCCATATATATTTCTAAAAGAAAAAAAAAGGCATTTTGTTTGCAGAACTGCCATTCAGGGTCCAGCATTTTAAAATGGATACTTTCCTATAGCAGTATAATGGAACCAAACATTCAGTTGCCAGCTCTCTACCATCATCTGTGCTTAGGTTTATCAAAATAAATAATCACAGCCTTTTCTTCAATTATAGTATTCTTCAATTAAAATAAATATTGTTGCCCTGCATTTGTAGTAGGCAACAATGAATCTAGGAATTAGTCAAAGTTAAGAAACTTGATTATCCAAGGATCAGACTAATATATTTTCACCCTATCATAGGATAAACTTCATAGGCATATTCTTTGAATGGTTGACTCACATTAAGCAACATTTGCTTTTTAAATCCATGGTAACTATTGCCCATATTGTTACTCTATAATTTATGTGTGCTCTGCAACAGATAAAGCTGAACAGTTTGTTTCACCAAACCTTTAAGTAAGGTTTGACAATGAAAATGGCACCCTCTTGTGAGTCCCTTAAGAAGACTCTGGTGACAAAGAAAGGAGACATAGATATTTTTCTGTTTGTGATGTTTTGAAAGACTGTGCTCTAGAGCAGTGTTTCCCATTTTTTTCTGATCATGGCTCCCTTCCAAATGTTTCCTTCCTGTGCCCCCCCATCCTACTGGTAGAAAGAGGTGGGGGGGAGATGGGGGGGTCGGGTGGCGATGTTTCTATTTTACAGTGGTACCTTGCAAGACGAATGCCTCGCAAGACGAAAAACTCACAAGACGAAAGAGTTTTTGGTTTTTTGAGTTGCTTCGCAAGACGAATTTCCCAATGGGCTTGCTTCGCAAGACGAAAACGTCTTGCAAGTTTGTTTCCTTTTTCTTAAAACCGTTAATACCCAGGGTTTCCTATGGGAAACCGTGCTTCGCAAGACGAAAAATTTGCAAGACGAAAAAACTCGCAGAACGAATTAATTTCGTCTTGCGAGGCACCACTGTACTTACTATATGTAGGGTTTGGTGTCAGCGTTGCTTGTGCAGGTTCTTTGCTGTTCCCCTTGGCAACATCTGAAGGCCCTGATCTGCTAGACGCTGGGGTGGATTACACCCCGCACCTTGCAGAGTCAGGCCCAGGCTGCCACCTGGCCCAGCGCTGGCGGCAGCTACAAGCAGTGGGCAAAATGGGAGCCTCAGCAATCACTCTCTCTTGCTGGAAACAAACCAGGACTGCTCCAAGAAAATGCAGGTGGCAAAAAGGTAGGCTGCCTCTTGGTGGGATGCCCCCTTACCTGGTTGTGATTGGCCAAGCAGATAGCCAGCCAATCAGGATTTCTTTTTTTAAAAATATTTCTTTTCTTTTCTTTTCACTTCCCTCTGTGACCTCCTAGCCCCCTGCTGTGCCCCCATTTACATAATGTTCACCTGTGGCCCCCTTGGATTATCCTGGCCCCCCGGGGGCCATATGGCCCCCCAGTTGGGAAACACTGCTCTAGAATTGTCGATCAGATGTGTGAGCTGTATAAAAAAAGCAGTAATAGCTGTGTGTAAACTTAGAGAACACAAACGAAGCCTTCCAATGCAATATAATTATGCAAGATGAAAGGAATGCCCAGTGGGAATGTTTACTTTAGAAAACAGTAATGCTTTATTTAATACACATAATTAAACAGCTTTTTGAGTGAAAAAAAAAATCTTCTTATAACAGTGGCTGTATAATAAGAACCAGGTTCTGATCTTGATAATTTGGTCCATCTGTGCTGAATTAATTTATGTTTACTACAGCCTTAGCAGAAGTACTTGATTTTAATTTACATAACATGAAAAGAACTGACCCAAGTATCTGTTTAAATAGAAACAGACTAGATTGCACAAATGAAGGGTGGGGCTTAGTACTTGACACTGAAGCAGAAACAAAAATGTTGAATGGAGCTTTGGTAAACCACTGTTGGTGACTACAACACATATTTTCAGCTCTTTTGGAGGATAGCATCAAAGGAACCTGAGAATCGCAGAATTGTAGAGTTGGAAGGGACCTCAAGGGTCATCTATAGCCAAATCATTGCAATGGAGGAATATCAGCTAAAGAATATTTGACAGATGGCCATCCAACCTCTGTTTTAAAATATTGAAAGAGCGAGAGTCCACCACTTTCTGAGATAGCCCGTTCTATGCTCGATCAGTTCTTACCGTCAGAAAGTTCTTCCAAATGTTTAGTTGGAATCTCCTTTCTTGAAACTTGAATCCATTGCTTTGGATCCTACACTGGATTTGCACAATGTTAACCCATTTTTTTTAGTTATCAAAAGGCTTTCATTTAATGGAATCATATTTTTGCCCCACCCCAAATATGTAATGTTGACAGAATGAATATTTGTAATATTGCAATGCAAGTTAACGTGTAGTCGGTACATTTCTTCTTTTTAAAGTGTGCACATTATATTCTGCTTCTGAGAGAAGTAGACCTGTTACATCATTACCACCTTGTGTTGTGTCAATGGGAAAGGATGTATATATTAGCACCTTTTATGGGGGAGTAGGTTAAATATTATTTTTTTTACATTTATGTCTCACATTTCTTCCACCATGGATCCCAAGATAGCATACCAGTGGTTTCCTGTCACTTACCAGACCTGATTTGCTTTTGCAACATGGTGACTGCAAGTGCTATATGTGAGACTCATCTGAGATGTTCTCTAGTTGCACATTTGAACAAGAACTTCTACATAATACTGCACCAATGTGTAGTATATTCTTTGAAGACGTAGTTCTTCTAAGATAGCAACATACAGAACAAGCATAGTAAGAGGCTGACTTTGAGAAGATAGTGGGAACAAATGCTAGGAGAAAGCAAGAAGCTGAAAGATCTTTGCTTCAGAAAAAGACTAGGCAACAGTCCCCAATTTACACTCAGAGAATCTGTATGCGAATCTAGCTCAAAACTGGAAGAGAGGAGTTGATAGATGTTTGGAGCAGTTCTGAAGCTTTATGTGATGTCAAAAGACCTCCCCTTTCCCTTCAATGCAGTGCTAGCTACTTATATAATTTGGCTGCTTCAGTTAGCCACTTGGATGCTTTTCTAGTAGACATTGCAAGCGGTGAGCCAGAAACCTGGTGGAATTGTTGAAAAGTAAATGTAATAATTGATCCACACACCCCTCCAGCAGAAGACATCTTTGCAATATCTTATGCTGTCTTTTATGTTATTTGTGTTTCTCGATTAAGTAGCAATCTTCAGTTAAAGAACAGAATGGTGGTAAAAATACTGTAACAGCAAAAAATATAGTGTTTTTATGAATTACCCCTTTTAGAATGAGTTATGGCCAGCGCATATGTGCACACTTATTCTCTGCAAATATGACTTATCTAATTTGTTTTGCTTTCGGAACCAACTTTTATTCAAAACAGCTTTCTTGAGCCTCTATAATAGTCTGTTTTTAAAACTTTGATTTTTAGGTCGTAACTCATTTATGTGGAAGGGCGACATGTTGTTTTGAAGTATGACAGAAGTACTGATGCTGTACCAGAGGCTAGAAATATTAATGGCCAAATCTAGGTGAGTGTACGTACCTTTGGCCGGATGTTTCTCTTCACCACCTTCTGAACTTGCCTGAATAGTTAAAAACCATGCTCAAGGCGGCTTGCAACATGAAAATAAATACATAATTACAAATGTAGTAAATAAAACACATCGAAAAGTTCACAACCAAATCAAACAATTCAAATAAATCATAATAAGATCTAAAAAGAAATACAAAAAATACAATACAATACAATACAAGAAATACAAAAAAATAATATGAGTAACAGCAACAAATACTAAACAAATCCCCAGGCCAAAAGTCTGTTCAGCAGCCTCAACTTTTGTAGCTGGAGGTCCCAAGCCAGGTGGAAATAGACCAGCAAAGCAAGGAGCAGGACTTCCAGGATCTTATTGTGAGTAAGATCCAGTTATGTCCACTCACTTGCATAAAATGAAGTAATGCAACAGGACTTCCAATTTACTCCTGGAGCAGATTTGGGGGGAGGGGGGAAGGAGGACCGGGGAATCCCACTGCCCCAGTGGGCACTCACTCATGCCATGTTGGAGCTCACCCTATAATGTAGTTTTCTACAATACATGCTTATATTCTGTCTTGACATTGATGAACAATGGTCTTTCTTCTGCCAACTTTCTTTAATGGTTTGGGTACATAGTCAATTTATATGTTATTTGCATGTTTGTTTTCATTTCTCTTTTTGAAATGCATTCTCTTTTACTTTGGTTTTAGCAATCACATGGTCTTCTAAAGAAGTCATGGGTAGCTGTTGTAGCTGTCCAGATAAAGAAGCAGTCCCTGATAACCATCGAAACAAATTCAAGGTAGGGTTTTGTCAGATTATGTGGTGGCAGGTTAGGGACAGAAAATGTGAAATCAGTTGGGCAATTTGGAAATGTTTGGATTTTTCTTTCTCTCTTGGTGGACTTGCTTTTTAAGTAGATAGGTTGTTCAAAAATAAATTAAGCCATAGTATTTGTATTACATATAGTAACCGACTCTTGTCTAATTACCACAGAGACAGCCTAGATTTCTGTCTTCACATCTCTTAGCATTATTAGCTAAAGATAGTTAACCACCACTAATAGCCAGTCTTGAGGGAGGGTGGAAATATATGTGGCCTGCATAGTCATGGCCCCATGTTAAGAGGAAAATAAAATACATTTGAACTGTATTATATCAGGAAGCCAAATTTATTTGTTAGTTTTATAGATTTATTTTATAGTTTTAAATATTTGTAAGAAATATTTGTTCAGTAGAGTTAGGTAAGGTACATAACTGTGGCTTAATAAATTGATGTTTGCTTTAAATATATAGTATCCATTTTATTTTATAGGTTATTAATGTGGATGATGACGGTAATGAGTTGGGTTCTGGTATAATGGAACTTACAGACACAGAACTAATCTTGTATACCCGTAAACGGGATTCTGTCAAATGGCATTACCTCTGTCTGCGCCGTTATGGCTACGATTCCAATCTCTTCTCATTTGAAAGTGGTCGAAGATGCCAAACTGGACCAGGTATGTATAATAGCTTTTTGCTTGTTCCTATAGAAGACCTAGAAAAGAGAAAGGGAGAGTAGTCACTAAACACCTGTATTTTGAACAACAGTTGGTCTAAATTAAAACAAACAGACAAAAAACCTCCCCTGCATTTTAATGAAATCCAGGTTAGTACTTCCTACCTTTCTGAAATCAGAAAAGGATTTATTCAGATCACCAAGTAGGAACCTTAAAATGATCAATCATCACTTAATACTTCAACATGCTAGTAAGACCTCTGCAGTGAACCATATCTTACCTGTCTGAGAATATCCTGACTTGTATAAAATGGAGCTACTTGGTTCACTCAGGGAAATTGCACTAGCCTTGTAGTTTACTTTGACCTTCTGACCATCTTGCCATACTTCTGAAATACCCCTCACTTTCTAAATCAACTTCCCCTGTAGCATGGAAACACAGAAACTGGGTTGTTTTTGTTGGGGTATTTTTTGGGAGGTACTAGTGCTGGTGGTGGAAGATATTGGATTACAATCGTGTGTCAGAGACCAGTCAATTGCATATTGAACATATTGCAGCACTTATGCCAAAAACTTGGATAGATTGCTTGTTTTCTTTAAAATATGAATAGCCTACCTTTGTGCCTCAGGGCCTCCAAAACTACTTACAATAATAGAATATCAACATACAAGAAAGCAGTTGGACAGAAGTTTAACTGAAGGAGTATAACAAGATTGCAGAGAAGCTAATGGATGTTTGATATCATTCTTGGCTATTTAGTACATATCCACACCTGAATCAGGGTTTTTTGGGAAGGGGGATTAGAAGGGAAATAGAGGTGACAAGATATGGAAACTTGACAAAAAATTAACAACCCTCTTAAAGAGGTCAGATGTGATATTACTGATGATCTAAAAATAATAGGCAGAGAACTTGTCACTAAAAATGGGCCTCCTTGCTAGAGAAGTGGAAGGAAGCCAATGCCACACATTTTAAAAAGGGAACCAATGGACAGCCAGGAAATTACAGGCTTATTAGCCAAACCTCCATCCCAAGTAAATTGGTTGAAGGCATAATTAAACCTAGACTTATTAAACATGCTGAGTGGAAGCCAGCATTGCACAAGCAGACTTCTTTTTGCACAAAAGGACCTCACTTTTATTTTCTCTCTCCTGCGTGTCCTCCAAATCTGCTCCAGAGGGCTGGGGAAGTCTCTGAAGCAAATGGGAGTATGCTGGTGGGAGGAGTGGAAGGTGGAGGCTCGTTTTGTGAGCAGAAGTCCATGCATGGGCACCATTGGATACAATCCATAGAAGAACATATTTGAGGAAGAATCAGTACTGTATGGCTTCTGAAAAAGGAAGTACTCTCAAAGCTTTGGTGTGCTTTGGCAAATATGTAGATAATCCAATTGACATGGTATACTTGGGAATTCCAAAAAGCCCTTTACAATATCCCTCTTCGAAAGTGCTTAACTTTTTAGATTTTACATTTATATCCTACCTTTCCTCTAAGATGCTTATGATTCTCTTCCTTCCCATTTATCCTAGCAACAATCATATACTATAATATTTGGTGATGGCTATTGTTTTACATTGCTTTTAAGAACCACTTCATGGATGCTAGTTGTGCCATTGGCTATTCTCCACACTGAAAGATGCTCAGTTGTTGGGGAGAAATAGGAGAGGGTTGCTGCTTTCATGCCTTGTTTGTGGGTTTGATTGAGTTTTGGAACTCACATAAATTGCCTTATGTAAATCGCATCTCAGCTCTAACCTCTCCCCTAAAACTTTGGTATGGATGAGTGATATAAATTGGAAACATTTGTAAATCCTCAAAAGTGCAGCGCCATTTTTATTGCTCATGATGGTTTGGTTTGTTTGTACTAAAATTTATCAGAAGAATCTTCAACCATTCTTGGTTAATGTTTGAAAGCAAGTATATGTATTTGGAGACAACTGTTTAACAATGCTTTAGATCCCCACTTAATCCTCATTAAGTATTACTAAATGTGGCAGAATGAAGTGTCTTTATATGGTTTGTTTTCTGTAACTACCAAAAATTATCCTCCTTCTCTCCAGCCTGTTGTGTAAGCATCACTGTTCCGACCTGTGTGAGGGACTGTGTTTATTTGTGGTGTTAAGTGTTGCTCGATTTAATAGCAATCATAAGGAGAACAATTTAATTTCCCAACAGTGTAGTGTATATTTAAGGTACCCAAACATTATGAGCTACAGCTTCACAGTGTCGTCTCTAGTTGGTGGGCCATGAAAGCATTTTCAAAGGTCGTATCAGTTGAACCATAATTCTTAAAATGCAAAGCAGACCTCCATAAAAAAGAAGATATCTACCAAATAACAGTGGAATGCCAAAAATCTTACAATTATATTCTATTCAGAAAGTGGTCACAAGTACATAGATTCAACTTTTAGATCAACTTCTCTTGAAGCAGGCATAAAGAATTGCTGTGGGGAATGAGCATCTTCTCAATCAGTTCAGTTATGGCTGTTTTCCTATGTGCCCCCTGATTCCTAATGAGGTTCAGATGACACTATTGGTTGCTACTGGGAAAAGTCACATTCTCTCCCCCCCCCCCAACAAAGTAGTATTGTGTTCCATAAAGCATATTTAGGATTGTCATGACAGTTGCATTAATACAACTTGTTTCTATATAACAGGTTAATATGTTAGTTAACCAAAAGCATTGCTGTAAAACCTGTGTTTTGGGTGTCCCTCAGTGAGAGCATCAGTAATGGTGGTAGGCTTTCCTATAAAATAACCTGCTAGTCATTTCCTAAAATGCAGGGACAAAGAGGAATTTGATTTTTGAAAAATGTTTCTAAATTCAAAAGTCAGTATTCAAAACAATGCTTTGTATCCACTGAAGTTTACCTTTTAGTGCCAGGGCTTCTGCATTTTGCAATGGAGCTCCAGCTCCTTTTCCCATGTGTGCTCCAAATCTGTTTGGGGGTTGCCTCAACCCTCAGGAGCAGATTTGGGAGAGGAAAAGGAAAGAAAGTTGCAATGCCAGGTGGAAGTCCTTACGTTAGTGGGACAACTGGGTTGGATACAACCCACAGTTTCACAGATGTTAAAGGATATAATTAGATGAGTGTACTGTGTACCAGTTATACCACAGAAGAATGTTGGATGAGTTATAGGGCTTGTGTTTAGTTCATGCCTCTGCAGATGTTCAGGGCAAGTGCTTAGGGTTCGTCAGTAGATGTTCAGTTGGGAAAGAATTGTCTGTTGTCTGAAGACAGAAAGTTCAAAAGCTGTTGCAATAAAATACAAGAGCTTCCAGTGTTTCATAGTCAGAGCAGAACCATTGAAATGGACTTGAGTAATTTTATTGATGTTGGTAGGTCTGCTCCAGTGTTTCCCAGACTTGGGTCTCCAGCTGTTTTCTGACTACATCCCTGACCTAGGTCCTGCTAGCTAGCTTGTAGTCCAAAAACAGCTGGAGACCCAAGTTTGGGAAACACTGGTCTACTCTAAGTATGGCTAACATTGACCATGAACCACTAATTGTACTCAAAGCTCATTAAGAATAGGATTCCATATCTGTTGTGGACAAATTTTGGTGTATTCATTATTTTATTTAGCAGCTACCTTGGAAAAATATGGACTTTTTGTAGCACTGTGGATCACAGTCCATTTAGTCTGAAGCATTCTCTGAATAGGTTTTATAGCATAAATGAGTTGTTGAGCACAAGTGGTAGACAACTGTGGAGATGATGCCAAATTTAGTTGATGAATAAATACATGAATATTTGAGAGTGTGCATGACACAATTAGATACTGTCTAGAAATTTTTTTGTTATTATATTTGAATTTTGCTCAAGGTACTCCTGCTCTTAACACACAACCAATTTACTAAAATTTTCAGGTTTTACAATCTGCTACCACACCTAATTGTGTTGGCTGAAACAGAGTAGTGGACAATAGTGTTGATATGTTAGATAAGCTAAAGCTCAGCAGTAGCAAAAACACATACTTGTTAACAAGAATGTCAACTTTAACTTAATGCTTTCAATGGAAGAATAATCCAAAGCTGCCAACTGCACTGGTTCTCTTTGCTGATGATGGTAAGTTGGGCTCCCTCTGCTGTCAAAAGACAAAGTGGAACAATACTAGAGGAAAATCCATGGTATTGTCTACTTTGTTTCTGTGTCTATCCTTGAGACCAAAACCAAATTGGCTTTGTCTGTATCACCCAAATCTGTTTTATATTCCTTCTTCCCTTAACCTTCACATAAACTTGTACCCTTTGTCAGATCCTTCTTACCTCTTTGTATAGGAATTTTATATTGATTTTGTTACAAATATCGAGCAGAAAATCTGAAATACAATTTTGCTGCAGCAAAACCGTGCTCTTTCAGGGACTACTGCTTACCAATAAAGTTTTGTTTCCTGAATTTTCTCTCTCTGGTTATTGTTGCTTTATCCGCATTACCTTTTGTTTAAATCTGTGATCATGAGTAATTTAAAACTTTTCAGTATATATATAAAAGGGGTTTAACATAATTTAGTTTGATAGGTCTTTTTTTATTAACAGGTATGTGCTTAAATGGACTGTACAACACCTGTTATTGGAAGCTTACTTTATTCATTAAAGGTATCTAACAGATTCTATGTTGTTGTAGGAATATTTGCCTTCAAGTGTGCTCGTGCAGAAGAATTATTTAATATGTTGCAAGAGATCATGCAGAATAATAGTATAAATGTGGTTGAGGAGCCTGTAGTAGAAAGGAATCCACATCAAACAGAGATGGACGTTCCAAGAACACCCCGCACACCTACCAGTAAGTTTCTTTTTTCTGAGTGTTGAATATGACACTTGAGCTCACTTGCCATGTTCTCATTTGAAGTGTCTTAAAATTCATCATAAGATTTAGACCTCATCGATTTCAGATGGTGAATATCTGCTATTATTTCCCAAGCATCCATGCATGCTAATTGGTTGTTACAGCAAATAATAAAAGAGCGCCATTCAATACAATAGGGTAACTGGATTTTCTTTTTAATCAGCACCTGGGTTGAGTGGGCAGAGTCTACCCAATGGGTATCCAAGGTATCCTTCCTATGGAGATGCTTCATCACATCCCTCCAGCAGACACCCTTCCGTAGGGAGTGCCCGTCTTCCTTCAGTAGGCGAAGAGTCAACACATCCCCTGCTTGTAGCAGAGGAGCAAGTAAGTGATTTGGGGTTTGACTTCACAGTTGTCATTGTTGTTTAGTCGTTTAGTCGTGTCCGACTCTTCGTGACCCCATGGACTAGAGCACGCCAGTTGTCATATCCCAGTCTTAATTCTCTTCCGCTTTCTCATGATTGCTGTGATAGTATAAATTTCTATTGAAATTGTTGCCAGTCTTGTTCTCTACGGTAGAAGTGCTCTGAAGCAGGTTTCTGGACTGAGTTCATGTTGCCTTGTACCTACCCCTTTGGGATATGACGGAAAATGTGGTCATAAGGAAAAATGGAGTAAGACAATGTGTGAAGTAGCCATGTGACCCCACAGCTGACACGCTATTCTGTCTTTTGCAGGTCCATACATATGTGAATACAACAGGTGTACAGGAGGAAAGAAAAAACAGGCCAAGTGTGCGTACACCTCTGGAGCGAAGGGTTTCTAATGCAGAAACAAGCAAGGCAAGGGAAGATGAAACTTGTCCAGATGATAGAGATGCCCAGGTCGTACTGGAACCTGAAGGAGTCAAATTTGTTTTGGGTCCAACGCCTGTCCAGAGGCAGTTAATGGAAAAAGAAAAAACTGAATCCAGTGGGAACAGTACTCAAGGTGGTGGAAACAGTACTGAAACTAGTGCCAACAGTACTCAAGCTAGCGCGAGTAGTAACAATGAATGGGACACTGGGTACGACAGTGACGAACGCAAAGAAGTTTCCTCTGGTAACAAAATAGCGTATGAAAATGTAAATAGGTTGTCTATTCCTGGTGCCCCAGGACTCAGGAGAGGTCGTCTGATATCATCCAGTACCTCTGATACCCAGAATATCAACAATTCCGCTCAGAGGAGAACTGCATTGCTAAATTATGAAAACCTGCCATCTTTGCCTCCAGTTTGGGAAGCCCACAAGTTAAGTAAAGAGGAGGATGACAGTTTAGGACCAAAGACACCATCTCTGAATGGCTATCACAATAATTTAGACCCCATGCATAATTATGTCAATACAGAGAATGTGACGGTGCCATCAAGTGCTCACAAAGTAGAATATGCAAGACGCCGGGACTGTACCCCAACGGTCTTTAACTTTGATATTAGGCGACCAAGTTCAGAACACAGGCAGCTCAATTATATACAGGTTGATTTGGAAGGTGGCAGTGACTCTGACAACCCTCAGACTCCAAAAACTCCTACCACGCCACTTCCACAGACTCCAACCAGGCGCACAGAGCTGTATGCTGTGATAGACATTGAAAGAACAGCTGCTATGTCAAGCTTGCAGAAAGCACTGCCACGTGACGACGGTACTTCTAGGAAAACTAGACATAATAGTACTGACCTGCCTATGTGAGCCTGGAAAGCATTAGTTAAATCATTTGCACCTTTTTGAAGTTTTTTTTAAAATGAATGCTCTGTTTTGATTTTTAAATGCTACACCACATGTTATAGATCGATAGATTTTTTCTGAATGCTTCATGTCATGTGCTTATTTAAAGGGAATTTAAGATAGAAAGAGTATTGAATAACACTGTTTCATTTTACAATGGTAGTTAACAGCTTTCAGACAGTGTTGCCATCTTCTTATAGTGCCTATTGCATTGGCTGAAAGTTGGATAACATGCCAGTTCTGGCAGACTTGGCCATGTGCCTAAAGTCACTGAAGGCATTATGACACTTTTTTTAATGCCTCCTGAAACTTCATATTAACAAGCAGGTCAGTATTTTCTCTCATAGCATAGGCCTGTAGATTCACATATTCCAGTTGAATTTATGGCATCATGTGGCATCAACGAGAGAGATTCTGGTCAGTTTGGGTTGAGCCATAACAGGGTACAAATTCCTTTTATCTAGCATGTGTGGGCTTAATGATGGTCTGGCACATAAATCAGTGCTTAGTTGATGGGAGAGGATGACAGGCAGCTGTCATCCTCTAAAGCCCTTCCAGTAGGAGCAGCTTGTGACGGTCCTGCACTGTGTAAATCTATTAATAAAGTCAATTACTAAATTTGAAATTTTAATACTGAGTAGAGTGCCATTACTTACGAGTGGCTGACTTGGGAGGGATGAAATCAGCAGTTTCATAAATATATTAGAGTATCATTTAGCACTTGGTTTCAGTCCTTGAAATAATGACCAGATGCACTTTAAAACCACTGACCATAAATCCAGCAGGTAGTAATTTTTTAAAAATGCTGTTTTGTCACAGATTCATTTGCACTTCAGAAAGACACTGTGTTGCAGTTCAAGGTTTTGTTTTTTGCTTTTTGCTTTGTCAAATCAAAAGTAGCAGTGACTAATCTGAAGAAAGTGTACCATTTAGCAGGGAAGTAAGATAAACTCACACTTTTTTGTGTGTAAAGGTGGCATAAAGAATATGGTATGGTACTGTATTGATAAAGAGCTATAAATTGTTTTTGGCCAGGATGCAGTGGATGGCATTCCTGACTTTACTTTCTGTTGGAGCCCTCTTTGTCCCATTATGCCCCCCACCCCACAAAGGGCTGCTCCCAGAAACCTATTGAGAGCAACATCCCATGCAGCTGAAAGAAAAAAATCAGCAACCGTTCCATGTAGATGCAGAATCACTATCTGCTGCGGTTGCACAGAGCTCTTTGGATTCCAACTTAGATTTGTTTCTTCAGACCATCCTGAGAAAAGAGCTTCAGGATTGACTTGCCACTGTCGCATGCGAGAGGTCACACCAGGGTTCTCTTTACGTCAGTGTTCCCTTTCATCACAATCTGAAATTGGCCTTGGCTTAGATCCACTACAGACTTCCAAGTGGCAGCTTCAGGTTTTTCCTGTACAGTTGTACAGATATTTGTGAAGTAATTCGCAATTACATTTAATGTATGGTCAGATCTTTCCATTCTGTAAAATGTCTTTGCTCTTTCTTGCTTTTCATTTTGCGTCGCCATCTCTCCTATACAGCCTTTAAGTTGCATACTGTTAATTCTGTACATAGCTCTTGTTCATTGTATTTTATATGTTGCCTTTTGTTCAATTTCCATGTTGTTATGGGAAAGCTTTTGGGGAGGCTCACGTATAATATTGTCCCTTATCAGAAAGGCCTTCTTTACTTGCACAAATGGAATGGTGCATTATAGATGTTTGAGTACAAACAGTTCCCTGGCACCTTAGAGAGGGGCGTATAGAGATGTGAGCATGTATTGGCTTCTTCCAGATAACATTTGCAGGTCAATGTAGCAGTCAGAATGCTGGGCTTGAAAAGATCCTATGCTTTACCAAAACAAGCCGGTAAAGTGGTTGAACAAGTAATAGTTTGCTTGAGTTGGATAAGGGCCACAGCTCAGTGGTAGAACACATGCTTCGCTTGCAGAAGGTGCCAGGTTCAATCCCTAACATTTCCAGATAGGTCTTGTCTGAAACCTTGCATAGCCGCTCCAGTTCATGCTGTCAGTGCTGAGCTAGATGGACCAATAATGTGACTTTTGGTATAAGGCAGCTTCCTATGTTCCTGTCTGCATCTGGGTTCTGTGAAACAGAGATCCCAGTCCTAAACATCTGCAATGGGGTATCTGCCTAGGCTTCTAAGCATGAAATCCTTTCAGTGCTGCCATAATGTGCTTTTTGTGATATGGTTCTGTTATTGACATCAGTGTGTTCCATCATAAGTTTTGTTTGTCAGCAGAGTAAGTCTTTGAATGGAGGAGCTACTGAATATGCAGAGAATATCTGGAAGTAATATCTCTGGATATATAAATGTAACCCTTTTTGTTTGCTAGTTTAACTATCACTGAATATTCCCGGTATGTCTGGCATCTGCTGATCTTCCCTGGTAAATTTATCCAGTCGTTCCTCAGTTTCACAGTAAAAGAAGCTTGCAAAGCAACACCACAGCAACACAGAGTAGCTGAGCCTGCAATTGCAAAGGAAAAAATAGCTGTTAAAAATTGGTGTGATACCATGGAGAGATCTAACAATTTCAAGACATTTTAAAGGATCCTGGGGGCAGGGGTGGGATTCTGGTGTGTTTTCCTCACCAGAAAAAGAATTCCAGAAGTTATGTAAAAAATGGAAATATATATATATATAAGCGTACTATCTTATCAAACATAAACTTTCCTTCTTTAAAAACACAAAATGTAGTATGTTTTAGAACATATTGGTACTGTTTAGTTTATTTATGAAATTTAAAGTTATAAACATCTTTATTTTATTTAAACAATAATTGCAAATCTATCCAGGGTTAGGGTGTAGCAGTTTAAAATTCCATGTCGAAGGTACCTTGCCAATGTTCACTTGGAAAAATAAGGAAAAAATGAAATGAAATACAGTATTGAAGCGATCAATATTGTAGTAAACAAAGGAAAGCATGGGCTTAAAATAGTATTGTAAACTTAAATATTTTCATGCGGAAACAGAATATGCTATATTTTAAGAGAGAAGCTCTGGAAGTACACTTTCCTATAATAAAATAGCAGATTTACATTTGGATAGTCTGTTAATAATATATTATAGGGTTATTATACTTAAACAGTTACTATACTTGGAATCCAGATCCATGCAAAGTTACAGACCAGCTCTAACCCCCTGATCTGTGCTGTAAAAGGGATTATAATATGGTGGAGGTATCCCATCTTCCAGGCTCCACCAGTGGATGGGCCTAGCTGCTGAAATGGTGATGAATGAGTAGTTAATGCTAGTGGTGTTTCTGCTGTTAATACCAAGGGTAGGATGCCCAAACCAGGACATTGCTAGAGGGAAGGGGGAGGCACAGCTAGCAAAGTAGCTTAAAAATTAAAATCCTGTCTTCCACTCTGGTCAATTCTGTGCTCTGCCGTGTTCCTACCTGGGCAGGGTTAAGATTTCTCTGTTAATTGGCTTGAGCGTCACTGAATTCAGTGGAATTTGCTTTTGAGTAAACATGCATAGGAACAGCTGAAGCATTCACTGGAACTGCAGAGAAAATTATCTCTCCTGAACAGTTACTTGTTTTATTTATAGCCCATATGATCTCAGTAAATATAATTGCAGATAGTAGCATAACTTTGTTTTTTTTTGCTCTGAAAGATCCATAGGTTCTGAATCTATAAACTTTCAATTGGAACTTCATGGACTTCAAACAAGGACCAATTTCCTGTGAATTTTGAATTAAGTCTTAGTGTGTTGCTTTTCCGATCATAGCAGCAGTGATTTATCACTAACATTTACTACCTTGGTCTGAGAGATTTTCAACACTGTGAACTGACTGCATAGTGATTTTACTTTAAAACTGGTTTTTAAAAAGTATTTTCCTCATTCTGAAAGAAAATGCTGCATACTTTTTTTCTATGTTTCCCAAAACTTTCTTGTAGATGAGAAACTAACATACAGGAAAAATGCATATAATTCAGGTTTTTTTCTTTTGGGCTGTCACGTCTCTATATACATTTCCTTCAAATTGAACAAAACTATGTTAACAGATCAATATTTTTTTTTTAAAAAAGCTAAGTGTCTTCCAAAAAAGTTGAGTTCCATACACAAACCCTCCAAAAAAATCACTTAAATTATTGTTTTGGCTTAGTATATAAAAAAGACTCTGGCAAAGCTGCTTTTCTGTTCAGTTATAATATTGCCTTCATTTCGATAACATTTTAAGAACTCAGCTGCCTAAAAATACCTTCCTGCTCATATTTATATGAGAATGTAGTCAGATATACAGCTAGAATCTTTCATGATGGAAATGACAGAAGGAATGGGACGTTGTGAATTGTTTTGGAAACAAATTATTTCTTTTTCTCTGTCCATCAATGAATGGTGCTTGGAAGTAAATAACCTGGTACTTGAGAAGTTAAGGGACTATTGATACTCTCTGAAAGCAACTGTACATTGAATGTGTCAGAATAATCTGAAATCCTGTTAAATACATTTCAGCTAACTGGATCCTGATTGGCAGTACTGCATGGTGTTAAGCTCTATAATTTTGCTTGAGGAAAATAGGTATTATGAAATATACAGTAGAATGTAAAAGGAAAGAGGATACAATCATAATTTATTTTTGAGAAAAGCTTAGATGTGATCAATTGTCTTGCATTGTTCCCCTTAATCATCTTTTGTGTCTTATGTACCTGAACACTATCTCCTTGCATGTATGTTTGAAAGAAACTAGGGTAGCTCTTTATCCTTTTCTGACATCCGAAATAGCTTTCATGGTTTTATCTGTCTCTTCAGGGAGACAGTGTGTCTAATTAGCTGCTAACAAATGACAAGATATGCACTTTATTGGAGACTCATCAAAGTTGGGATGCAGTCATCATTAGCAGATTTGAGTCTCTGTTTGTCATCAGTATTAATGTTTGCATTGGATCTGCAATGTGCTTAGTAGGAGAGCACTGAACACATACTTTTTGGAGAAATAACTTGCATGATGTTGACATTTCCTCCACAATATCCTGCAAAAAGTGGCAATAACCTTTCAGTAATACTATCTATCCACATTTTTTTTTGCCTGAAAAGTACACAAGACACCATTTCTCTGCTGTCTTTATATTATAACATTAGCTGTAAATCATCCAGTCATTTGGATATCACAGAAGGGCACAGAGTAGGTCACCTACTGCTTCATTTTGAAGTCTTTACAGTGTAATAATTTTAATTGTGAAAAGTACAAGACATGATGTTATAGGTTGACATACTTGCAAAAACAAGGTGCTAATGAACATGTGCATATTCTGGAAACTCCTCAGTTAATACCTTTAAAATCATAAATCTCACTCTCTGAATTTTACATCTCCAGGGTTTTTTGTGTGTGTCAGCAAAATCCAAATTCTGTTGTTACACCAGTCAGATGTGCATATGCTGATTTTGCATGCTTTCCTAACAGAACTGTATTTTGGAAGACCGTAACAGAATAGAATGGGAGGGCTAATTGGATGGAGGCTATTTAGGTTTGTAGACGCAGGTGTCGAGAAATAGGAGCAAAGAGCTGTGGCAGGCACTAAAATGAGGTTCCTAGGTCACAGGAAGTCCTGACTTTCCTTAGATAACATAGATTTCACATATTTCCAAGCTTTTTTTCAGCTACCAGATTCTTTGAAAACAATAAAAGAAGCTGGTACTGATTCCCAGGGTGCTAGATTTCTGGGTCCAATTGTACCTTTTCTGCTTGTGCAGCAGTCATGCAGAGATACTGAACACATACTCAGCCTTAACCACCTATCACCTGGACAGGATACTCTGCTGAATTGATCAGTTGATGAGCCCAAGTTGAATAGCAGTCTAGTAAAATGTGATTTAAGAGAATAATATTGCCAACCACCTTTTTATGTCTACCTATTTTTCAGTAAAGTGCTTTATACTAAAGGCAAAAAATTGCCACGCCTAACACAGATAAGTGGAGAAAGTATCAGCGTAGGGAAAACTCTTTACAAGCGTTTGCTTGATTGCTGTATTGGTTTGTTTGTTTTTTCTTTGTACAATGTGGTACAGTGGTACCTCAGGTTACAGACGCTTTAGGTTACAGACTCCGCTAGCCCAGAAATAGTACCTTGGGTTAAGAACTTTGCTTCAGGATGAGAACAGAAATCACGCGGTGGCAGCGGGAGGCCCCATTAGCTAAAGTGGTACCTCAGGTTAAGAACAGTTTCAGGTTAAGAACGGACCTCCAGAACGAATTAAGTTCTTAACCCGAGGTACCACTGTACCTGATACTCATGCAAAAGTGGGCACAGTAAACACCACCCCATGAATTCTATGGTGGTGCTCAATTTTCCTGCACAACATCGTGTGTTAATAACAGCATATTCTGTGGTTGGTGCCGATTGAATCTTGTGTTCTCCCCTCTTTGTGACTGCTGCTTCACCTCTCTCTCATTCTCCGTTCACTTTTATTACGATTTTTCAGCAAACTTGCATTGTTGCACCCATTCACTTCTCTGACAAAATCAGCGTTATGGCCCTGTCAGGCAAGTAATGTCCAGAGTGATGGATCAACTCTTTATTGTCAAATGTACACTTAAAAGTTAGGAAAAGGTATGCCCATCAGTCCTGCATCTCTCAGCTATTCCTAGGCCTGCACTGGATGAGGCAGTTGCCACTCCAGACCTCTGTGTGCTAAGAGGCAATGCCTCTGTCTTCATGTAACTTGTTTCTGCTCCTCCTGCTTCAATCCTCTGCTGGTTCTTGGAAACAGTGGAGCAGGAGAGGTGAGGGCAGAAGGAGGAGGTGTGGAAGTCCTTTCCTCTACACCAGCCTGACCTGTCCTGCACCTGTTCTTTCCTCTCCAACCCTGCAGCTTCTCCTGCCTCTGACTCTCATCTCCTGGCTATTACAGGCTGCCCCAGATCACTTCTCTCTTTCCAAGTCAGTCTCCAACCTCCCTTCTGGTGCCCATTCCTCAGTATCCAAGCAGTCCCTGACAATTAGGAAGGCTTATAATAGAAGCAGAGCATCTGAGTACTGCATGATCCTGGCAGAACACCTGAGCACTCTGCAGTCCCAGGCACCGACTATGTACAACCACGTTTCACAGTTGTCTTGTATCCTGTTCTCTCTTTCCTCCTCTTATTTAATGCTTACTGGGGGTTTTCTTCACCCTGGAATTAAGTTAGAAAGTATATGGGTGCAATTGCATGCAATCTGGATGTGGGGAGCACATACGCACAGGATACTTCCTTCCCCAGATTTTATTTGTGGGCCAAGGAAAGATGGAAGTCAATGTGAGAAAGTGTTGGTGCTGACACATGTAGCGTGCATAGATTGTACAAAGTTCATTTATTAAACAGACAAGATAGAAATACTTTGCTTGAAATTTCAGTTGTCAGTGGTACTATTTAATAGCATTTGACGATACACAGATTTATATTGGGCTAGACCTAAGCAGTATTGCATGTGATCTCCCTTTAAAAGGACACATTTGTGAATTTGGTTACGGTGTTGGATTCATAAATCCTTTTTTTTCCATTTCGTGAAGGTTGATCCCTTTTAATTTTACCAAGTAAAGGTTGAAGCAAATACCCACCTCTTAAAATCCAAAAAACACAAGGAACCTAAAACCCATCTCATAAAAAGTAATAATAACAATACTAGCGGTAAAATGATCAGTGACTGTATTACCTTTTGTTCTCTCTTCAAAGTACAGTGGTGCCTCGCAAGACGAAATTAATCCGTTCCGCAAGAGTCTTCGTCTAGCGGTTTTTTCGTCTTGCGAAGCAAGCCCATTGACGGATTAGCGCTATTAGCGCTATCAGCTGTTTAGCGGCTATTAAAGGCTTAAAGGCTTAGGGATTAGCTGCTAAAAGGCTATTAAAGGCTATTAAAGGCTTAGCAGATTAGATAAAGGGGGGGGAAAGCGAAAAAAAAATCTCAGGACTCGCAAGGTATTTTCGTCTTGCGAAGCAAGCCCATAGGGGAATTCGTCCTGCGAAGCAACTTCAAAACGGAAAACCCTTTCGTCTAGCGGTTTTTCCGTCTTGCAAGGCATTCGTCTTGCGGGGCACCACTGTAGCATGACTTGATAAAAACAACAAAAGAGTTTCCACACCTTTAACAGTCTCATAAAATGCTATCCTTCTGTGCAACTGTTCACCTTATTTCACATTCCGTCCCCCAATTTATTTTTTTACAGTTCTTTTAATTTAAAATATCCCAAATGAATGTTTCTGATGCTTGTTTCAAGGTGTTAAAAAAAAAAAAGGTAACTTGAACTTGCATTATTGTCCAGTCTGAAAATACTTCTTTTAGATGATGCATACCAGTGTTAACTATCAAATCTAGTGAGTGGAATGACTTTGGACTTCAGGTATGGTCAAGATTTTTCTGAAATGTTTGTCAATAGTTTTGCTGGGCTATTATGACATTATACTAAGCTGGGTACAGGGAACGGAGAGTGGGAAGAAGCTCATGAGACAGGACTTTCCTTCTGCCTCCACCCCCTCAAAAGCCATACTTGAGGCTCAGAGGACCCTCCTAGGAGAGGTACCTTGTGCAAGTGGTTGCCTCTGTTTATTATGCAGTTTCCCATCTCCCCCAACAACCACCCGCAGCACTAAGAGAATCACCTTTATGGAGTGCTTTTTTTCTTAAAAAATGTTTAGGAGTACTCTCATTTTCCTACTCATATTGAAATGCTGCCCCTCAATGAGGCCAAACTTAGATTCACAAAATATTTAGGGGTATGCGTACACCTACTCCCCCCAGAAAAAAAACACTGGCTTTATGACTAAAGGAGATGTGGAACAGGGAGGAGTTTATGGGAATATTCACTTCTGCAAGCTTCCTCCTCACAATTTTCTGGATCCTGCCCAAAGTTTACTCCAGTTTAACATAGACTTTTGTGTGAAATAAGGAAAGTAGAAATTAATATCTGATGAAGCTCCTTTTATTGTCCCTGAAATGTTAATTAAAAACAAAGCAACTTTTTGAACTGTATTTACAAAGCACAGTTGAAATACTCTCATCATTTTTAAGGCTGGTAACATGTATATTTGAAGTACATGTCTTCTGCTATATCTGTTCCGTTGTACTTTTATGTAAAAAAATGTATGACTGTCATTAAGAACGAAATTGTTGGTTCCTGTGGCACAGGGCAGTCTTCCTGTGTGTTCACAAATGCCCTACCATAGAATGGCTTCTTTCTTCATGAATAGTTCCTTTAAAATCTACCACAGAAGTGTCCGTGAATGGGGCCAGAACCTTGATCTGCGGCTAGGGGCTGGAGCACATCAATATAAATCTGATTAAGGCCATAATATATATGAGACATGAGGCATGTCTGACAACTTTGTGCTTGTTTCAAACAAATTAACACAGTAGTGTAAAATTAGCCACAAGTTTGCATTGGTAGTAACAGTCCTCTGTTCCAGAATCTCTTTGCAGTGAAGAAAGGGAGGCAGAGTTAGGAATTAAAGTCTTCTCATGCAGACCTTTTATGTCCACATTGTCTTAGCTGAGAACATGAGGTATCATCATCAAACAGGATGATGTTGCTTTTCGCTATATTTACAAATGACCTGAAAATGTAACTGAAAAAGTTTTATTCCCGTTTATGGTCAGAACTGAGGTTACTTTCTGAATTTCACGTTCCTTAGTGCTTTGATGTTTTGAGGTATTGTATGTGAAACAAATGATCTTAAAAATGGAGAAGGTCCTTCACTCAGGAATTTCTGTACTTTTTGTTTAGCAACGGATGTCAACAACCTGAACTCCCTGTTAATTTCCAATGCAATATATACATATATATATAAATATATAATATTATATAAAGATACATATATGGTACTAATTCTATATTTCCCCTGATATTTGCCAAACCTTGAATGCAGGCAGTTGTCTTGTTTGTAAGGCATTGATTGCTACTGAATGTATAGGAAATGCTTCCATTTTGTAAAAGGAAATAGTGTTTGTATGGTATACCATATTATGGCATGTCCCAACCAGCAAGTATGGTGCCTTTCTTTTTTTAACATAAACGTGTCATTTCATTGTAGCATCACCTTCAGCTATGTCTTCTGAAACATTGCTTCTCTAACCCTGCACTGTGGTTCCGAAGTTATGGTACAGCCCAGCTAAAATCTTAGCATGAAAACAGACAATAACTCCTGTAATCACCAGTGTGCCACAAATGCATTTATTAAATGCATAAATATACATTTCTATGAAAGCCAAAACTGTATTTGTATGTTACTTTTTTGTCATTACGTTGTAAAATACTGTAAATTTGTTGTTGTTATTTGTTATTTGTTCTAATTTTGCATTATAATTTTTTTCCTACATAAAGACATCCTACATAGCGACTTTGTATAAAAGTAGCTTTCTAGAGTTTATTTTATAAAAATAAAAAATTCTAAAGCGTTGCCAAAATCCTTCTGAAAAATTCACAAACTTGTTTCAAACCACCCCTCTCCCACTGTGGTTTGTTTCAAACATTCCATGCTTCCTTTTAAGCAAAAATGACATTTATACTACACACAGTATGTTTTGTTTTTCAAGATTCATATACTACCATTTAATTTTGGCGTGCTTTGTCATTGAGCTTACCAGATGATGTCAGTTTCAAAATGTATTATGTAATATTGAAAACATCCCCTCACCAGTGCCAGCTTCATACGAATTGTAGCATGGCAATAAAATATTGATTTTTACTATGTAAGTGTTCAGTGCTTCTTGAGTGGATGGGAGAAGGGTGTTTTCAGGTGTTTGTATTTTGAACTTTTTCTTACAGTCAAGTCAACTGTAAAGATAATCTGCTTTTGAGTACACATCACATTAATTAGCTATTCAATAGTCTCTCCTGTTTTGGATTGAAAGCCACCAAACCTAGTTAGTGCTTGAGCAGAGAAACTTGATGGCTGGGTTAAAACTATGGTGAACTCCCTTTGTCGTTTCTATAGAGAGAGTGGTTTTGTGTAGGACCGTTCAAAAATGCAAGTTTTCCTTCTCCACCTTTAAATGGTGGAGTCTGTTAATAGCTTCTGGCCATTATTTTTGCTCATAGTTCCTAACCACTATCTCCCATCTTGAAGTCCAGGTCTCTGACATTTGTGGCGACCCAGTACAGTATTTAGAACCTTCGGTTTTGCCTAATTAAAAAAAAATATAGATACCACTGTGTGGGACTGCTATACCCAGAACTAACAGCTGCAATTCAAAGTAGGCCTGTCGCTGGAAGAAATCTTTCTGCATACTCCATAAGTTTTTGTACCCAATTCTCTCTTTGCTGGGACTTCTACTTCTTTCCATTTTGGGGCGAGGAACATTCTTGCCGCTGTAGCAGCTAGATCTGAAAACCCATCTCCACCCGTTACATGAGAAGCTCGTGCCAATCCCTGGCTAGGCTCCAACCCGCTACGCAGCGGCATAAAGGACCCGCCGGTGGTGGTGGGGAACTACACTTCCCGGCATGCAACGAGCCCCCTCTGCCCTTCCTTTCTCCGGCGGCGATCGTCATTTCCGGTGTTCGTTGAATCCGCTCGAACGCGCAGCTGCGGCTCCGGGCACGAGGCGGCTGGGAAGATTCGAGTAGCGGCCTGGAAGCCCCACCGCGCCGTCCACATGGTGAGCCTCGAGTCTGATAATCCCATCCCCTCCGTCCCTCTTCGCTGAGGGGGAGCCGGAGCCCGGCGTGGCTGAGGGGGGGGGGAAGGGAACCGAAGGTTCCAGAATTACCGGAAAGGGGGAGGGGAGCCGGTGACGCCCTGGTGGCAACGGCCGGGGATGGAGAGGCCCCTGGGCCCCGCTCTCTCCTTGGGCGGCGCCGTTCACGGTGGATAGGATGCTGGGGCCTTCATCCCTTCAGGCCGCCCCCGTCGCCTTTCCTCGGCCCGAGGAGGAAGGGTCGCCTCCCTCTCCCTTCGGTGCGCAGGCAGCCAGCGCCAGAGACAAAGGAAGCCGCAGCTGGGGGGGGGGGGGACGGGACTCCGGAGCGGCCTCTTGGTTGTAGTTCCATGCAGTCACTTCATAGGGTTGGAAGGGACCCCGGGGTCATCTAGCCCAACCCCCTGCAAGGCAGGAATCTCACGTAGAGCTTCCTTTTATGATTCAAAATCTCCCAAGGAAAGAGTCCCGTCGCCTCCCGAGTTCATTGGGGATCTGTGTGAAGACTCCTTTCACTGGAGCCTGGCTGCTGCCATGCCTGTGGCGTCACACACACCACCCTTTTTCTTAAATTACGATGTACAGTGGTATCCTGGGTTACATACACTTCAGGTTACAAACTCCACTAACCCAGAAATAATACCTCGGGTTAAGAACTTTGCTTTAGGATGAGAACAGAAATCGTGCTCCGACAGCACGTCAGCAGCGGGAGGCCCCATTAGCTAAAGTGGAACCTCAGGTTAAGAACAGTTTGAGGTTAAGTACGGACCTCCGGAACGAATTAATTACTTAACCCAAGGTACCACTGTAGTGATTTGCACTGCAGTTCACGTTGCATTCTGCAGCAGGGGTGGGGGGCCTGGATCTGGTGGGTGGACCACATCCTTGTTCCCCCCCCCCCAAGTTTGACAGGTGGGCGAGGCTACCTGTATTAGCCCTTGTTGTTTGAAACCAAGCAGAGAGGCACGTAAAGTGCTGAACATCGTCTGATCATGGAGCCTGTCGACGCCATGTGTGTGGCGTTCTGCAAGAACTAGCATCCGTCTGATCAGCGGGTCTTTCAAAGTCCCATGCACAAGACTTTGCAAAACCTGATGATCAGAGCTTGGGAAGCTTTGCGGACAGTGTGTCTTTAGCTGCCCCACACTTGACAATAGCAGGTACGAGACAGGCTCGTGCGGCTTGACCAAAATGGCCTGGTGGGCTTTGTGGGCTTTATTTGGCCTGTGGTCCAGATATTCCTCATTGCTGTTCTGCAGCTGTAAGCTCTTGTTTGGTTGTTCGATTTGTGTGTACATTTTACACCTGAGGAGGGACAAGCATGCTCAGCTCATTCCCCAAACATCACCATACTGTTGCCCTCCACAAATTGGAGGATGAAGTGCTCCTACTGTGATCTAGAACCCTGCTTTTGTAAGATTTTTTATTATTACTTTTATTATTTATTAAATTTGTTTGTCGCCCTTCACCTGACGACCACAGGGCAGTTGACCACATTAAAAAAACAAAACAGAATGAAAACACAAAATGCATAATAAAACGAAAACAAACCAATCGTTTCTCTCCCGCAAACACATTTAAAAAGCCATAGAATGTTAAATCAGCCCAAGACCAGGTTACAGAGTAACATTTTTGCTGGGCACCTAAAGATGTGTGATGAAAGCGCCAGGTGGACTCCTTGTGAAGAGCATTCCACAAATGGGAAGCCACTGCAGAAAAGACCTGATCTTGTGCTGCCACCCTCCAGACCTCTTGCGGAGGCGCTCAAAGAAGCACCTCAGGTGATGATTGCAGGGTCTGGGTTGATTCATACTTTAAATCACACTGTTAGCCTCCACCCTAACCCCCAAATAGAAAATGCTGTCCACTTCAGACTCATGAAGGGCGATGGCAGTGGTGATCTGGGAGGCAGAACTTGTACCTGTTAGTATGTAGGATTTATAAGTGAACATCATGCCTGAAAGGAGCAATAGTCACAATGTGAGCAATTCAGAAATTGCATAACACTCATAGTAAGTGGATGGCAAGGTGTAAAATTGTTATTTGAAAATTAAGTCTTTCCTATATGCTAATTGGCATTTTGTTTCCTATTATTTCAGGCATCCTTATCCCTAGCACCTGTGAATATCTTCAAGGCTGGTGCTGATGAAGAGAGAGCAGAGACAGCCCGTTTGGCAAGTCTAATATTCATTGATACTTGATATCTAGAACTGTAGTTGCACCTGTATATGTTTGCTATAAAAGAAAGCTTGAGCTTATTCTGCTTGGGGTCATATTTATAATTTCCCCTTTTTTATTCCAGTCATCTTTTGTTGGGGCTATTGCCATTGGAGATCTAGTTAAAAGCACTTTGGGACCTAAGGGCATGGTAAGTTATTTGTAATTTCTGAAATACATTGTTTTTGTCACTGTTACCACTTTTGAGTAAAATATTTAATATCTTCAAATATGGACCTTCAGGACAAGATTCTCCTTAGTACTGGAAGAGAAGGCACAGTGACAGTAACCAATGATGGGGCAACTATCTTAAAAGCTATTGGAGTGGACAACCCTGCAGCCAAGGTTTTGGTTGGTATGTTTGACTAAATACATTACGGGGATATTTTATTTTGCTAAATTAAAAGATTGTAGATTGTCTGCTTCCTGTGAAAACTACGCTGTGTTCCCAGTCTGACATTATTCACCACATCATGCTGGTTCTTGAACCAAAGCAGTCAAACTTAGACGTAAAGAAAAAGCTGGATGGCGCTGCTTAAGCATTGCATAATGCTGTATTTGCTTCTCATGACATAGTGCCCTATCCTGCGCACATACAGCCTTGCCTATAGTATGACAGTGCAGTTAGAGAGATCCTGTTTTTATTTCTGATTTCTGTATAGCCGTATAGAATGCTAACATGATACTTCAAAATTAGAGCTTATGTGGTAACGTTTTCCTCACAGATATGTCCAAGGTTCAAGATGACGAAGTTGGAGATGGAACTACTTCAGTAACTGTTCTGGCAGCTGAATTGCTAAGGGTAATAAATAGTTCCGTTTTTTAAAACACTGAAAAGGTATGCTGAAATGCTAAGTTGAAGTTTTTTTGCTGCAACAAACTAATATAGCTAACTTTATAGAATATGTATAAGGTATACTGATAAAAAATTAGGGAGCTTTTATTTGTTGAAGATTCCAGGTAATCTTATTTAAGCCGTTACATCATTGAGACAACTGAAAAAAGGAACAAGAAAGTGGCATGTGTTTGTCGGAAAGCACACTTGAAGTTACTGTTTTACTTGCAACTGCATTAAGATAAACTAAATGCTTTTATTTTTCTAGGAGGCAGAATTATTGATTGCCAGAAAAATCCACCCTCAGACCATTATTGCAGGTTGGAGAGAAGCCACAAAAGCAGCAAGAGAAGCCTTGGTGAAATCTGCTGTGGATCATGGGTTAGTTCTAGTCACAGACAACAGGCATTTGTCTCTCAGATTGTTATGGTCCAATATCATGTAACTAATGACAGGTGTGTGCAGCCAAACAAAAAAAGGAAAGTAGCATTAAGAGCTGAATGGTGCTTACACTTAAAGAAGTGTTTCCTGCTATTTGAAACACACAACTTCGTTGTAATATTCTACCGATAAGCAAAATAGTATTGAAATGTATCCTGAACATACTACTACTACTAATTTATTTATACCCTGCCCACCCGGCTGGGTTTCCCCAGCCACTCTGGGCGGCTCACAACAGATTAAAAACATTCTGAATTCTGCAGCATATTATTTTAGATTTTGCTGTATTTATTTGTGAAAAACATGTTTTAAAGACAATGGTGTCTGATGCAAATGGCTTGTTCCCTCTTTAGTTTTTTATTTTTCCAACTACTTTAAATATTTTACAGTGGCTATTGTGGAAAGAATAGCCTCCCTATTTCAGATGCTTTTGTCCTAGTGAACAAGACTTCTTCCCACCTGGATAGGACAGTGTTCTAGGACATTATTCTATATTTTGAATAAAATTGTCTTGTATTAGAAAAAATTGACCTGTGTTACAAAACTTTGATTTATACCAGAGTTCAAAAATGTGTTAGATACAGAGGGAAGGACTGGGTCTATGGCACATTAATGAGGCAAAACCCTATTGTACTGCTGTTTATTCATGGATTTTAAATGCTGAGGAGGTTCTGCATTTGAAAAAATAAAACCCATGATTCATGGATTAATTTAGTCTCTTCAATATGCAGATGAAACATTGGACATCTTTATGTGAAAATACAGTTTTACATTCTTCTAAGATACAAATAGTGCAGGACATGCTATTAGGCATTTGCCAGGGCTTACAGTATTTTTGTTCTTAACACTTGAAGATAATGTCTTCCAAGTTTGGGTAGCGGCTTGTTAGGTTGGTGTAGGTGGGTGGTTGTTGTTCGAAAGTGGAGTGTCAGAAGCCTTGCAATTATATGCAGAACTTTGCTGTATGGTTCTCTGGATCAAGGCCATATATTTTAGTGATCCAAGATGTGCTTTTAAGTTTACTTTTTCTGCTTTTCAGGGGAAATGAAGCTTCATTTCACAAAGACTTAATGAATATTGCAGAAACCACACTCTCTTCAAAATTGCTTACTCATCATAAAGATCACTTTGCAAAACTTGCAGTAGATGCTGTCCTTAGGCTGAAGGGATCTGGTAATCTGGAAGCTATTCATATCATCAAGAAACTAGGAGGAAGTCTAATAGACTCCTACTTGGATGAAGGTATAATTTTGCTTACTGGTAACAATTCAGTAAATTATGTCATAGCAAGGAACCTTGTCATTGCTTACTATGAAGATAAAATAGCAGGCTTTCCACTAAGCCATTTAAGAAAACATTGTTTGCTGTTATGTAAGCATAACACAGTGTTCACAAACAAAATAGTGCCTACTTTATTCCTACAGGCTTGCACTGGGAGAAAAATCGCTCACAATTCCTGTCTCAGTGTTATGCCCAAACCAGGGATCATAGTTTGTTTCACTCTAAATAAACTGATCTGTAACCAAATTTTCTTCTTTGCTTACGGCTCATGGTTTGTAGGAGCGAAACAAACACAATCACTGGTTCAGATATAGTGCTGAAAATGGAAGGAACAAGATGGGTTATGGCTTACTGTGATATATTAGTTCAGCCAGTATTTGTATGTTTCTATTAGCCGTGGTAAAATTTTGAAGGCAAGTTCCGATGTAATATTTTGCATGCAGAGATGGGCCTCTGAAAGCTATTTCCATAGATGTGAAACGTAAGTGGATCATGTTTGCATTGCTTCCTGAATGGTTTTTAATCACAGGATTACCTATGTAAACTGAATGTTTGCCCATTCTGAGAGAAACCTTTTCATATTTATGCACTTGGGTCACTTCATAAAGTATTGTACGAATTAAGCATCTGAAGTAGCCTCAAATTATCTACATTTAAGAAGCTAAGTATCTTCGGATTCTATTGCTGTTTCATTTTGGTCTGCCTTGTGTGTTCCTTGATGCTTCATATGATTTGGGGGGAATACCGCTTTGTTTTATTCAACTAAGTGTTGAATCTATTCCTGTGACTATTTGAGTGAAAAGAGACTCAGGCAACCTGTTCAGTTTCATAAAATATGCCCGATAATCCTGTCTGATTTGTCTTCATTTTAGGTTTTCTGTTGGATAAAAAAATTGGAGTCAACCAGCCAAAAAGGATTGAAAATGCAAAAATCCTTATTGCAAATACTGGCATGGATACTGATAAAATTAAGGTACGTAATTTTTGTGGTGCAAATCGTAGTGTAGTCAAAGCAGTTGAGCTATTGCTTAATATTGCCATATTTATTTCTTAGATATTTGGCTCCCGTGTAAGAGTGGATTCCACAGCAAAGGTGGCAGAAATTGAACAAGCAGAAAAAGAGAAAATGAAGGAGAAGGTTGAACGTATTCTGAAGCATGGAATAAACTGCTTTATCAACAGGTATGCATTATGCTGAGGGATGTTTGGAACATGCTGATTGACTCTTCAGAGCCTCTGCTGACAAGCCTGTAACTACATACTGGCACAGTTCACACATCACCTTAAACCACTGCTTAAAACAAACTGTAGTTTAGTGTGAGCAAACAGCATGTTGGTGCAAGGTGCTCAGAAATTCCCACATCACTCCTTCCTCATACCTGCTGCTGCTGCCATGCCATACCATGGGTGAAAGCTTGTTGAACCCAAGAACAAAACCTTGGTTACTAGTCGTTAACAGTTAAAGTCATACGCAATGTTTAAAAATCATTGTACTGTTAAGCACTATGGAAGTTTTTGCTGGGATAAATTAAGTTATGTTTCCTGCCACATTGTTATGAGCACCTTTTCTTATTACAGGCAATTGATCTATAACTACCCAGAACAGATGTTTGCTGCTGCTGGTGTTATGGCTATTGAACATGCAGATTTTGCTGGAGTTGAACGTCTAGCTCTTGTTACAGGTACAGAATTATTTTTAACCTGCCTTTTGTTGCACAAGGGATCCCAGAATGTGGTACAGTAAAAAAAAAAAAAACACAACTGCATAATAAAAGTAAATCAGCAGCACCAGAAAAAACATGCCACTAATAACCAGGAATCACATAGTAAATACCTTACCTTGATGGCAAAGTACCATCCATTGAACAAAGGATCTGAACTCGTACTTCATTTTTTTTATTTTTATTTTTTGTAACATACTGTAAATCTGATTTCTTTCTTAGCTAATCAGGAAAGTTACACAGAACCCAGCTTCTTTGCTGTTTGCGGGCCAACTATGAGAGCTGAAAGTGGCTACCAATACATTTTTTTTAAAAAATTGCACAATGATAGTGAGGATGTCTCCATAATTTAAGGTGAAAAGTGGCATATCAGCATAGTAGTTTCTTTAAAACAAAACACACACACACAGAGAGAGAGAGAGAGAGAGAGACTGATGAACATCTGCTCATACTTCTTTTCATAAAAGCTTCTTTTCAAAGTTCAGGTTCGTATGTCTACTAAGTAAACAGTTACTAAAACTATTTTACACTTGTGGGAGGAAAAGGCTAACACAAAGTTGCATTCATTCTCAGGTGGTGAAATTGCTTCAACTTTTGACCATCCAGAATTGGTGAAGCTAGGAAGCTGCAAGCTGATTGAAGAAGTCATGATTGGTGAAGATAAACTTCTTCATTTCTCTGGAGTTGCCATGGGTAGGTTTTGCTGCTCAGTGTTGGACAGAACAATCGTATGCGCCAGCCACCACTGCTGTGTCTGTGGAGCAGCTGCCACCTTGCACTCATGCTTTACCCAAGGAAGGGAGGAGATGATACCCACAGTCTGAAAATTTTTAAAACAACAGGCACGTCCCTGGAAACTGTCAGGGATGGTGGTTAGCAGCAATGCTCATATGTTACTCACACATGGAAAGAGCAATGACCCCAGCACCTCTATCGCCTCGAGGCAGAATAACACCTTTTGCAAGTATGCAAAGGAAAATGCCTGAATATGCAACAAGAGCAGCTACAGAGCAGCCATTTCTAGTAGCTCAGTTCATCTAATGGTGGGAGAGGGGTTATTGGTTTGTTGTTGTTTCTTGTTTTTATGCTTTTATATTGTGTTTTTATGTTGTGAACTGCCCTGGGATCTGCAGATGAAGGGTGGTACACATATTAACAATAATTAATAATAATGATAACAACAACAACTAGTCACCACTATGCGGCTTTAGGATTTGGCTTGATAGACAGCAGGGCAGCAGGTTCAATGTCCTTTTATATATTGCTATGTAGGAGACAGGATTTTGTTGGAAATATTTTTTTGCTTTTCCTAACCTTTTTATACCTTTTAGGTGAAGCATGCACTGTAGTTCTGCGTGGTGCAACACAACAGATCATAGATGAAGCAGAAAGATCTCTGCATGATGCACTGTGTGTTCTTGCCCAGACTGTAAAAGATACTAGAACGGTGTATGGTGGAGGTAAATATACAGTGTTCTTATTTTAGCTCCAGCAATTGAAAGATTAACTTTAATACTTGCTCAGGTTGGTTACAAGGTGTCTGTTTCCTAACACATAGGCTGCTCAGAGATGTTAATGGCTAATGCTGTCTGGGAGCTTGCAAAGAGAACACCAGGCAAAGAATCCGTAGCAATGGAGTCTTTCGCTAAGGCCTTGAGCACGGTAAGCTAGTGTTTGGTTCTCTTTACTACCAGTATAACGAAGCACAGTGCTCTGAAAGCTAATAATTATGAGGAGGAGGCTGAGCACCCACACAACATTTACTGGTTGTTGGTCATTGCAAAGTCTTTTGAGATGGTAGTTTTCAGGTTTGTGGCTCATGCAACCAAACTGTGCCCTTGTTAACCAAGGAACAGTAACATTACCTATCTTCCTCTAGCCCCTTTCCCATGTTTCTTTTGGCTTGGCTGACTTTATATAGTGTTATTTCTAAGCGCTTTTAAAACATGGGTTGGCTTTCTCTCTCTCCAAACCAATTGTAGCAGGATTCCCTTGAACCAGGAATGAAGGACTGTGGCCCTCCAGATGTTGTTGGACTCCACCTTCCATCAGCCCTGGCCAGTGATCAGGGATAATGGTTCTCTAGCCCTGACCTAAGCAGAGATCTGGGATTCTCTTGTAAACTTGTTTCTATTCAATGAATGGGAGGGATTGCCAAAGATTGTCGTATTGACAAATTCAGATTCTGCATCAAGGATACACATATTTTGAGTAAGGATAGTGCAATAGTACAATAGTAACTCATAGCGCTTACATGTGTGCTGTGCATTATTGTTATTTATTTTTGCAACTGGCATGTAGTTTGCAGGTTTGCTCTTTGCCAAATGGTCTAACAAGCCTGCTTTATTTTGTTAGCTCCCAACTATCATCGCTGATAACGCTGGCTATGACAGTGCAGATTTGGTTTCCCAGCTTCGAGCTGCTCATATTGAAGGGAAAACCACGTATGGACTTGGTAAGGATTTTTATATATAGTTTGTATGTTTTATTTTTAAAAAATACACCTTTGTGTATAAACACTTGCAGTGGGAATAGAAGCTGCTTTGGGGTGCTTTACATTCAACAACAGCAGTGAAAATTAAAATCAAGCGTAAGACTGAATTTCACTAAATGCAAATTCCACTTGAAAATGTGTAGACCTTTAATTAAAATCAGTATCATTTTAATAGTGCCAAGATAGAAAATGCAAAAAAATTATGGAAATGGGATGCTTGCCTTGTTAACACTGAGAATTTTTTTTTTTTAATCTCTTGAAGACATGAAGGAGGCTACCATTGCAGACATGGCAACTCTGGGAGTGGTGGAAAGCTTTCAAGTGAAACGGCAAGTTTTGCTGAGTGCTGCTGAAGCTGCAGAGGTGATTCTCCGTGTCGATGATATTATTAAAGCAGCTCCAAGGTAAAACCCAAAGCTTTCCTAGTTCTTGCGAGACAATGCCGTAATCAATCTTTATCAGAAAAACAATTGATTTGAACTATAATTTCCTTATAATAGGTATGCTTCTATGTTTATGAAATTTTGTTACGGTTGCACATTTGATGCTACCTGCTAAGATAGGATATACTCCCATCAAGGTACCATCAGTGTTTGTCCTATTTGGTCTAGTAGGATCTGTTTCAGGTTTTGAGGCCTGAGGATGTGGCCAAGGAGTTGAAGCAGCGGGACTGAAAACATACCCTCTCGGCACTTGCCTTTTTGGCTGATTGAAAATAATCAGAAGGGCTTGGCCAAAGGGATCCAACCTGTGGGGAGCTCGTACATGAAGATCTGTGGGGAGATCCTCTTGATGGAGCTGCAATTAATTGACTAATAAACAATGCAGGAGGGAGGACTTTCTTGGTGCTGGTTGCCTGACTGCCAAATTCCCCCCTCCTCAGATATAGCTGGTGCCAACTCTCTTGTAGGCATCTGTGGCAGTGGTCTTACCCTCTTGACTTGCAGTTATCTCTGCCTGCTACTGTTACGAATTGAAATATCATTGTAACCTACTCTGGGATTACCTGGGCAATTAAGAGTGGACTGAGAAGGCTATTGCTGATGAACTAAATAACAAACATGTACAAACACTTTTAGGTTCTTATCATTCTAGGCTTGCAATGAACTTGGAGACTCTTCTTTCCTCCCAACATTTGTGCGTACTGAATTCTGATTCTTCTTTCAGGAAAAGAGTACCAGATCGTTATCCGTGTTGAGTATTCCGTGGTCAGTAAAAACACGTGGACCAGAAGTTTGCAAAATACGTTGTGCGCTTCAGACCGATTTGAAGAATAAAGGGATGGAATATTGAGCTTTGGCAATGTGATCATTCTTTTGTTGGTTTAACTTATATTGTTTCAAAAAGACCAATTCATTCTTATTGTATAACATCTATACTTCCCCACCATCCTCTTTGTAGTACCCCATAATAAAAGTTTCAAATCTGTTTTGACTTTCCATTTACTTTGGTATAGTACCGGAGTTTGCGCTTTTTATTGGAAAGACCTTCCAATGCATACGTGTGAAACAATGAGAGCACAATTCAGAGAATAGGCAGGTGGCTGATCATGAAAGCAAAGTTTACTGCTAGTATTTAAAAATGTCATCGTGTGTGATCCTTTTATTAAACATTGCATGAAGATAATACAGGCCACTAAACCTTAGCTAGTTGTGTGTTTATCACATCTCGGCAAGGAGGAAGTAATCTGAACCCTCACTGTTTTTGCTGGAATTGGAGGTTCAACTACATGACTTCCTCAAGACAATAAAAGTTAATTTCTAGTTGGCATGTTAAAAAAAAAATCTGGAAGAAGTAACCGTATTAGCTGATGGCAGCAAATGATAGAGTGCTGTGGTACTGTAACTATGAACACATGTCTTGTGGCATGAGCTTTTGTAGGCTGTAGTCTACTTTCAGAGTTCTGCAATAGCTTGGAAAGTTGGAGGAGAAATAGTTCCCAATGAAATAATAAAAAGCTTAGCTTAGGATCACAGCCAACATATTTCACGCCTTTTAAAACAACTAACTGCATAGATCCTCTTAGTTGTTAGGCATGTATAATGGGCTAAAGCAGTGGTTCCCTATTGGTGGTCCGTGGTACCATTCACGTAGCAAAAAGTACTGCAGAGATATCTACATTTTCAAAAGTAGGAGGGTCATTGGCTTGACTATTGAAAAATGGGGTCTGCAGTACTTCGTTAATTGGATACCACCGGGTTAAATAGTTAAATGGAAACAAACTATTCTAATGACATATCTATAAATCTTGCTTTTCTACCAGTCATGGCTTCCCCAAAGACTGAACGTGCTGAACACTATGCTAGGGGTCCTATCTCTCCTAACCATACACATGCTACATTTCCCTGAGCAGCGCTCAAGCTGGTATGCAGATAGACTCCATGTAGTTGGATTTGTGACTGGTGAACCCCAGCTTAAAAGTTCTCATTTACACACACAAAACCAGGATACATTTGCAGGATGAAATATCTTCAAAGTGACTTCAAAATACTTCTACACAATTTGTTTAATACCACAGGGCTAGTGCTACAGCATTGGTTTTAATTTTACAGAAGGCAAGGCACCTGCATTTTTATCTTTAAACGGATTCCTTTCCCCCTTCTCAAATTAAAGATTTGTTTATAATGTGTACTAGGTTTTGTTCCATCTGAATTCCGTAGAAGAGCTGCAGGTATCAGAAGGGGTACATTAGCTGGCTTGCTAATTCTAGATATTTAAATTACTCACCAAGCTGGGCATGCACACAATACCATAGAAATCGAGTGAAATCGAACACATGCAGCTTTACACTGGATTATACAGCCTGTGAAAACACAGTCCATATATTCTCAGCTTTATCTAGATATGAACACCCTGGCTGAAGAGGGCTCCTGCGGCAACCTTACAAGTTCTGCACTCTAGTAGTGGAAATTTTTGTCACTCGGCTAGACTGAGATGGCCTGGAGGAGGGAGAATAGAGTCGATGTCCTCAGATCCTTTGATCCTATCCATACCAGATCGTTTCCTAGGTTCGGGGCTTTCCTCAGACCACCTCCCAACCCTATGCACCCCCTTGGCTACCTTGGGTGCGTTTCTGCAGGGGTTGTGGTCATAGATCACCAGCTTCAAGCTGCTCAGGTGCGTGAGACTGGGGAAGTAAGTGATGATGTTGCGGTCGACGTCGATAATTTCCAGGAATGGCATGTGAAGCAACACGGGGGGGAATTCAGGCAGCAGGTTGCCTGAGAGCCAGATGCTGCGCAGGTCCTTCAGGTACCACAGCTGCGCAGGCAGGGAGTGCAGCGCATTGGAGCCGGCATGCAGCGTCTTGAGTTGCTTCAACTCGCACACCACGTTGGGCAGGTGATACAAACAGTTGGACTCAATCCAGAGTGTCTTCAGGTTCTGCAGCTGGCGCAGCTCTACTGGCAAGTCTCCAAGTCTGTTGTTGCCCAGGTAAAGGATACACAGCTGCTTCAAGGTGCACACCACCGGGGGAAGCGTTTGGAAATTGTTGAAATCCAGTGCCAAGATCTGTAGGTTCTGCAGCTGTTCTAGCTCAGAGGGCAGATGATTCAGATTGTTGTCGCTCAGGTACAATTTGACCAGTTCCCTGAAAGAACAAACGTGCAGCGGGAACCTCCTCACCTGCCTGCTGCTCAGATCCAACATTTTATCAATTGGCATCTCTTCAAGGTCTCCCAGAATGTATTTCTGGCAGGCATCTGATGGGAAGAAAGCAATGACTGTTCGGAAAGCGTTGCCCATCCTAACAACTTTGGAAAGTTACATTGGTTCTTCGCTACCCAGTGAATCAGGTTTATGGAGCAGGGAAGCTGCCTGGCTTCTATTTTGTGTGCTGTTCCCTCCTCCTTGCTGCAATATATATGGTCCACATAGCAACAATCATGAATCTCAAGAGCCCTGAAATGTTCCTGATAACTGAATGAGTGTCTGCTGATGAGAAATGCAGGCATTGCCTTGGAATAGCTCTCGTGTGCAAAAGCAGCAGAAAACGCCGAGGTGAAGTTCTGAGATTGCACAGTGGTTAATCAGACATATTTTCCAAAACAGTCCCAATGTTCCCCTTAGCATGCTCTACTCTAAAGGCTCTGCTCTAATGGTGCTTTATGCTATAGTCACTTGCTAGTAACATGAGAGAGAGGCATGTTCAGTACTCATTTATGTAAATGTCATCTACTGTAAGTGTTTATTCATTGCAAGTATCATATTATGCCCTCTGGCACAAGCTGAAGGGCTCTCAGCCATGTCTTTCAGTCAGGGTTCAACCATCAGCCAAGCAATTCTTGTTGGCCCTAAACTGTGACAGGTTCCCGTTCCGGATAGGTGCTACTGCTTTAGTATACCTGATGTAAACCACCCTACACCTGTACCGCAAACCTGAACTGAATTGGACTGCATTGGCTGCTTTTGGTTAAAAAATATGTGGGAGTCTTAAGCATGGGATTCAAAGACACATTTAACATCTAATTTGACCCCAAATGGATGGTTTCAAATTTCATGGCACAATTAGGCAAATCCTACTGCTTAAATTGGACATTGATTTATATGGCATTTTGCTATTTCTGGATGCAGAATGCCTATTTACATTTATTTGTTGTTAAGGAACATATTTAGGACTTACTTAAATATATTATGGGGTAAAAACTCTGGTTCACAGTTTAACTATTAATCTAGCCTTATCAATGCAGATCACAATGACCTTAGATTGCTGCACCTTGTGACTATGTTGGCAAGCCAAAGTCTCCTTGCAGTGGGCTAATGAGATCAAGGCAATGAAAAAATAGCCTAGAGTCTGGACTTTTGAGGACCTTAATGAGTGATGGGGGGGTGAAGACCAGTTAATGTAGGATGCTCTGCCTCTCAGAGGTGAAAGTCTTGAGACAGACAGTAGTTGCACCTTTGTCTGCAAGAGAACAAGAGCTGATTCACGTAGCCCTCTGCATATGATCAGATGTGAGTGTTGACTTAATCCTGATTCAACTTGGGTTGTGTCCCCAAATGGTCATGCAGTGACTCCATCCACTGGTGCCCATTGGGACTGCTGGAGTGCAAGGCAGGGAGGCCAACAGGAAGTGGAGCCACAGCCAATGACAAACAGAGCCAACTAAAGATTTTAATGTTGTATTTTTAATCTTGTTTTTAAGCTGTATTCATTCAACTTGTTTTTATTATTGCTTGTTAGCCGCCCTGAGCCCGGCCTTGGCTGGGGAGGGCGGGGTATAAATAAAAATTATTATTATTATTATTATTATTATTATTATTATTATTATTATTAAAATTAAATTCATTTGGACCCCATCCTTGTCCCTGCTGAGTTTTACAATGCGAACAGAGAAACTGGGGAGGAGGAGGGAAGCGATAGGCAATGCTACCCCTTGGGCTATAGGTGTAAGCAAGCAGCCAGCCAAGTTTGGGTTTGGTGGGGCAGTGAGCCATTTTCCCTAAGGGACGAACCTGTATAGTCTCTGTTACTCACTGGGCTTGCCCTGAAGTCTTTGCAAAACTGCTTGCGTTAGATGTGCAAGCCAAAGGCCAGAGCCATTGAGCAACAGTTTTTGACACAAGGATTACTCAACGCCACATTATATATGTCAGGAGAAGGGAAGCTTTTTCAGAGGGCCACATTCATTTCCAGGCAGCCTTCTGGGAGCCACATGCCAGTGATGGGCAGGGCCAGAGGTAAGGAAGAGGCATTGCCAGAGTTCAAGGACGCACTTGAGCTCCAGGAGGGTTCAGAATAGGGCTAATGAGAGGCATGGCCTGGGGAGAGGCTTTGTGGCTGAGGAGGAGGAGGAGGAGCAACCTGGAGACAGCCTATCTGGAAGGATGGATGTAGCCCCTAGGATTGAGGTTCCCCATCCCCGATACATTTTGTAGGAATAACTTGAACTGATGAATTGGATTGCAGACAAACTGTACCTTTGAAGCACATTCTTTCTCTCCATGAATTCTGGACCCTGTCGTTTGTTTATGAGGAGCTGGGAATTATAGCTCCATGAGGGGTAAACTACAGCAACCAGAATCCTTCGAGGGAAAGAATATGCTTCAAGTGGGGTTTAAAGGTATATAGTGTCTAAACAGCCTTAGAGTGCAAGCTTTGCACCTGCCTCCTTGGGGAGGTTAAAGGTAAAGGTAAAGGGTCCCCTGACCATTAGGTCCAGTTGTGACCGACTCTGGGGTTGCGGCGCTCATCTCGCTTTATTGGCCAAGGGAGCTGGCGTACAGCTTCCGGGTCATGCGGCCAGCATGACTAAGCTGCTTCTGGCGAACCAGAGAAGCACACAGAAATGCCATTTACTTTCCCATCGGAGCGGTACCTATTTATGTACTTGCACTTTGATGTGCTTTCGAACTGCTAGGTTGGCAGGAGCAGGGACTGAGCAGCGGGAGCTCACCCCGTAATGGGGATTCGAACCGCCGACCTTCTGATCGGCAAGTCCTAGGCTCTGTGGTTTAACCCAGAGCGCCACCCGTGTCAGTAATAGCTAATGAGAAAACCCAGGTGACATAAGGAAAGGTCAAATTGCTTGTTATGGTGTGGAATATTTCAGATGAGCCCATTTACCCTGCATCTTTCTATAGTGCTTTGAATTGCATAGGTTCACCTATGAAGACCTGGGTCATGGTAAGACCTGGTTTATAATTACTTCGTCCACACTGAAAAAGACTCATTATTCTTAAGGCATGTGTGGTGAGACACAGCCAACCTCCTTACAACGCAGTCTGCTAGAGGCAGACTTTCAAATTTCAACGGCGCCCTGCGCAACACAACAAAAATTGGCACCCCCATCCACATTTTTCGATTTTCATTATAAGTCATTGTTACAGCCCCCCTGCAGTGCCCTCTCACTAGTGTGGGTGAACCAGTTGCGCGTCCCTTAATCCACCTCTGTCACTGCTCCTTATTTGGACAGCGTTGGGGCAGGGCGATAGTGGCGAGGTTGGGGTAGGGTGGTTGCACCAGTGGGAGCATCCCTGCCGGTCCAGCACTCCTGTCAGTGCAACTGCACAGTCTTGCCCTTCTTGGCACCTCAGCCCCATTCAGGTAAGCAACCACACCAGCGTCAAGCTCTACCACATGCACTGCTACTACCTGCCTCCATCACTCCCTTGTTTGAGTGTTCTAATGCAGAGGTGGGGAACGTGTGGTCCCCTAGATGTCGCTGGACTCCAACTCCCAGCATCCCTGGCTATTGGCGATGCTGGTTGGGGTTGATGGGAGTTGGAGTCCAACAGCATCCTGAGGGCCACCAGTTCCCCATCCATGTTGTAATAGATTGCAGTATTTACACAAATTGGCGGGTCCTTGTCCAGCACATTACAAATGTCCTGCCAAGCAACTGACCTGCAGTCATTGACTGACCCCGCAAACAGCTGGTTGTAATCCAGCAAAGTATATAAAAGAGATAGAGAGAAGAAAAGCCAGCTTTATTTCCACTTCCAGCTGAAGCCATGAGGGTTCTCTTAGCAGCTCTGGTTTATATTCCGTGCCTCACAGCTGTAGTAAGGTAAGGAAGTATTTCATATATTTTCAGTGTGTTCTTAGCAGTGGGCCCATGTTTCTGTAAAAAGGAGTCTTGTTAATTACTTTAGAAGCTTTTTCTTTTTGAAAAAGAAACTTTTGGTGTTGGCATGCTATAGAAAGGTATTTGCTACAAGATGGCACTAGACTCAAACCCTGGGCAAAATTCATGGAAACATTTCCCCTGCAACAAGTCCCAATGATAGGAAGGCATAATACCACAATTTATGTTAATTTCAGTTCTTGGGAAGATGCTTTATACTAATTCAGGCTATTTATCTAGTCCAGTACTACACAGACTAGCAGTGGCTCATGTACCTCAAATAGGAATGAGGGAGAAACTTGATTCCATTGGCACTGAAAAGAGAGCTAACCAACTTTGTGTCTTCTGAAACAAGATGGGAACCGAAGAACAGCTATCCTCTAATATTCTCAGCCAGCTTTTTCAGTGCAGTTCTCCAGTCAAGTAATGTATGTAAAAGTGCCTGTACAATGGTAAAGGGTGCACATATTAGTGAAAATAACATATAAACATGTGTATATTGGTATGTGCATATAAAAATGTACACAGGAGAGATTTTTGCTAAAATGTTGGCAAATTTCCATGAGGTATTTTTTTTTAATCGCAAACTGATGCAGAAATGTGGAATTTAAGATTAGAAAACTGAGAGAAACCCAAAATGGACATGTTTGCCCATTCCAGGCCTCAACATCTATCATGTAATTTTATAACACTCTAAGGGCCGGATTCAACTCAACTGGTGCACTAGCAGAAGCCAATGCAAGGACTTGCGATAGCTCCAAAGAGCTTTCCCTCCTCTTCTCCCCCTGCACTTCCTCAATTCATTTCGGAGGGTCGGGGAAACCCCAGAACAACACATGTGGGGAGGAGAAGGACGGTTGTTCCATCTGGAGGGCAGAAATGCTTGAAGAATTATCTTATTAGCACTATGTTGATTTCTATCCTAAGCTAGGCAAAGTTAACATGGTACGTACCAAGGCAAAAATATTGATTAAACCACCCTAGAAAAAACATACTAGTCCTAGTTTCAGTTTTTCTGGGATTTCATTGTCCATTGTATGCCACACCAAACATGCATTCATGTCTTCCGCCCAGGATCCCTCTAACGCGATTTGAATCTATCAGAGGAAAACTCCGTAAAAGAGGAGAGCTGCGTAAGCTTCTTGAAGACCGCCAACCTGACATTTTTGTTCAGAGGTACCCGCACTGTCTCCCTTCAGATATTAATTTGTCACAGGGACTTGCAACAGAAAGGCTCTATGATTACATGAATGTGAGTATGTCACTGCATAATAATGGGATGAAAGCTCATAGGACAGATGTTGCTCATTGATTTATTTATTTGAAGACTGATAACCTGCTCTTTCATGAAATAACAAGGCTCCGTCATAAAATAACAAGGCAGATTGCAACATATAAAATAGTCTATAAATGTCTATAAAAGAAGTAACTAAAAAATGTCAGCAAACATCCATTGCTCAAAGTATATGTCCATCTGTCCCTTAGTAAAATTGCTGCACTTGGAACCTATTAAGCCAATATTTATAGAGCTGTTAGTAGCCCAGACCATACCAGAAACATTACTGTTGTATTGTAAAGTAAACCTAAATTAGATTGCAAATTTAAACCACCCGTTCACTTCCAGGACAATTAGGAATTAAAGCACATGCCTCAAATAAGCAACAATTGACTTTTTTATGTTTTCTTAAAATATAACAGAGGCTGCATATGTAAATTCCTAATTCTAGGAAACATTTATTCCTCATAAACTGCAAAGAGAAGGAAGGTTGATTTTATCATTTAACATACCATTGGCAATGTGGTGCTATCCAGATGTTGCTAGACTACTACTTCCATCATCCCTGACTGTTGACCACACTGCCTGGGGCTGGTGGGAGATGTATTCCTCCAAAATCTGGGGGGCACCATGTTGACTCTCTCTGTGCTAACCATTTGAGCAGAATAGCTATCAGGCTTCTTGTCTAAGGATTTGTGAGTGGTTCTTGGTTTAATTCTGATCCTGTTTACCTGAGGAGGTGGCTGGACTTAGAGCAGGTCCTTCAAAAGGGACTGTGCGAGAAAATGAGGAGAAAGGGATCATGAGGTAAATCCACTGGATGAGAGGTGTGGTAAAAGCAACTCTTTCCTCAAACTGCTGTAGAAAAGGAACACAACGAGATGGAAAACAGTTTCCTTTAACAATTTCCTTGTGAGGCCACAAATGTTTTTGTTTTGTTTTAGCTATGTTTTGAGGTAGCCGTCAACAAAGGCGCTGCCTTGAGGGGGCCAGCAGTGCCGCGGTGCGGTCCATGTGTGACATGACAGTGAATTTTGCAACGCGTGTTGTGTAATGTGTTGTGTGCGCATTTTTGGAAGGAGACCTTGCCTAACACTACAGCTGCCTCTCTCTCACACTCAGGAGGAGGCTGCCTTTGATGCTGTGCCGCACTCGGCTTGGCGGTTTGGCCTCCTACACCCCCTTAATATTGGGGGTGCTGAGGCCGCTGCTACTATTGAGAGTGCTGATGACACCTCCACCCCTTAGAGTTGGCACACCTGGCCGTGAAGGTCTGTTAAAGCAAAAACAACCAGGAGTCTCGTGGCCCCACTATTATATATACATTCATATGTGTGTGTATGTTCAGTGGTACCTCGGCCAAAGAACTTAATTCATTCTGGAGGTCCGTTCATAACCTGAAACTGTTATTAACCTGAAGCACCACTTTAGCTAATGGGGCTTTCCACTGCCGCTGCGCCACTGTTGCACAATTTCTTAACCCGAGGAAGGAAAGTTATTAACCCGAGGTACTATTTCTGGGTTAGCAGAGTCTGTAACCTGAAGCGTCTGTAACCCGAAGTACCACTGTATATGTATATAATATTGTTAATTGTCAATAGCAATAGAGGGACTTGCTCCCTTGCAGTTGCTGACCCATGTTGCTTCAAATGTGTCAACGAGGGCTGGGGAACCCGTGGCTCTTCAAACATTCCAGAAATAAAAAGGTAAAGGTAAAGGACCCCTAGACGGTTAAGTCCAGTCAAAGGCGGCTATGGGGTTGCAGCGCTCATCTCACTTTCAGGCCAAGGGAGCCGGCGTTTGTCCACAGACACCTTTCTGGGTCATGCAGCCAGCATGACTAAACCGTTTCTGGTGCAATGGAAACCAGAGTGCATGGAAACGCCATTTACCTTCCCGTCACACCTGTACTTATTTATCTACTTGCGCTGGTATGCTTTCGAACTGCTAGGTTGGCAGAAGCTGGGACAGAGCAACAGGAGCTCACCCCATTGTGGGGATTCGAACCACCAACCTTCTGATCGGCAAGCACAAGAGGCTCAGTGGTTTAGACCACAGCGCCACCCGCTCCAGACATTCCTGGACTATCACTCCCGTCATCCCTGCCCATTGGCTGTGCTGGCTGGGGCTGATAGAAATTGGAACCCAATCATGTCTAGGTTGTCACAGGTTCCCCAGCCCTGCTGTAAACAAGGCTCTTGGTTTGCTCAGGAAAGAGTGAAATTGCTCCAGGAACAACACCATGGTAGCTTCTCCTATTTCGTTCTTTAAAACAAATATGCAAAATATGCATTTCCAATTAAAACGATGAAAATATAAATTAACAGTTAAAGCCTGTTCTCGGAATACAAGATCACATCACCTTCTGCAGCAGATGCCAGGAATGGGTTGTTTTTTAAAAATACTAAAAATAGAACGTGAGGCGCGGCTGTGCTGCTCACCAGGGGATGATATGGAAGTGGAAGACTGATAAGCTTGTGGAGTTCATTGGTGGGCTGATCCTGTCTCAACATCCAGGATTCTTTGCCTGGTTTCTAAATTCACTTGGATAGTTAAGAAAGCAAAGCTTAATCAGGCTTGTTAAGAATTTCTGAATAAAACATTCCCTCCCCCAATTTGAACAACATCCTATGCAGGGTATGGCTCAGAGTTCTGTGCAGTAAGTCATTTAGAAATATAACTGTGCCTTTAAGTGCAGGGGTTTGTTTTTAAAAGCAAAATTGCCATGGTGGGTTCCCTAATACAAACGGGAATCCTAGCAATTATCCAATTTGCATAGAGAGAGAAAAAGCTCCTATTGCTGGTGTGGTGATAATAATAATAATAATAATAATAATAATAATAATAATAATAATAATTTATTATTTATACCCTGCCCATCTGGCTGAGTTTCCCCAGCCACTCTGGGCGGCTTCCAATCAAGTGTTAAAAACAATACAGCATTAAATATTAAAAACTTCCCTAAACAGGGCTGCCTTCAGATGTCTTTTAAAGAGAAGATAGCTGCTTATTTCCTTCACATCTGAAGGGAGGGCGTTCCACAGGGCAGGCGCCACTACTGAGAAGGCCTTCTGTCTGGTTCCCTGTAACCTCACTTCTCGCAATGAGGGAACTGCCTGAAGGCCCTCGGTGCTGGATCTCAGTGACCGGGCTGAACGGTGGGGGTGGAGACTTCAGGTATACAGGATCGAGGCCGTTTAGGATTGGGACCACAGCAGGAAAACAAGATTAAAGACCTCTGGCACCACACTAAAATCCCAGTCCAGACTGGGACCCTATGCTGACAATTCCTTTAAAAGACAAACACCAAATTGGCAGGTATGTGACTAACGTAACATGTGTAATCCCTCTCAACAGAGGTGCGCCTGGCACCTTGATTAGATAGCTTCTGGTGAATGCTGAAGACATACCTCTTTACCTTGGCTTTTTGGGTGTATACTTTTCAGACCCACCTCTATTTTCAGTGTTTGGGCTTGGAGGGTTGTTACCTCTGCTTCTAAAATGGAACTACCTACCCAACGTTGTGTTCACCTGATGGGCGCCATCACCCACCTGAAGCTCCCCTAACCTTGTCTGTCAGGTGACTGAATACTGGACTGATGGGTTGTTTTCCCCCTAGGCCCAGTACTATGGAGAGGTGAGTGTTGGCACTCCACCTCAGCGATTCACCGTGGTGTTTGACACCGGCTCCAGCGATTTTTGGGTCCCATCCGCTCGTTGCTACAGTAAAGCTTGCAGTAAGAAATATTTTGACATTAACGGGTTTAAAGCAGCAGCAATCTCAAACATATTCCACCTTGTGTTCCACAGAATTCTCCAGACCCAGACGAAAATAATTTAAGGTTTGTTTCTGCCCCACACCCCCCCAAAGATGGGTGGGGTACAAATAATATATATAGAGAGAAATAATGGATTGGAGACAGGGAAAGGGAGATTTAGATGGCTGATTGGGATGGAAGTAGCACAGAATTTTAGACAGGGAGGGCCATAAAAAGGTATGTAGGGCACTGATGTAATCCATTTCCATCTTTTCTACCACTCTGTGAGGGCCTGAGCTTTCACCAATTGTCCACTGTTAACGAAAATTCCGGGTTGAGAGCCTACTCAACAGCCCAGTTCATTGGGGTATAAGTCCCCCGCGGGTCCATGCGGTCAGTAAAAGAAGTAAATTCCAGCCAAGCAATTTGGAGCAATTCAGCAGTCAGTAGACTTAGATCCTTTATTGTTGCACAACAGGTTCAACAGCAGCGAGTGAACCCAGAGCAGGGGGCGACACTGACTTTCCCACCATATCCCAGAATACAGTGCGCACAGCATCATCAATACATCATTGCTACATCACTAACATGTCACAAAAGGGGAGGGTTACACAAGATTAGCACAGACAGATATATCAGGGCAACACCCAAGTATAAGATTAGCATAGGCAAACATATCTTAAGTACCCACCACCCAAAAGTACGATAGAACTTCCTTTGCATGTCTGGAGCCTAAAGCAAGTCTGGTGATGAGATTTGGCTTCCCTTGGAGAACAGTGAGCCCAGCAATTGTCACCTCTGGGAATTTCCTGGGGCAGGAGGTGTGTAAACATGTCTTCTAGCTTGGGGAGGTGGCAGGGGAAAGAGTCCTTTTTCCATGGGCAAAATGGCGTTGGAATGGAGGAACTTGGCAAAGGGGTTGATTTTATATGATTCATAAAGCTAGGTATCTTCCCTGAGCTGTCAAGTCAAAAGGATACATTCAGGCATAATATTTGTAACATTTAACAACTTCAAATATATGCCCCCCGCCCCGTAATTTCCGTAACACCACACAATGCCAGTAGAAGGAACAGCCAAATTCGCTATCTGAGTGATTTCTTGCAGGCATGGAGGTTCCAATGCATGCAAAGAGCTGCTTCTGTGTTGGCTTCCCCATTTGTTTTAGTCACAATGGAAAGGATGCCTGCCTGCATCTTCCCCACTTATCAGAGTGAAAGCAAAGCCTGCAGGTGTATTCACCTATTGCAACTCAAAGGATGCACGTTTCACATTTCCATGACATAGAAGATCCATACAGAAAATGCAGTGCTTTGCTTTTAGTTATTGCAATGCTTTGCTTTTATTATTTAATCAAAATTAGGCCTAAACTTGGGGGGAAATCATATTTATTGCTGAGGTTACTAATGGCCTTTATTTGTACAGGCATGCATAAGAGATTTGAGTCATTTATGTCGTACTCCTATGCGCAAGTAGGGGAGCCGTTTTATTTACAATATGGGACTGGGAGTTTGATCGGCGTCACTGCCAAAGACACCGTACAGGTGAGAGAAGCCTTCCAGCGTTCTGTATTTTGTTGGGTTCTTGGCAGTACACGTGAGGGCATGGATAATTTGGGACATGTCTTTTATAATAATTCAGCTGATGTTCAAAATGCATTGTTAAGGAAATCCAGTCCGTGTTTCATGTGTTCCAGTTCACCAAAGTCTCTTTGAAGGTAAGGGAACACAAACCACACAACTATCATATAAAGTAACTTTGTATGCAGATGATATAGCATTAATACTATCATTCTTTCTCATCTTTGCCGGAACTGGAGAAAGTTACTGGCATATATGGTTCAATATCAGGTTGTGTGATAAGCTTTTTCCATCAGAAGCAGGGAAACTCTGGCCCAAACTATAGAATTTTGTGACATAAACCAAACCTGAAAAGGTTCAAGAAGGAAATTGCTTTGAACTGAATAACCTGAACTTTAATGTGGTTACATGTTTTTCACATTGTTTCTCTTTGGCAAATCAATGAACCAGTTCAGCAACCTTTCCATTGAGGCTCAAGACTTTGGAGAGTCTGTCTATGAGCCTGACCTGACCTTTACCTTTGCACACTTCGATGGGGTGCTGGGCTTGGGATATCCATCGTTGTCAGTGCTGCATGGACTTCCAGTATTCGACAATATGCTGAGGCAACAATTGATAGAGGAACCTGTATTTTCCTTCATCTTGAACAGGTCAGTGTTTGAGAGTGAAAAGATAGGATGGCACAAACCAGCCTTTCCACAGAATGGTTTCTGATGAAATATTCACGTTGTAGTTGTTGTTGTTGTTGTTGTTGGCGGCATCCATCTGTCTCGAGAGACAATAGAGTGTGCCTTCTGGGGTAAATCAAACCACTGTGATAGCAACACCGAAGTAACTTCCCTGGGGCATAAGCCTGGGCTTTGTGTATGAGAGTCCTGGGCTGCCTAGACAAGACCACCATCCCTCTGGACTCGCTGATGTGGTCCAAAGGAAAACAGAGCAACACTCTTGGCACCAGCTTGGCTGCAGGAGTTGCCAGAAAGAGGAGCACAAGGTGCCATCCAATCATCTTAGGGACTTCAGATTTGTGGAGGGTTTACTTGGTGCTCCCCCCCCCCCCTAAAATACATGTTGAGGTATTCTTATTTTGACTCAAGAAAACCACCATTTTATAGTTCTAATTGGGGGAAATAAATACAGTAAATGGACAAAAGTACAAAGATTCACAAAATGTTTAGGGGTATGCGTACCCTTGCATACCCCCAGAAAAAAAAGCTCTGAGTATATATATTTATTTTTGCAGTTATTGTGAGATTTCTGGTACAGTGGTACCTTGGGTTAAGAACTTAATTCATTCTGGGGGTCTGTTGCTGCGCGATTTCTGTTCTCATCCTGAGGTAAAGTTCTTAACCCAAGGTACTATTTCTGGGTGAGCGGAGTCTGTAACCTGAAGCGTCTGTAACCCGAGGTACCACTGTACTACATGTTTTCCACACAATTCATCAGGAGTGGAATCTGATTCACAAATTTTATCTATTTGCTGCATGATTTCAGTGAGCTGAGAAAGGCAGAGACAGCCACAAGTTTTAGGGGGCCCTCAGACAAGATGCCAATTATCCAGTAAGGAGGCCTACTTATAGTATAATCATAATCATCAAAATTGTGAACGTTAATTTATTAATCACCTTCTACACCATCGTCTCAAGTAAATGGAAATTAAAAAAATCCAAAAACAGTTAAAAACACAAAGAACAGCTGATACATTTAAAACAAAACGGAAACAATACAAAATAGACACTCATGACAAAGGTCTATTTATCCAGCTGGGAAAGCCTCTTGGAACAAAAATGTCTCCAATTGTTTCTGGAAAGTACAGATAGTGGGCACTTATCATATCTCAGCAGGAATGCTATTCTGCAGAACCGGGGAAACCACACTGAAATTCCTGCTGGGAGTTGCTGCAGAGCTGGCTTCTGAGATCTTTGGAACTTGCATGAGAAACTTTCCTGCACACCACAGAAATCTTCTGGATATGTAAGGGATAAGGTTATCCCTCACGTAACCTGGTTCTGTATATGTTAGTACCAAAACCTTGAACCTGGCCTGGTAGCAGATTTCTGTTTCATCTTTTTGTTAGAAAATGAACATATTCATATCTGAGCTTTTAAAGAACTCCAATCAGGGCTGTAATTTCTAATGAGCTTCTATTATTATTATTATTATTTATTTAATCAATTTATACACCACCCTATACCCGGAGGTCTCAGGGCGGTTCACAAAGAAAACCACAGCATATAAAATCAAACCAAAAACAATAACCCAATTTTTTTTAAAAAAACAACCCCAACAAGCCACATTCTAAAAGGGTGTTGGATGTCAATAAGATCAACCAAAGCCAATCTTTAAAAAAGAAATTATGATATATGAGGCTGCTTGTTGTTTCTGTTGATGTCATTTAACTCCATTTGAGTTGCTTTTCAGATTTTGATTTGATGGTTCTGAAGTATTAAATACTGTTTTTGTATTCTGGCTATTCTCTCGCCATGGTATGAACCATGACTTTCCCCAGAGAATCATGGGAAAGGCAGGTTACCCCTCACAGAGCTACATTTTTAATCACCCTTTTCAAACTCCTGTTCCCAGGCTTATTTGAGGAAAGTCATGTGCTTTAAAAATGCTTTGAATGTATGGTATGTTAGCAGCCTAGGACACCTGTAGCTTCTAAGACAAACACAAATATCTGAGAAGGCTGAACTGGTTTACACCCTCATTCAACTTCATGTCAAACCACAACTGTGTTTATGTTTGCCTATCCAATAATAGTTTTTCTTTTTTCTTTTAGAGGAGGCAACACTGAGAATGGGGGTGAGTTGATATTTGGAGGCATTGACCATTCTCTCTACAAAGGGTCCATTCACTGGGTTCCAGTCACTGAGCAAAAGTATTGGAAAATTCATATGGACAAGTAAGTTTGAAAAATAAATTAACCAGAAACCTTGGGAGTGGGAATGTAGAAAGGAAAGCATCTCTGAATCAAATAACACAAAAGAGCGAGGTACAGGGGTGGGAGTTGTTGTATTTGGACCAAAGCCCTTGTAGAATGTGATTTATGGAGCAAAAAATGCGCAGACTCTATTCTAAGCAATTCTAAGCAATTGCTTTGGGAGAAAAGCACTTGCTCTCACCTTTCAATGTTTTTAACCAATGAGCCAACTCACAGCTTTGATTGTTGGGTACTATAGAGAAATAGTAGAGTCATGCTTGTTCTAGAGAGGACCCTTAAAACAAACCAGGAAGTTCCTTCTCCAGACAATGGCTGGAGGCAATTCAGCAGGTTAAGCCCTGGCTATTATGGAAAAACAATTATGGCGGAAAGTTCACCTGAGGACATTATGCCTGTCAGGCAAACTTATTACTCGTGTGTGGCTCCTGATTATTTTTGCGAGGGTTTCCTCCACCTCCTTGCAAAACAGCCTGAATACAAATATATTTTATTGCTAATTTTATGCAAATATTGTGCCAGTCTTTGCAGGGTGTGGGGATGACCCAACCCACATGCCATATACCAGGCCCAGAAAATCTCTTTGGAGCTCTCAGGTGATGGTATTTGGAGCCCAGCAAAATCTAGATGCCACAGTTCCCCCAGCACTGTTTTAAGATATTCAAAATTGGAACTAGTTGAATAATATAGAGGAAAATTTTAATATCTTTCAAAAGATAATTTTGCTGAAATGATTTTAAAAGGTTATGTTTTAACTGATTGCTGACCTTTGCTTGCTTTCCTCATCTCTATGCCCCCGCATGCTTGCAACCTGATTCAATCAAGAGTATTCGTGTTTGTTCTTTTCTCCCCATAAAAATACAGCGTGAAAATCCAGGGACAGATAGCGGCATGCAAAGAGGGCTGTGCAGCCATTGTAGACTCGGGTACTTCTCTCATCACTGGCCCACCCTCACAAATAATACGACTGCAACAAAAAATCGGAGCCCACCCAGCGCCGCATGGCGAGGTAAACAGAATGTTTGGGGCAGCAGAGCCCCAAAGAAAATCCAGAGCTGTTGATATCATGGTGGTTCAGGACATATTGTTTTGAGCTGTGGGGGGAAAAGAATCAAAGGTCAAAATAAGGGGGAAGTTTTGGGCAAGGCTAGAAATAGACCGTATTTTTTGCTCTATAAGACTCACTTTTTCCCTCCTAAAAAGTAAGGGGAAATGTGTGTGCGTCTTATGGAGTGAATGCAGGCTGCGCAGCTATCCCAGAAGCTAGAACAGTAAGAGGGATTGCTGCTTTCACTGCGCAGCGATCCCTCCTGCTGTTCTGGCTTCTGAGTTTCAGAATATTTTTTTTCTTGTTTTCCTCCTCCAAAAACTAGGTGCATCTTGTGGTCTGGTGCGTTTTACAGAGCGAAAAATGCGGTACTTCGCTGAAATTTAAGAGAAATAGGAAGTTACGTTTGTCTACTCTCATGTTATGGGCAAAAGCAACAAAGATTCTGGTGGTACCTTGTCTCGTCCACACCTTACATTTAAAGCAGTCTTCTACCACTTTAAGAGTTGCGGCTTCCCCCGAAGAATTCTGAGAACTGTAGTTTGTCAAAGGTCTCCTAGCTGCCAGCTCTCCCAACATACCAACACCAATAGGTCACTTTTGCTGTTTATGTGAATGACAATAAGAACCCCAGTTCAAGTGGAGGAATTCATTTCTGTTACAGTTTATTGTAGACTGCAGAAGACTCTCCAGCCTGCCTCCGATAACCTTTACCATCGGGCAGAGAGAATACACAATAACTTCCAAGCAGTATATAATCAAGGTATGTATCTGAATTCTCACGGTTGCTGTCTTCTGATGCAAGAGGTGTGTTGAGTGTTTGTGGGCTGAGTGTTGATATGGAATGTGGGTTTTTAGCTGATGGGCGTAAGAAGTCTCTCAAGAGCCTCCCTAGCAGCTGGCTTTCAGAGGAGCACTGCCTTTAACAGTGGGTGCCCACTGCCTTCTTGCCACTTTTCCCTGTACAAACATCCCTGTACCCTTAGGCCAAAGGGTGTGGAAAATTGTCAGAGGGAGGGCATGTGTTTTGAAGAGGCCAAAAGGCTCATGAAACGAAAGCATGTCGGTTTTGGTTCAATCCAGGGACGGCATGGCTCATTTCACCACTTAAGGTGAAATGGGAAATACCAGCTTTACCCTGCTGCTGCTCCCACCGCCACATGTCGTGCTGTATCTGCAGCTGGTGGAGAAGTGGCGCCCCCACCAGCATTGATTTTGGGCAAGATTGCACTGATTTTGGGTGACATCTCGCCCCAAATCACGTGAGATCTGCGCTCTCTGCGTGGGTGGCTTTTGCCGCCCAAGGCAGCAGCCTCACCCTGCCTAATAGCTCTGGTTCAAACAGCTCTGGTTCAAACGCTAGTGGAAAAGCATCACCCAAATAGAAGTGTTTGTTTTTCTGTGACAGCAAACCAGTGGAGGAGAAGCTTTTTGCCTCAGTGGCTTTCAGGCTCTGGATCTCGGCCCCCGCAACAAACCGATGTGGATTCTGGGAGACGTATTTATGTCAGCTTTCTATTGCGTCTTTGATCGTGGGAATAACAGAGTTGGATTTGCACACAAAGCAAAATAGCACGAGTAATGGGAAATGCTTTGACAGCGGTTTGCCTCCCGCCAGTAAACCTGTCCTAGGTGCAATGAGTCCAACTGATTTGGACAAGGAGGGGCGGGGGGAAGAGGCAGTGTTGAAGAAGACTTGAATTTTTTTTGATCAACTTGGAAGTGAACCAGTGTTTTTTTCTGTATGTGGGCATAGGAAAGCAGTCATAGGTTGCAACCCTGTAGCCACTTACAGTGGTACCTTGGTCCTCAAATGGCTTAGTTGTCAAACAAATCGGCTCCCGAACACTGAAAACCCAGAAGTGTTCCAGTTTTCGAATGTTTTTCAGAAGCTGAACGTCTGAAGCGGCTTCTGCTTGAGTGCAGGAAGCTCCTGCAGCCAATTGGAAGGCACGCCTTGGTTTTCGAACTGTTTCAGGAGTCAAACGGACTTCCGGAACAGATTAAGTTTGAGAACCAAGGTACCACTGTACTTGCGAATAAACCCCATTAAACTCAGGGCTAAAAATGCATGGAATTGTATTTTAAATCTCTGGACTAGAATTTTTCTCAAGGAGCTGAAGGTGAAGCAGGAGGTGAAGCTGTCTCAGGGATGGTGGACCTCCCAGAGCAGCTCCACTTTTCTAAGAATGGTATGTGCATCATTGTTCTCACCTACTGTGCTCTTCCAATGGCACATTTCTTAGTGGAGGGAATAGGGTACCAGACTAATACGAAAGGGTAGAACCCACATTATTCATGGCAAACTGGATTTCCCCTTCTTCTGAGCAGTAGTTATGGAAAGAGGAGTCTTGACTTCTCAGAGTTTGTGTTGCGTTATAGGTAGGCAGTGATAATAATAAAAAATTCCTTTGACTGTGCAAGCCTATGCATGGTTTACTCAGAAGTAAGGATGGAAGGATCTGTCTTTTTCAGTTCTCCCAGTTTCTCAGTTTCCAACCTTAAATTAAGTTCTTCCCATTTCTACGGCAATTTGTGAATCTTTTCTAAAAAATCCTCCTGAAAATCCATCCGCATTTTTAGTGCATACATATTTTTGTATGTTCTAACTAATGTACACATTTTTGCAAGCTTTCCCCCTAAATTTAGGTGTTTTCATATGTTATTGTCACTATCGTATCCACACTTTTCCATAACACGTTCATTTTTGTGTAAACTTTATTTGGTTGGAGAACTATACCACAAAGTTTGGCCGAGTCTGATTTTTGTTGAACATCTGTGTTTTGGTTCTCGTATTGCTTTGGCAAGTGCAAATTTAATAGATAAGGCTTTAAATGTGTACTGAATCAAAGTTCTCCTCCATCCCTACTCAGAAGTCAACAAATTCCAGTAGGGCTTATTGCCGTGTAAGTGTGCATGGTCCAATGAATGGGATTTACAGGTTAAACTTATGCAGAGCTGCACTATAATTCTGGAATTTGTCACTTGCACAGTGGAAAGGAGAGAACTCCAGGCAATTTGGTTTTTAAATCTCAACTACAGATGCTGAAATCGCTTAAAGCAATTTAAACTTTACTTCTGGCAACTGTGTCAACATGTCACATTTTAGATCCTGCTTTGGCCATCTCTCCTACACAAAAATATTTTACAAAGGCTGAATACTAATCAAATGGTGTTTAAAACAGATACTTTAAAAGGCTGCATTTTTCACTAATGCCCACAGGGCTAGATTTGTTAAATCTGGTTTTAGAATCAGATGTATGGATGAATTAAAGTTGATCAAGAAAATGCCCTTTGGGGTTGTCCTGTTTTCACTTTATTTGACCATTTTGTTTTCATTTGCAAATGACTTCACTCTGTTTGTGTCCTCTTGCGGATTTATGCTGTGGGAAAAGGGAATGGAGGACATTAACTCTGTGATACAAAGAAATGTCTCTATTGTTGTGAGGCAGAAAAGGGAGAAAATCCAAATGTAATGGAGTGGAAATCTCCAAAGTGTTTCCTGCCGACTTTGATTTACACCTCTTCCTTTCATTGCATTCTCCTAATTTGACTGGAGATATTTGGTGGAGACAAACAGGATATTTAAATTTGAAGGAATCCTGTTATTACAAACAGGACAGTTCTTACTTCAGCCAGAAGGATAACCACCCTAAATGTAGCTTCACGGATCTTTTAGTTGATATTCCCGTGCGCAGATTCAAACATCATTGTTTCATCTGCCCCACTACCCCCACATGCCGTTTGCATTCAGATACAGATGCAGGTGGTGCTGTGGTCTAAACCACTGAGCCTCTTGGGCTTGCCGATCGGAAGGTCGGTGGTTCGAATCCCCGTGATGAGGTGAGCTTCCATTGCTCTGTCCCAGCTCCTGCCAACCTAGCAGTTCGAAAGCACGCCAGTGGAAGTAGATAAATAGGTACCGCTGCAGCGGCAAGGTAGATGGTGTTTCCGTGTGCTCTGGTTTCCATCACAGTGTCCTGTTGCTCCAGAAGTGGTTTAGTCATGCTAGCCACATGACCTGGAAAGCTAGCTGTGGACAAACGCCGGCTCCCTCGGCCTGAAAACGAGATGAGCGTCACAACCCCATAGTCGCTTTTGACTGGACTTAACCGTCCAGAAGTCTTTTACCTTTACTTATCTTACAGACAGTGGGAGAAGGAGAAAGGAGATTTTAATGGCCCAACTCTCTTTGGGACTGTCTCTTCCACCTCTGTGCCTCCCTGCAGCTTTTTCTCCTGTCTCTGACTGCCCAGCCTCTTCCTCTTCTCCCTGCCTCATGAATGGCACAGAACCCCACAAATCACCAGTCCTTTCTCCTGGATCATCTTCCTGCCCCCTGCCTCCTTTGCCCACACTTTGGACTCTCTAACCTGTTCATGACACCAGGCCTTTCCCAATATTTCATTCCTGTCAGTTTGTTAATTTGTACCCTGTTGGTTTATCATCTACACTGGTTATTTTCACTTCAGTTTTATTGTTTATTTTAAAAAACCATTATTTCACCCACTCTTGGCACTCAGCCCCTGGAATAGTGACTACAAGGGGATGCAGCCATTGGGCTGGATTCTGCCTTGGGTATCAAAATGTCTTCTCTGGTACCAGTGCAGATAAAGGCTGCTGAACGGCACCCACCATTGTGAGGTCTTGCTGAGGTCACGATGATGCTTCCACAGCTACTGCCATTGGCTGTGGACTGCCTGTGATGTCACAAAAGCAATAATGCTGCTGGGTGGATATAAAGGAGGTCCATCCCCTTCTTCCTACCAGAACGCAGTTGGCAACTGCTGTGATGTTCAACCTTCAGGTGGTCCACATGGCAGACGGAAGGAGGTAATCGCCCAGCCATGGGATGCTGTGGAGCAGCAAGAAGGCAAGTTCATATGCTGAGTGGAATTGAGACTTGAAGGGACTTGATTTCCATGGTTGGTTTCAATAATAATAATAATAATTCTTATACCCCATCCATCTGACTGGGTTGCCCCAGCCACTCTGGGCAACTTCCAACAAAAATACAGAGGGAAAGAAAGGGGGGGGAAAGAAACCTCAGACTTTAAAAGCTTCCCTGTGTCTCTCAACGGCACCAGCCATATTAAGAGTGTTCAGGCTGTTGAGGGGGAAATTAGACTTCTGCTTCAAACAGTGAGACAGGGGAGGAGGGCATCAAAATGGGGGAGGAGGAAAGGACACCTGGGGGGCATAAGAGGAGAAGGACAATAGTTGTGACACTATTTGTCAAGCCCTAATTTCTCTGACTGACTGTGTGCCTGAAAAGTCGCTTTATGCACATGCACAGAGATAGAGTGTGGAAGTGGCCACAGCGGCCATATTCACTTCATACATACAGTTCCCTGTCATGAGGGATTTTATCGATAACCCATTCTGGGGAATGTAGCTATCTGAGGGGAATACGGAGAGTCTCCTAGCAACAGAGCACCCATAACAAACTACAGCTCCCAGAATTCTTTGTGGAAAGCATTTAAAGTGGTATCAGAGGGCTTTAAACATATAAAGTGAATGTGGTCTAGAACTGGTGTACATCCTGAGGAGAATGCCGCTTACCTGTTTTCCACAGCCACTGCAGCTAGAGCTGGGAAAAAGAGATAAGGGGAATGCTGACTGCTTTGCTATCCACGTGAAGTGCGGGTGGGCAAGCTACACCGCAAAGCTTAGGCTTAGATTATGATGGAGCAGCTGCTGTTTCTGCCGTTCTTCACACTGTGGACCACCAGCATGGAGCTCTCAGGCCACTGGTGATCCATGAGCCAATTTGGGAACCTCTTGATATATGCAACTGTGTTGACAGGCAACTTTCTTTATTTGCTCCAAAGTAATATCATGTAACTCTCGTAGTGCTAATCATTAGGACTATTTTTGGCTCCTAAATTTTCTTTTAAAAAAATAATTCTTATTTGATTTTACAAGTATAGAACTATAACAATACAAATTACATATCCATATTTAGAGATATTTCCCAAATCTCTAGACTTCCCACCTTCCCGTCCATGGGTCCTATTGTCCACCTTCTCAACTGCATATTATTTCATAGTCCACATTTTATATCTCTCCATATCAACCTTAGTATTTGCTACATACAAGTGTTATTAGAATCCTGCTAATGTTTTCATCTGCTTACAGTGGTCTGCTAGATCATTTCCCCCCCATTCTTTTGGTCTTCTTGGTTCCTGAGCTTTCCAGTCAATTGGCTCCTAAATTTTCTATAATTGTTGAGCTAGCTATTAAAAAATCTGAGTACAATTTTACTAACAACAAGAAAGAAAAGTTTTGAAAGGTGTTAGTTATTAAAAGGACAATTCAAGAGAAACGAAGCCATTGTAATGATATCCCATTTCAAGCAAATAACACTCATAATCTTTGCACAAGCGTATGCTGTTTTTCGAAGCTTCCTGTGTGTGTGTTTTTGAACCGGTTTTCTTTTCTGTTGAAGATGGCCGCTGAAATAGTTGTGTGGCACTTTCTAATTGAAAACATCACCAGAAATGCCACACTAATTAAGAAGGCCTGATAGAAACTGATGATCCAACGCTGGTGTCAGAACTGTGAGAGGCTTATTTTGCAAAATGCCAAATCTGCCAGAGTGTTAGCGAACAAAGACAACTAATTTTTATTTCTTCACAGTTTGAAGGGGAAAGGATGGATCTTAAGGCAACAGGGAAAGTAATGGTTGCTTCAAAGCATGCCACATTTTACCTTTTGTGAACAGCGCTGCCTTTGAGTGACTGTAGTGCAATATCCCATCCGCACAATATAGTCAATGCTGAATAAATAAAGCGGGAAGGGGTGGAGCTGTAACAATCTCTGCAACTGAGTGAAGGAGTGTGACTGGATCCCATGTTACAGTAGCAAGAACAAATTTATTACGGCAGGGGAAGCATCACATAGAATGGGGAGATTATCCATTTCCATCGCTGCCACAGACAAATGGAGATCAAAGGAAAGGCTATGCACACATTCACCAGGCTTCCCCATTGCAGACATTTCTCCAACATGGCATGGAGGTGGAGCTGGCAATCGTCTCGGTGGTGGGGCAGGGCCAATGGGAAGCAACGTCATGCCCTCTTCATGCAATCTTAACAAGAGCCTGCTAGATCAGGATGATGGCTCATCCAGCCCAGCGTCCTGTTCTCACAGTGGCCAAGCAGATGCCCCAATGGGAAACCCGTTACCAGGACCCAAGCACAAGAGCTCCACCTGCTCCTGCAGTTTCCAGCAGCTGGTATTCAGAAGCAATACTGGCTCTTAACTGTGGAAGGAGAGTGAGACCATCATGGCTAGTAGCTCTATGTGATTAAGCAACAATTAACCACGGAGGATAAGGCTAGTGTGTCAGGTGTGCGTGCAAGAGCCAGGCCATTTGACCAATAGGACTTTGCAGGACTGGGACTTGTTCTGAAGAGGCAAGGCGTGGCCACACAGGTGAGGCCGATTGGTAACTCACAGCACCTGGTGGCAAGAGCTAGGAAGGGTTATAAGGTCAGCATTTCCCTTCAGCTCTTTGCCATAGCAACACGCTTCCAGCCTTGCTGGGTTTGGCTTCTTGCTTCCTGATATTTGAACCTCGGCTTCTTGACTCCCTGCTTCTTGATCCTCGGACCCTTGACTTCTTGACTCTTGGCTTGTGGACCCCCATTCCTGCTCCCACCCCACCATCTTGCCCCCAGTCCTGACGTCCCCTGCCGGGACTTTGATCGCCCGTGAACCAGACTGTGACATAGTGACTGATGAGAACTTCTATGAGCTTATTTCTTTCCTACCTATTACGTAGCAAAACAGGCTAGAAATGATACGGAATGAAACGCACCAGTAAAATGTCAACCAGTTGCCAGAATGGACAGGGCTCGGAGGAAGAATCTTCACCCTTCTCCAGTCACAATGTCCCAGTGATGGGCAGAAATATGCCTGCTGAATGTTGCCGCTGCCTTCTTATCTGTGGCTCTTAAAGAAGCTCCAGCACCAGTTGAGATACAGGCAGTCCCCTGTTTATGTGAGGGTTACGTTCCAAGGCAACACACGCATCAGTGAAATTGTGTATAACTGAAACCCATTGAAAAAAGCCTGCAAACACCCCACCCCACCCCCATTCTGCCCTTTTAGTGGCATTTCAATGACGTCTTTATGACATTTCTGGGTCACTTCCGGGTTCGGTGCAATGGTTGTATACACAGTCGCACACATATTGAACGTGCATAAACGGCGTGCTTACCTCTGTGGTCATCTTATTGTGTACACCCACACATACACCCCCCACCTGTATCTCATATTTACCTGTTCAGTTTGAGCTAAATTACCCAGAATAATTAAACCAAGATAGGATTAAATATTTTCAAATTGTGTTCTCAATATTGAGGCTTTTGGTGAAGCATAATGTTGCCTGCAAGCTGTTGCCTGTCCTGAGGTGAGCTGTTAAAAAATAGATGCCCTGCGTGGCATGAGTCAGCAGCACAACATCTTGGTGCTCTCCAGTTTGTCAGAGGTGTCCTTTATTTTTCTCATTGCTACACTCAACGATATAAAGGATATCAGTTTCTCTAGCATCCACTTGTTCCGGTAAGTGGCTTATGTCAAATGTATTAGTAGCAGCAGCAGCAGGAGAAGAAGTGGGAGTGCTCTCAGTACTTAAGCTGCCTTCTCCAGGCATTGTCCCAGACTCTGTTGAAAGAGATTCAGTTTTTGTCCTTGGTGCCGCATGGTGAGTAAAAACATCTGGGTATTGCCACATGTGATCATTTGGCAGGGTGCTGGATGTGGTGCCTTGATCGGTGTGAGGTTCCTTTTCCTGTTTTGCACCAGTGGATGAATCCTGTTGCCCGGATGCCATATGAGGTGGTGCAATTTTTGAAGGAGTTATGAGCAAATCTGTGGGAGAGCTGTGCAGCGGGGCACAGTGGGTCATCCCAGGTCCTTCGGAATCAGTCTCTGACTCACTTTGATTGTCAAAATCTTCTTCTGTCAGGATGTTAACGTCCCTGTTTATTTGTGAATTCAATCTGCCTTCATTTTCAACAACCATCTTTTCAACGGCTGCCGAGTCCATTTTAGCTAGGCTTTCTTCTGCACCAGACTGGTAGCCTGTCTCCAGACCTTCATTCCTGCTGCTTTCTCTAATGACTCCAAGATCCATGCTCCCGTGCCCCCTCTCATGGCTTTTCATGCTGTTTGAGGAGAAATGTCTCCCCCTGGAGTGCATTTCTAGCAACTTGCCAATGTGATGCATTTCGTGAGAGGGGAAGAAAACAGAGTTCTCACTCGACTGCCTTTGGTAGGACCGTCTTGTTGGGGCAGGAGAGCCTTCACGGACACTCAGGAACCGTTTCACTTTTCTCAGCATCGAATGCTGCCTTCTGGGTTTATCGTTATTCCGGGGCCAGTTTTCTCCATGGAGGAACTGGCTATCAGTCAGGCTGCAAGTTGAAACATGAAAGCAGTTATTATCCCTATTGCTAACAATGAACTCAATTCTTAGTGTGTGGATCCTTATGGGGCCCCATTCACACATGGTGGCATCATCCATGAAGAAAAGGGAGGCAACATCTGCAAACCCCCCAGGATTTACAGAAGTACAACAAAACCTTTGGGATGGGAACTCTATGAGGGGAACATAAAAAAAATCCCAACCTCAAGGATTGCCTCTCTCCATATAAACCATCTCAGACTCTATGCTCATCATCTGAGGCCCATCTTGGTGTGCCTCCTCCATGTGAGGTCTGAGGGTGGCAACACGAGAACAGGCCTTCTCTGTAGTGGCTCCCCATTTGTGGAACGGTCTCTCCCAGGGAGGTTCGTCTGGTGCCTTCATTATAGGCATGAGACAAAAACGTTCTTCTTCAACCAGGCCTTGGGCTGATTAATGTTCTGCAGGCTTTTAATATGTGTCTGTGGGAAGGGTGGGTTATTGTTCTGCTGATTTGTTTTAATTATTTACATGTGTCTTCATCTTGTAATAAACTACAATATCTTGTAGTTTATTCTGACTGGTAGTCACCGATAGCTTCTTCTAACATGAATTTGCCTACTAGTCATGGGGCTAAAGGTTGCCTACACTGGATTGGAGGCAACGTTCTCCAGAATACCACTTGCTGGAAGCAACAGTGAGAGGGTGCTGCTGCCCTCATGTGCTTGCCTGGTGACTGGAAACAAGAGACTGCATGAGATAGCAAGAGCTCTGCTGGATCAGACAAAAGAGCTATGTTCTTAATAGTCTGGTATCTTCTATCAAGAATTAGGTATATCTAAGCCTGAATTCTTTTAGGACTGGGCTGTTAACGATGGAACAAACTGGAGGAACCATTTTGACCCTGTCTTAACTATGGTAGGAGACCGCAGACTTGCGTACCGCATTTCGATGGTGGATCCAAGGAAAGATGGGATGCAGGAGTCTGCAGCTGCTAATGTGTAGGGTGGGCGGGCAGAGGAATCATCCCAGTACATGTCTTTTTTCATTCTGGGTAAATTCATGTGCATTTCATCAACTGCCAGAAGTGAAACCTGGAACAACGGCCGTGAATTAGAAAGCTTGAAATGCAGTTTTAGGCGCAATAAACTCTGACCACAATCTAGAGAATAGAGAGAACTGCACTATTCATACCCAGAACACCCAACATGACCTTGTCATTAATTTTTTCCAAGCAGCAGTTCCTTGCACCATATGACAAAATTATATTGAAACGTGGGCATTTCAGAAGCAATATGTGAAGTGGTTGCTGTTTGAAGTAGGGCGGATCTGCTCCCACAGGGCTTTGAGCATGCATAAAAGAGCTCCCTTCTGGTAGCTTTAAGATACAGCCTGTCCAGACTAGCCAATGGCCAAAACCAGAGGAAAGTGAGACAACCTCAGAGGGGAAAACGCCACCATTGGCCAGAGTGCTTGTTAAGGTCTAGACTACCTGCTGTAGGGAAAATGCATGCATATGAACACTAAAGAGCCATGCAGCACACAGGCTGACATTTCAGATACTGCAGCAAAAAAATATTTGGAACTCTTGATGACAGCATATTGTAGGGTAATGATGTGTTTCTCCTGTACTTTTGCCAAGAGAACAATCAGCCTCTTAGCTCCAAAATCAGTCACAGCAAAATAAATGAACATGGCAGGCAGTGAAGAGCCTTCAGCAATGTGTTGAAGTGGAGCTTGCGAAGAAGTGTTCGAAATATATCTGTAGTCTAATCTGTGAAATGTGGGAGGAGGGCATCTCGCAATATTATCCATGGCAGAAAATTAAAAAAAAATACATTGCTGCAGAGCTGAAGAAAATAATTGTAAGTGGCAGCAAGAAAAGTCACACCTGCAGATTCCTATCGATGCACCAATTTGTTTCAAAATCATCGTCGTCTTCACCAAATGGGTTGATGAGCTGCTCAGCAACCTGTTATCAGAATTGCACGTATTTATAAGTACATCACCAAAAACTGAAATATCAAAAGATATTTATGCTACAGATTTGTACTAATGCACAGTCCCCTAGAGGGTACGAACAATGGTTTTGATAGTTGATTATGCAATCTCCACATTTTCCCAAGTGGATTTTGCAGCATGTGGCACCTGATCTACTGGACTGAGAAATCTGTTGGAGTAGGGGAGGTAAAGTATACAAAGAGGCTGAGTTTTCTTTGATAAATCTGACAGATTCTGCCAGTTACAAAGAGGAATGGGTAGAAGAATCCAAATCCCTCGCCAGCCGTGCTGGGACTTAACAGACCCAATAAGCACACGAGACGTAACCGGCTGTGTTCTTAGATAAATAACTACTATTCATAGTATCAAATTATCAAATTTCAGCGGAAGTAACTTATAAAGTTCAACAAACAAACAAAGCAGAAGACCCAGTGGATCAGATCATTTTTTAGTCAGTTCATGCATAAGGTCCATCCGTGTAATGGTGTCTATTCCATCTGTCTGTTTGTAAAGTTCAAAAAATCCACATGAAAGGTTGTTACAGTTCCACAAAATCCTTACACAGAGTCTAGACAAGGATTTCCAGAATACTGGCCTTGTTTCGCCGTCCTGGGCTTCATCAGTACTTAAAGCTCATATGTGATATTACAGGACAGTGGATCTTATGGCATAATAGTAGCTGCACGACCAATATCACCTCGAAAGCCCAGCTGCTCATGACGGCGAGAGCAGAAGGTGGGTGGTTCAGGAAGGAAAGTGTTATTTCATTATGTCACTTCCTGGGCTAACATGATGAAAAGGTCTATATTGGGCCTATCTTACCATCCTGTGATGGCAGAAGTATTGGCTCAAGGGTGCAGTGGTTCCCAGCACGAACCCAGTGGATTCAAGATGAATTACGATTTTATGAACAATTATGTATCGAGATGCTACAGAAGTAGGACAATGAGACTTGCTATACTACCTAGCTGGGCAGATATCTGTGAACAAGAAATCACATTGCAGGGCATCCTTAAATGAATGTGGAAGATATAAAGGAGAGTGACTACAAGCGGAAACATTGCGTTGGCTCATCTGCCATGGGCAATGCGGCACATGATATCACAGTCTGCAAAGAAATGCAAACCAGGACAATTAAATGCTATTTTAGGATTCCTGGATATGAGAACTGAACAGATTAGTGACTAATCCAGGACAACACAAAGTAGGATTAAAAGGGCCTCATGTGAGGGCGACTGTTGTCCTATACATAACAGCAATGACTGGCAGCCAGACAATGATTTCAAATAACCTGTTTTGCAAATTAACTTGTATTTGGTGCCATCAGTAGATGCAAATGTCCCTTTCATCTAAGACTTCATAGAACCTTTATTTTCAGTAAGGATAGAACTCACAGGAGGAGAATGCTTTTATTTTTATGTATCTTTGTTATTTGTAGAGGGAACCTTTGCATAATACCTTTGGAGCTGTGCTGTAACTTCTCCTTCTGGGCTGTAATGCTTTATGGTTTACATTGCTATTTATTTTTGTTATGTTTGCACTTCTGTTTGGTTAACAAATCAACACAATATTTTTTTGCGTTCTTCACACTGTCGTATTAGGCGGACAGTAACGTGTGTTTTAACATCGTTACCGGGGCCAGCAGCATAATCGCAACAAACCTCTTTTGACAAAAAATGCAGCAGATGGTGTATTCCTACTTGCGATTTCACTATGACAAGGTCTGCTTTGTAGATATTGTCAGAGAGTGAGGGGAGAGTTTGACCCAGTGAGCACAGTCATACCTTGGATCTGAAACAGCTTAGTTGCTGAACGTTTCGGCTCCCAAACGATCAAAAACTGGAAGTGAGTGTTCTGAAGCCAAACATCCATCACAGCTTTCGAATGGCTGCAGGAAGCTCCTGCAGCCAATCAGAAGCCTCACCTTGGTTATCGAACGTTTTGGAAGTCGAACGGGTTCCCTTCAGCTTCCAAGGTATGACTGTACTTGCAAGAAGGACTTGTGATGTAGCTGCCTCGGGACTTTGGGAGATTGGAAGTGCTGCTACTTTTTAGTTGCATTGTGATTTTAGGAAGTTCTTATGATGAAATTGGACTGGGCTGTGATTTTTTATTACTTCCCCCCGCATTGGGGGAAAATATTCCTGCATTGCAGGGGGTTGGACTAGGTGACTCTTGTGGCCCCTTCCAACGCTACAATTCTATGATTCTATGTCTGATTAAAATGTATAACCTGCCCCATATCTAGGATTTAAGATGTGTGAGAGTTACAATGTAAACATAACCTACTGGGGAAACCCAGCCAGGTGGGCGGGGTATAAATAATAAAATTATTATTACTTCATATGGTGAAATCAGATTAAAACATATGGTTTGATGTTCCTAAATAGGCACCATTAGAGGATCAATTTTCTCTGGAGGAGGATAGTACCAGAGGGTTACTGTTTTGTTGCCGCAATCTGTTTATTTGCTAATGTACAGGTTAAGCAGATATTATCGAGGCACTGAGGAAAAGCGAGTATGTTACTCGTCCCCAGGTACGTCTTCACAACTCTGTGGGCAGGCCCATACTAGCTAACAACTCTCACCAGACTCCTGGGAGACAGGCATGCACACAAACTATTTGTTTGCCCCATTGTCTCCGTGTGCAATGGCTTCTGAAAGGGCCGTCACAGCCCTACAGATCACGGCAGCCCTGTGTATGCTCATCATTTCTTGCTCCTATTGCTCCTGGCAAGAAGTCAAATCTGGCAGAGAAGGCGAGCCTGAGGCCCTCTAAATGACTCCCATTTCCTTTCATTATTGGCCGTGCTGGCTGGAGCTGATGGAAGTTGGAGACCAACATCAGGGAGTGGCGGACATTCCCCGCCCCTGTGCAATGGCAAGGTTTCATCTGATACAGTGGCTGTACCCTTTCGGGGAGACATGAGCTCTTCCACAGCTATGTATGCTTTTGTCTTTCCAAGGATGGTCTATTGCAATGAGGTGTACATGGCCTTATGGAGCTCTGGTAAGAGTGGGGAGATGCATATACAGGGGTACCTTGGTTCCCAAACGCCTTAGTTCCCAAACACCGAAAACCCAGAAGTAAGTGTTCTGGTTTTTGAACGTTTTTTGGAAGCCGCACATCCAATTTGGCTGTTGGCTATTGTTTCCAGAACAGACTTCTGTAACCGATTACGTTTGAGAACCAAGGTACCACTATATTTGGCGCTTTTGTTTTTGCTGTTTATTTTGCGTTTTTGTTTTTGAGGATTTTTTGGTTAATTTGTTTTTGTGACTGTGTGGTACCCAGTTCAGCTATTAACTGATTGATTGTGTGACTGCGGAAATGGATAAAAGCCCCCCATCCAAACAATGACTATCATCAGTGCAAGTAAGAAATACTTTTTACTTTATTTTTATCATCTACAATACTGTCATATTTATTTTATAGTACTGTACATTGATTATTGCTTTCATTTTATGGATCAATGGTCTCGTTGGGTAGTAAAATTCATGTTAAATTGCTGTTTTAGGGGTTGTTTTAAAAGCCTGTAACGGATTAATCCGTTTTGCATTACTTTCTATGGGAAAGCGTGCTTTGGTTTTGGAATGGACTTCCGGAACAGATTAAGTTTGAGAACCAAGGTACCACTGTACATTGTAGTAGGACAATGATTGGAGAGCAACTTCCCTCTTCATCTGTGATATCCAGTATGGTAGAAGCAGGAAGCTCTGGCTACTCATATCTCTCTGTCTCTGTCTCTGTCTCTGTCTCTGTCTCTGTCCTATTTTGTTTTTACCTTGTAAGCACCATTGAGTGGGCTCCTGCCCTTTAAAGGCAGCCTCAAAGCCCCCCACCCCGCACTACTACAGTTGATGAAGTGGTCTGTGAAATCCAAGGCTGGCAGATTCCTCTATTCACCACGTACACAGCCTTCTCAGTGGGATTTTGAGAGACAGAATAACACTTGCAGCAATTTATAGTAGGCTATGTATAAAACTGCCAAAACCTGCGTTGCTGATAGCAGGGCTGTTTGCAAAGTTGAGCTACAAGTGGCTCCACACATTGGTGTGGCTGATAGTGGTCAGGGTGCTGTGCATAATACTTGGAGTTTGCAAGAAGCCTGTGATCCAGAAATGCTGCTCGCAGTGTCATCGTAAATGCCAAATCTTCTGCAGTATGCACTATCAGCAGTGTGAATGTGTTCAGAAACATAGCACGTTGGATAGCTACTGTATTTTTTGCACCATAACACTCACTTTTTTCCTCCTAGAAAGTAAGGGGAAATGTCTGTGCGTGTTATGGAGGGAATGCCTACGGGTGGCATGCCTACGGATTTTCCTCCTCTAAAAACTACGTGCGTGTTATGGTCGGGTGCGTGTTATAGAGTGAAAAATACGGTATATATTTTTGGTATTACCTAAACCCAGTGCTTTTTTTTCTAAAAAAAATGTTTAGGGGTACTCTCATTTTCCTACTCATATTGAAATACTGCCCCTCAATTAGGCCAAACTTAGATTCACAAAAAGTTTTGGGGTATGTGTACCCCTGCGTCCCCCCAGAAAAAAAGCACTGCCTAAATCACTATGTATGCTGAATAATTGCTAAGTGTCCCTCTCTATATCCCCTTTACTTTGTAATTGCGTCTATTCAGATTGCAAGCCTGAGAAGCATAGCCGCTGTGCTTTTAAGCTTTATAGAATATTTTTAAAATAGAAAAAAGCAGTCTGAATATCATTGTTACTATATCTTAGCCTGGCTTGAACTATGAGACATGGATGTCAGATATGATGCTGTTGGCTGAGCTTCATGAAACACAGTGGGCTGTGTCCAGTGGTGACCTCGTGTGACTACAATGGGCTTCTATCTGAGTGACAGGACAGACTTTCCAGAGCAGATTTTCCAAAGCAGATTTGCAAGGGAATGGGAGAGGGGAATGGGGGTGGGGGAGGGGGAGGGAGAGGGAAGGAGAGAAGCAATAAAAGTATAGATAGCTTTTTAAAGGGGCCCTTTACTTCCATTGACTTGGCTGGAAGAAATCTTACTCACTGAATCTGAACATAAAAATCACAAGAAAATTCCGAACACACTGGAAAACTATAGTAGCGATTTACCTTTAGCCATCCTGCATAGAAGAAAAACTGTAACAATGTGAAGATAGGAATGTAAAGATCTAAATCATGACCTGGATAGTTTTGTTCAGGGTCCAAAAACTGACGTCCTATCAGGCACGTGAAGAAGAAGGTGTAGACAGCAAGTGTTACAACCTGAAATGAATTAAGGCCACATTAAGCTACTGCTATGGATATAATAAGGCAAAGGTAAAAGGTAAAGGACCCCTGGATGGTTAAGTCCAGTGAAAGGCGACTATGGAGTGCAGCGCTCATCTCGCTTTCAGGCTGAGGGAGTCGGCGTTTGTCCACAGACAGCTTTCTGGGTCACGTGGCCAGCATGACTAAGCAGCTTCTGGCGCAACGGAACACCATGACGGAAGTTAGAGTGCATAGAAATGCTGTTTACCTTCCCACTGCAGTGGTACCTATTTATCTACTTGCACTGCTTTCGAACTGCTAGGTTGGCAGGTGCCGGAACAGAGCAACAGGAGCTCACCCTGAACCGCTGACTTTCAAATCAGCAAGCCCAAAAGGCTCAGTGGTTTAGACCACAGCACCACCTGTGTCCCTATTACAGATATAATTACTGTATAAGAAGTGTGCCATATAGATAGATAGATAGATAGATAGATAGATAGACCTACACAGTGAACGTGCAAAGTTCTGTTGGCCACCTACAGTGCAATACATTCTCATGCAAAATGATACAAATGTGACCTGGCAGTGGGAGAGCAGCTCCAAGCTGGGCTGTCAGGGTTTGGTCTTTATTGAGTCTCCAATTCCACCTCAGCCCTAAGAAGTGAATAAACCGGGATGGGGAACCTGAGGCCCTTCTGAGGACTCCAACTACCACCATCTTTGGCTATTGGCCAATCTGGCTGGGGCTTCTGGGAGTTGGAGTCCAGCAACATCTAGAAGGTCACAGGATCCCCATTCATGGAATCAACTATTTGTGAAAGCAGGAGGAGGTGGAGGGAGAAACACAAACCTTTCAGGCTTCAAATATACACTACATTTAAGTTTAAACTTTTCAGCATCCCAAGATCCATCTCTACCCACCATTCAACATTGTTTCTGTATATTGGCAAAAGGTTCCACTTAGATACCTGTGTGTACACTAGGGGAATTCCAACCCAGTCATAACCAAATAGCAGGCTACACCATGATCGATAACGATTCATCTCCTAAGTGGAAAACAAACAAACACAAACACAAAATTTATGTGGTCACTGAAGAGAATGATTTCATCCTTCTTCTTATTAGCATGGTGGAACTTGGTAGAAATAGTGATGTAACAGACTCTCTGGCTGCAATTGGTTTAACTGATGTGATGTCACAGCGTAGCAGAGCAGGATTGGTTTAGGCAGTGGATTGCCTAGGGGGATGGCAGATCTTAGAGCTAGAACCCTAAGGCTGGAACCTTAAAGCCAAACAGTAACATTTTATGAAATTAACAGTGAAATCTATACATGTCTACTCAGAAGTAAGTCCCCTTGAATTCAATGAGGCTTGCTCCATCGAGGTATCTGTGGATAGGATTGCAGCCTAAACTATGCAATTATATCCTGGATTTCTCAGTTGAACTTTACATCATATCATTGCTACAGACCAGAGGAGGTCACTTTTGTATGACAGCTGACAATATAGTTGTATTTTTGGAACACACCTTTCATGTTTCCTGGGGCCAGGAGCAGCAATTTTAATGTCTTACAAAGTCCTAGAATGACACTACTACGAGGGCATTGTGGGAAATTAAAATGGCAGCTCCCAGACCCAATTGCCTAGTACTGCTGTTAGGTAAGCCAGAGGAGGCTCGCCAACATAGGAGGAGAATCACTAGTGGGCACTTTGTCTGCCCCACACTCAAGCCTGACAGCAGCCCTGCAATAGGCTACAAATGCAATAAAAATAAGGCATTCAAAATGCGAACCAATGGAAGGGTAGGATGTGAAGATGCCTTGTCTGGGGCGTCATCTGATCTAGGGCTGGCCCTGGTGTACTGTAGTGTAGGATGAAACCCAGTCACTATGATATAATGGAAAGGAAAGAGACAGGCCTATGGTTTATATACGTAAAACAGGCATGTTTAAGAAAGAGCACACCCCCTATGGCGTTAAGCTGTGTTGGCTTACTTACGATCAAAAGGGTCTGCAAGTCTACACTGTCTCTGATCCTTCCGTCCTGTCGCGCTTTCGCTGCCAAATTTCCAAACCAGACAAAGGGGACCCAGTATTTAAGGTGGGGAGATTTAAGTTCATCAAATATTTTCCTTTCCTCTGGTGTCATAAAACCTGTTTATAAAGAGATAGAGTTGCCTTTGGATCTCCTATATTTGTTCGGAAAGCGCATCTTCTGAAGCACATGACCTCAAACAACCTTACTCATTTCTGCTTGTACTCATGTATTATTAAAAGGATGACCATAAACCCCTTCATACAGACAAACGTTATGTCTAAAACAAGGGTGACAAATTGGCTCTTGAAGTAGTTTTATATGACCCTTAATGACCCAAGCAAATTGTAGTCAAGGTGTAGTTAAAAAACAAAAAATTGTCAGTTTCACCTGAAAGAAAGAGAAGCAACAGCTCATGCTGTGTACTGCATATATATGGTGGTCCCAAACCACCTTTGGGGTTGGTCTGGAGGCAGCAGTTGTGCAGAATGTGGAGGATAGTAGTGACTTGCGGTGAATTTTTTTGTAGGGGAACAGTTAGAGCCAGACATATCAGCTTTTGAGGACATTTTTTTGGGGGGTGGAGTTTGTTGTGTGTGTGAGCATCGCGCCTTCCTCCCTAAACTGGGCAGAAGCTTCCTTGGCTTTGGGAAGGAGGTGCCTGGCCTCTGACAGAAACTCTGACAATGGGTTTCTACCATTTTGAATCTAAGCTCTTAAAGTAAAACTGCACCTGCTTGTGGAATCCCATTTCCTATAATGCTACATTTAGCAGGATTGTCATGGTTCATGCATCACCCTAAGTACTTACTAACGGGAAAAGCAACTCCCAGGATAAGGACGGAAGTGCTGTTTCTCTTTCTGACGATGTGGCCCTGTGCCTTGTCTATTGATACGTCAAAATATTCTGCCCCTGCTCAGTTATGGCCACATGTGACGTGGCTGAGATGGAGAAGAAAAGAAATGGACAAGTACCTCCTTCTACCACGTGGTCCATTGTTGGAAATCGCTTATAGACAGCTGTGCTCACTGAACGGAAGATGAGGAGGGACGTTAAATTCACGTAACGCATTAGAGTTCTTCTGAGCAAGCGGCCGTGCTCGTCTCTCCCCTGGATAGTACTGGAGATCAAGAACATAAGTCTGTCTGGCCACGGCAGATTTACAAACTGGTTCCACCAACGGTTCACCACCAAAGTAACATAGAAGCCTAGAAGTTTTGAAAGATCCCGATTCACATTCGTTGCTGCAAATCATCACATAGCTTTGGCTCTTCTAAAAAATGTGCACAGTTAAAATATACACCTAGGCTTACAACAGCTCTGTCATGGAAAGCACTGGGGCCTATAACTCAGTAGTGGGGAACTTGTGGCTCTCCAGTTGCTTCTGGACTCCCACCCATCCTAGTCAGGTAGCACAATGGTTAGGGCTGATGGGAGTGGCAGTCTAGTAACATCTGGAGGCCGGGGTGCCAACTTAAATAAAATATGGGGGGGAGCAGGGAAGCCTCGCCAATTGATCACAAGATGTGGCACACACACACCATTTGAATGGCAATGTCCATCAACTTTTGGGGGGGCAGGCCCTTCAAATATTTTATTGGGGGGATTGAAAGCACCTCAGCCCCTAGGAGTTGGCTCCTATGTCTGGAGGGCCAAAGGAGTTTTCCCACCACCGCTGTAGTTGTTTTGTGAAGTCAGATGTCTTGACGGGAGTATTCAACAAGAAAATATCACGACAGAGCAGCAAGTGCATTCCTACTCCCACGCCACAATTCAAGGTGCACAGCACCCAAGACCAGCCATATTATTTTGGCAACAAGAGGCAGAAAATTCCACAAGAACTTCCCCTCCTTCTCCTCCCAAGCAGTAAAAATACATTCCTAATAATTTAAATAACAACTCACTGCCTATTCATGATACCCTAAAGCAACTGCCTGGAGCGGAAGCTACACTCTGCCAGCCCTGGTAAATGGGGAGAAACTATTGCTAGCACATCTCCTGTCCTCAGACTGGTACTGACATTGTGATTGTACCAGCATCAGAGCAGCTTGTGAACTGAGCTGCCTACTGGCTGTACAACCCTGGTGCATATGATGTGCAGTTAATATTGTTAAACAATTTGGGAGTAAGAAATCTGGGCCAATCTACCATGACTCACCCAGAGATCTATCCAGTAGATCCCAAACGCCTTCCTGCCCATCCCTGCTTCAAGGTTAGTGGTGAAGTCCTAAACGAAGTCATGGTAATTATGGGATATATATATATGTATATACTCACCAAGCACAAAAGTAACTGGGATTTGTTCTGCATATTTGTCACAATAAATGGCCAGTTTTTCAAAGTATCGTTTCTGGCTACCAGTAAGAAAAAATCTGCAAGGACAAAAGAAAAGGGGGGGGGGGAGAAAGATATTAGTTTTTCAAATTAGTTTTGTATAAAGAGCAGGTTAATTCCCTCTTAAGAATATAATATGGGCAAGCAGGAATACTAGTATTAATAGTCATTTACTGCATAGGAGGTGATAAGGAAGCTCGTCTGTGTGTTTCACAATTATGACAAAAGCCACTGCTCCGAGACTGACAAGTGAATGGAAAAATCTCAGATATGCAGAATGAAATGCATTATACAACTATTATTCCAGGCATATAACTCATTGGGGCATGCTTCTCAGCAGACATGTATAGGCTTGTCCCTGCTTAGCAACGTGGGTGAAAATGAGAAATATTCAGTGCATTATGACAATATTTCTATAACAACACAATTCCGTATAACGGTAATAATACAGCCCATTAAAAATAGAGATCTGATTATATAATCCATGGTGGGAAAGGGGGAATCAGTCAAACAATGGCCATAACAGCTTATGCAGGTTGTGAATCTTGGAGGTTGTGAAAGATGCAAACTCTAAATCCACATCAGCACCCAGATCAAACTATGCAGATTGCATCTAAACGACTCTCATTAATATTCAGGACATTCCCCAAAAGATCTATAACAACACAAAATTGGCTAAATTGCACCCTCCTTTTTTATTCATTTATAAAAAACAGTTTTACACCACCTTTCAGTCCTAACTAGGGCCCCCTGTAGGAGTGAACAAGAAGACGATAACAAAATTAAAATTCAACAACAAAATTAAAACAGAAAATTTCAGATCAAACAAGAGCACAGTAAATGAAAATCCATTGCAAGCATGCAGCATTATAAAACATTTTTGCTGCCTGCCTAAATGTCATCAGAGATGGGGCCAGTCTAATGTCCCTGGAGAAGCTGTTATGTGATCCAACTCTGAAGAAACCCAAAGCTCTGGCCAAGGACACCTCATGAAGCAACCCACACTCAAAGCTCTACTTGCAGAAATTTGATAGGAAAAACCATCGCAAGACATAAATGGGCCTGTTTTTGCTAGAATATATTACTAATTGGGGGAGGGGAAACTATAGCTCTCCTATTGACATATTGTTATAATTGAGTATTTGTCTTCATAAAGGGATGTAGCTTTGTTTTCACAACACTTTTGCTGTTGGATATCAGAGACTTTTCCATTTCATTGTCAGTCGGTGTAGGAGTGACTCCCAAGATAACTGCAAGCCAATCAGCTTCCTTACTGGAACAGGAGGCATGGGGGCTGCACAAGAGATCCTGGACCATGTATGCTCTTGCTGAAGCCAAGCAGGTCTGAGTCTGGTCAGTGCCTGGATGGGTAGACCTTGGGAAACCACTTGTACGCTGTCTTGGGCTCCATGAGAAAAGTAGGATATACATTTAAGAAGATTAAATGAATAGTGATATTGCATAGCTCCTTCAGTAGAGCTTGTGCAGGAGAACATCCTAGTGGATTGTGTCCCATGTAGTCATGTTTCTTCAAGTCTTTCTTTGAGTACCAATCTTTATGTGGCCTAGATAGCACCATCCTTCTACAAGAAGATACAAGCAGACCTGGGGGAAATTCAGGTTTGGAGAAGTAAATAAATTCCTTGTGGAGGAGAACAAGCCCATGTATTCGTGGCGAGGGAATAGTTCAGGCCACAGATCACTTGAGTGCTGGTGAGGGGGATGGGAGTCATAAAACTAGGAGGTGTGGGTAATCTTTTACCCTCCAGATGTTGCTTGATGACACCTCCCATCATCCTTCACCATGGTTGGCCATGATGGCTTGAGCTGATAGGACTCCCAACAACATTTGGAGGGCTACACATCCCTGGAACAGAGTATCTTGAGAAAGGGCAGGATTGGCTACAACTGCATCCTGAACAGAAAACAACATACTGAAACGTTTTGTTGCAGATCCCTCCATCATTATCCAAGGAAAGATTGCAGTATGGAGTTTTTCACGAGGTGGGAAAAAAACAAAACCCAGTACCTGTATAATAGACTTATTGCCGTGTAGAGAAAAGCAAAGAGCAAAAATTCTCTGTAAAGCAGTTTGTAGATGCTTCCTTTCCACTTGAGAAGCAATCTGTGGAACCCAAAGAAAGTGGCATTTGCTACTTTGCTAGAGTATGTGACTGTCATCGCCTCTGCTGATTGCTCCTGGGAAAATGGAAAGACAAAACACAACAGGTAACCCGTATAATTTTTATTTACTTATTTGCGTATTGATAATCCACACTTTCATTTAAAAATATACACCAAGGTGGTATACTACATATAAGAATGCAATTGGGAAAAGCATCCATAAAAATGCTATTATAAGATCGAAAAGCATCATTGGTTAAAAAAGGGGTCTGAAAGAGGAGAGGGAGTGGGTCCCACCAAACCTCTACTGGTAGGGTGTTCCACAGGCCACACTAATGCCTCCTTCCACTCCCTAGTGAAGGACAATTGAAACTCAGGTGTGTGGGGGACTACCACACTTGCCCCATCGGAAGATCTCAGTACATGTGGTAGCGTTGAAGGGATCAGATGATTCTTAAAGTAATCTGGGCCTAAGCTGTCTAGGGTTTTGTGAATCAACACAAGCACCTTGAACCTGGTTGGGTAGCAAATCAGCAACCAGAGCAGCTCTCTCAGCAGAGTTACTGAGCGGAGTAACTTGTTGCCAGGAAGCTACTCCTGTGAACAGTCTGGCAGCTGCATTTTGCCCTAGTTGAAACTTTTAGAAAGGATACAGGGGCAGACCCACGTAAAGCGTGTTACAGTAACCAAGCCTTGAGGTTACCAGTGCATGGGCTATTGTGGTCAGGCTCTTGTGGTCCATAAATAGTTGCAGCTGGCATACCAGCAGGAACTGGTAAAAAACACTCCTGGTCATGGAGATCACTTGGGCCTCTGGTGACAGAGGTGGCTCAAGGTGTACCCACAGACTGCGTCCCTGCTCCTTCAGAGAAAGTGCAACCCCACCCAGAACAGGAAATCCAGCTGTCTCCTGGATCTGGGAACTACTCATCCACCAGGCCCCTCTTTCCAGGATTCAAGCTCAGGTTTTTTTTACGTAGAATATCAACTTGGACATACAGCATCACAGCAGCCACCACAAGGAACAGTGTTACCAGAGTATTCACAGCACGTACAATCTGGATGCCTGCTGTGATTTCCACAGACATAGCCTACATTTTCCCAAGCTACGTAGCTCCGAGGGATAACAATATGCTGTAAATTATGAATTCTGTAAGAGACACCGGATCCTGCAATTGTGTGGCAACCCTGCTAATAGACAGAATATATTCTATGTAACTCAAGCTGTTCTAACGCCAATCTAACATGTCATTAGCAATGATGCTGCAGCAAGCATAGAAATACCAATAGGCCCTCTGGACGAGGCATAGGCAAACTCGGCCCTCCGTATGTTTTGGGACTACAACTCCCATCATCCCTGACTACTGGTCCTGTTAGCTAAGGATGATGGGAGTTGTAGTCCCAAAACATACGGAGGGCCAAGTTTGCCTATGCCTGCGACTTTACTGGGGTTTCAACATGCTGCTCAGAATGCAACTTTCCATCCGCCAAGTAGATTCAGCAGTAGGAGATTTGTTTCCCAACCAAGGCAAATGTTCCATTCGTGGAACCTCTAGCTGAAACATTTTCAAAGCACAGATTCAGCCATTTGGGATCCAAAGTAACAAAAGGCATTAGTTGCAATGTTATTGGCAGTATACATTGGCCGTGTTTAAGAAACCACCTAACAAAGACACGAGCTGAAATCTGGCTTTACTGAAAATGGTGGAATTTAGGCTGTAATCCCCGTAACACTTAACCTGGGAGCAAGCCCCACGAAATTCAAGGGGATTTACTTGCAATGCAGACTTGCATGGTTTTATTAGCCACACATAATGGATAATGGGATTGTACATTAGCCTCCAAACCATATTATTTATTCAATTTATAACTCAAACTTTTCAAAAAAAATTTTTTTTTAAATAATAGATTTTAAAAACTCATATTGGAAAGGAGTATTAATCCAACCTCTATTCATCATTTCCCCTTTGAGGCCCTTCCATGACACCCTCCCAATAAATGAGCTCATATAAATTGATCACGCAAGCTTTTTAAAAAAGTATTAAATAATCACAAACAGACAATAATCTCCCCATCATGAAAAGCAACCACCGAATGCCTCTACAGTCAGTACTTTTAATGCAACTATAAATAACTGCTGTGGGTTTTGTGTGTGCTGTACAGTAACTGTGTATCCTAGAATTGCAAGTGTAAATAAAACACCGTAAGAACATCAATCACATGCAGGCATAAGAAAGGCTACAGCATGACTGGCCGAGGTAAATGAGGCTTTGCTGCATGTTTAAAAAACGTAATTTATTTCCCCCCAAAATATTTGTTCAAGTGTTAACTCAGGTTAACTCAAGCACGGAGAGATATCAAAATAAAAATCGACTAACCTGCTCTCCTGATGAGATCACTCAAACACGGAGATGATGATCTGAGGCCTTCTGCGCTCCCCAAGCGTGGGAGCGTTCAGGTCACTTTGTTTCCCTCTCCACCTTAGGCACACAGCCTATCAGGGCTTTAATTGCTCCCTGGAGTCCTCACCATAGCGGACTGACAAGCACAGGGGTTAACGTGTCTTTCCACTTCTGGAAGCCTGTTTTTGCCAAGTTCTCTACTGCTGTCAGCTACAACAGGGAACAAACGCAAGCAGCAGCAGCTGCTGATCTGGCTCTTTTCTAATCTATAATTATCACTCCACTTGTTATCCAAAGGAGGACCCCCTTTGGTCTGAATGCAGAACCAACCGTGGGCATGATTTGCCATGATGTTTTTTCAGCTTCGATTCCTGCCCCCCCCCTTTCTGCCATCTGCCTAGTGCAGAAGAAGTAAAGAACCACTTCAAAAAACAGGAGCCTGCTTCTTTTAAAGTGCTACAGAGCAACCTTAACTGCTCTGCAAAGTTCAAAAACTTGTGCAATTTGGTGAAGGGGAATTGGATCAATAAATAGGTATTGCTTTGCCTGCTTGCTTTCTTCTGAAGGCAATCGGTCTGTGCCTGTTTCCAGTGGTTTCTGAGATCAGGAGAATCATTACAAAAATAATGTGATTAATCTGAAGATTAGGAAGATGTATGAGGTCTGGGATTCTGGGCTTAAAAAAAATCCTAAATCCTGTTAGCAGAAAATGGGGGGGGGGAGTCAATTAGAATAAATTATGCACATTGAACATGTCATTTGTGAGTGTGTTTTATGTAACCTGACACATGATGTGAATATGCTTTGTTTTGGTGGCCCAGGGTTCTTGGTGGAAGAATTAGGAATTCTGTGATGCATTTTCTCTCTCCTCCACAGCCTACAAGATGAGGAAGGTTAGGGGTCTGACTGGTGGGGCAGGAGGCTTGCTCATTCCTTGGAAACGAGTGGAACTAGTGAGAAGTAGTGGCTCAGGGAATTTATTTGGGGCTTGAAGGGACCAATGTCTGGAATGCAGAGTAGAATTAGTTAACATAAATAATACGACATGGTAGATATGTGAGATGAATGAATCAGGACTTAAGTCTGACATGTGATGAAATGGTTGCATTATTGACCAAGTTTTTTAGGCTTTGCTAGTGACATTGTTCTCGACTATTTTTCCAGTACTCAGAGATACCGTAGTTTATTCTGATACATCAATTCAGTAGTTCATTCAGGTTTTCCACTTAATAAACATATAGGCCATCAGCAAGAACTAGGGATGGATGAATCTGCCAGTTTCCCCCGTTTCTTATGTTCCTACTCTTAGATTCAGTTCTCCACATTTTTGCAGTACTATCCAATTTAAAAAACAAAACAAAACTTAACAAAAATTCACCAGCATTTCAGTGTGTATGTCCACTGATGAGAATTTTTTTGTATGCACCTAAACACGTTACAGGCAATTTCCTTTAATATATGCATATTTGTATAGTAATTTCACTAATACATGCATTTCTTTCTCCATACAGTGGTACCTCAGGCTAAGTACTTAATTCGTTCCGGAGGTCCATTCTTAACCTGAAACTGTTCTTAACCTGAAGCACCACTTTAGCTAATGGGGCCTCCTGCTGCTGCCATGCCGCCGGAGCACAATTTCTGTTCTCATCCTGAAGCAAAGTTCTTAACCCAAGGTACTATTTCTGGGTTAGCGGAGTCTATAACCTGAAGCGTATGTAACCTGAGGTACCACTGTATTCACTTTCTCCATGTTCAAGCATTTTTGTACACGTTGTTGGGTGGCAGAACTGCATCAAGTGTGAATTTCAAAGGCTAGCTGGGTTTCAGTCTGAGTGTTGGTTCAAGAAGTGTGAAACAGGTAGTTTCTCATTGACCATACAAACAAAACTGAATTTTGCCTCCATCCCAAGTAAGAACCTTTGTACAGTCGTACTTTGGAAGTCGAACAGAATGTGTTCCGGAAGTTCGTTTGACTTCCAAAACGTTTGGAAACGAAAGTGCAGCTTCTGATTGGCTGCAGGAAGCTCCTGCAAGCGTATGTAACCTGAGGTACATTCGGCTTCTAAAAATAGTTTGCAAACTGGACATTCGGCTTCTAAAAATAGTTCGCAAACTGGAACACTCCTGCATTTGTGTTTGGGAGCCAAAACGTTCAAGAACAAGGCTGTTCGAAAACCAAGGTACGACTGTACTTGGGCACTTCAGTCTGTGTGAGTGATCTCGTGTGTGTAGATTGGCTGTGTACAAAGGATTGCTATAGAGGGGGCAATTGTACCTTGCACTCAGGGGCAGAGAACCTATGGTCCTCCAGTTCTTATTGGACTACAACTCCCATCATCCATGGTCACCATCTATGCTGACGGGAGTTGAAATCCAGCAGCATTTGGAGGGCAACAGGTTCCCCAAGCCCGCCTTGTTTAGTACCTGGGATGAATTTGCAAAGCTCAACTCTGCACTGACAGTACCTCTTAGGAGGGAAGAACAGGGAATTGAGACGCTCCATCTTTGCCAGCGATCAAGAGATCAGCACTTTTACAACTGCTAGCACTGCTAACATTTTAGATGCTAATGGGTATTCAGTGAGTGCAGCAGTAGGTACCCCGATCCTCTGCTGGATTGGGGCCATGGTCTTTTTGCTCAGGGGCACCAGCTGCTTGCTCAGTTCTTGGCAGTGTCTAGGAAAACACTGGCTGCGAAGAGCAGACATTTCCCTTTCCAGACAGAACAAAAGCCTGCCAGAAATGTGTGAGCAAATGGGGAGAGGATTTACTTAGATGTATATGTGTTTAGGATCCTATCCAGACATTGTTATCAACCACTTATTCCAGTATGGGGATACTTCAATAGTTTGTTGACAATGCAGTACTTCAGGTATGCTGCGAACATTCAAACTACAATCTTAAAACTGATTTTTAGAGAATCTGCATCTTATACCTTAGTAGAGTTTATTATTTCTGAGTAAATATACACAGGATTGAACTGTAAATTTCCAAGAATTATACTACTCTCATACTGATATAAATATAAAAATATAAATAAACACAGCCACAGCAATATTTGAGTTTTAACAAGTCTTGAGAATTAGGGAGTTTTTCTATCTTGGGTTGATTGCTAAGTGGTCTTACCTCAAAGGAAGCTCTAGTCTGCAATTCTGAATGCACTAATGTCCTTTCAGTGCCATGTAAATTTCTCTTTATTTTCTAACACTGTTTAAATTTTTATTATGTTGTGATTTAGTTCTCTGATAGGTTTTACTTCTTTGCTCTCTACTTTAATTGTTATGATGCTGTGGTGTTTTATTTGTTTGTTCTAAGTGATCTATTTGACTTTAAAGCTATCTGATTTTAAAGCTGTGCTTTTGCTGCATTTAAATTGTCTTTCACAGTTTCTTCTTGCTTCCATCTTTGGGCTAGTATAATTCTTTCCGCAGTTGTTGCATATAAAAACAATGTTTTATCCTGCTTGTGTATTTCTCTGCCTACTAGACCTAATGTGATTTTTAAAATTATCGTTTTCCTTTGCAGGCCACCCAGAGACCTTCTGTTATATGGTGGCTAATAAATCAATTGAATGATTAAATAAATGAGTATTCAATTGGGCTTGCTTCTGAATAAGCATGCATAGGATTTGCTCCTTCTGCTAGGCATAGTCTTCAAGATATTTAAATAAATCTTACGATTTACATTAAAATTTATATCCCACTTTTCTAGACAAAATGTCAACTCATGATGGCTTTAGAGTATCTTAGGATAAAACAATGACACAAAACAATACCAAATTCATTAAATCAATAAGCCAACAATAAAACAATGGAAACAGAAGAGACAGAAACCAGGGGGAAATGATATATTTCATATTGTGTTTTAGCATTTTATCTTTATGAGGATGCAGAGGACTGTGTAATTGAGCAGTTGATAGAAATACCACAAATAAAAAATATATTTAAAAAAGTGAATTTTACATTTCAGAATTGAAAGGTATCGCTTGATCTTCACCCCTTGATTGCACCCCTGCTTCGGCCTTGACAAGGAAAACCATTCACACACAAAAACCCCCACTTTTAATTAAAAGTAGCATTTCCTTCTAAGCAGTTGCTAATATATTTATTGGCTATAAGAATTTCTGGGTCTTGGCCGCACTGTTATCTTTCAAGGTTAGCACATACTGCTTTGCAAAACTAACAGTTTTAAGTTCTCAGTGTACCCTGGTTAAAACACAGCTTTCATTAACTTTCATAATAAAATACCACAACTTTATTGAATTAAAAAAAAACCAATAGAAACAGAATAGGGGGTTTACTACAGTGATATACATATATTTGAAAGCATTCTATGTAATCAAGAGTAAATCTATCATAAACAAATGTTACAAACGAGCATTGATTTACTGCGTTGCCAAACACACAAACTGGTCATGGCGCTTCTGCTGTAATGAATAGGCTCTAAGGCTACATTTCTTGGTCCGTTTGGCCGGGAAAAACAGATTCCCTGAGGATAAGGGATGTGGGTTCAAGGCGTCCCTGCGGTGAACAGCTCGGTTTGTGTCAGCAGTTCCAGTGCGCATCCTGCCAAGTTCGTGGGAGGAATTGCCACCCGTTCCTGAGTGGACACACTGCAAGGACCGGAGAAAAAGCAACGGCCGTGCAGAAAGAAGGTACCTCGAGGACAAAGGTAAGCTCCACAGGGTATAGGTGGGAGCAAGCAAAGAGAGTTTGATCAGCTCCACCAGTAGAGCAGTAAAAAGTGCCACTGGTTTTGGTGTCGCCCAGAAAAAGCAGTAAAAGGTCTCTTGGGCCCCGGTCGAAGTTGTGAAGCGCTGCCGGTTGTGGTTTTGGTTTTTGGTAAAAAAAGGGATTGAGGGAGGTGCATGGGTTTCTGAATGTGCGTGTGGGGACACTCCAGTGAATGTTTTGAGTGTGTGAGACGTTGAAAGCAACGTCTGGCCTGTGACTGAGTGAGAGAAATTACATTAGGAGGAGGGAGTGTCCCAGTGTCCCAAGTGTTCCAGGGTCCCAGGGTCATGGAGAAAAAGCAGTAAAACAACTCCCACGACACCCCCCCACAATGTTTCCTGGGGGAAAAAATTGGAAAGACGCCGTGAAAGTAGAAGATTGGGGATTTTAAAAACCTGATGAAAAATAGACTCCAAACACTTATGTGAAGTTCCTAACCGTCCCCCATGGCTTAGGAAAAAATAGAACTGTGATTAGCCCAAGCCAAAACTGTGCCCAGTATGGCAGCAAGTACAAGTTCGAAAAAAACCCAGCAGTCTTGCCAGACCCAGAAGAGGAAGGAGGAATAATTAGCCCCCCTCCACCCTATGCAGCACCTGCACCAGGGCTAAATGAGGTTCCCCCTACCCAACCCCCAAAGCAAAGAGACTGAGGAAGAAAGACAAGAGGAAGTTGAGAATGGTGAAATTCAGAAGGAATCAGGTGAAATGGACAAGCAGACAGTCCAAAAGAGTATTTCAGTATGTGAATTGGCAGAAAGAAAAGAGCAGAAGATTTTAAAGAGCCGCGTGAGGTAGAGCCAGTAAGCAATCCAAACGAGTGAGCTGGATGTGGCTTCTTGGTTCTAGAAGCTTCACAATGCAAGGATGTGAAGAGGCAGACAGAAAGAAAAAGAGCAGAAGGCTTTGAGAGTCGCATGGGACAGAACTGTTAAAAAAAGAGACAATTAAACCCGGGGGATTAAAAGCCCTAGGATTACAATACTGACCATTGAGGAAATCCGCAAGATAAATGCCCTCAGGGCAGCGGACAATACTGATGTTGCAATTGAGGCAGCTAAAACTCCACTTTGATGGCCCCGCCCCACCGAGTGTACGACCCCCTGGAGCCATCCGACGCCCAGGACCACAGACCTCCAAGCACCCTAAATCAGAATCCTTCTTTCGAAGAGGACCCGGCCAAAATAAAAAGGGGTTTGTCTTCAAAGAGCCAGCAGCCAGAAAGCCAAAAACGCAATCCTGGAGCGAGCGAGGGTGTCCACGGGAGGGGCAGAAGACGCCTAGGGAAGAAACCAGTGTGCCATCTGCAGGCAAGAGGGTCATTGGGAAATGGAATGCCCACAGGCCCCACGCCCGACACACCCCACCCCCACAGGCTGGGAACAATAAGATTTCTCAAAAATGATTTCTTCTCATCTTTCTTGCTAAAAGACTGTTGCAGTTAGCACAGCACAGCTTCTTAAAAGCAAGTGAACAGACTGTTTCTTAAAATTCATTCATGCAAGTAACGGGACATCAGCTTTTCCCCCCCTTGAAGCAGCTTCAGAGTGTTATCTCTTGGCTGCTATCCCAAGAGGAAAATGCTGTATTCTCACCAACCAACTACCCTGAACCCCACACTGTCTGGATTTACAGTCAAGCGACAAAACCCAGAATGCCAAGGGTTACCCACCCCTCTGCCCCAAGCACTAACCGGGAAAGTGACTTTCTTAAAAGCAAGTGAACGCTTTCTGTGAACTTTGTCAAGTTTTTCTTTTTAGGAGCTACTGAAGAAGCGCGGCATGCTCAGATCCAAACGCTTCTCCTACATAGGAATTTTGAAACTTTGAAACTTTGGAAGTTTGCCAGTGCACGGGAACACCGTGCCCCTCACTTGGCAGATGAAAACTGAAATTTGCAACATGGCTTACAGGCCACAAAAGCTCTGAAACTTAGAGCACAGGAATGAGACGTTTGGAAAAATCTCAGCTGGCAAAAACTTAACCCAAGGAACAGAACTGTTAACCCCTTGCAAAGTTTCCTGCCAAGCATACCCTTTTGAGTTACTATTCCTTATATGCAAATGTTACCTATGCAGTCGTTCTGCCGTGTTTTGCTTTCTCTTCTTTTAACAGGTGGACTTTTGCCAGAACACAGCCTCTGCATCACTAGGAACCAGCTGATGAGGACCCAGATTGGACCCAGACGCCCAGACGCTCCAGCCTTGTTGGAAGGGACCCAAGATGCCCAACGCCCACCAGACGCCCCGATGCCCGTGAGATGACCACCCTGCCTTCCTGCATCACGCTGACGCTTTGCACGGCTCAAGAATCCAGCATGGATTGAAAGAGGACATTTTCTCATTTCCTTTCCTTTCCTTTTGCATAACTGAACTTTATAGAAGGTTGAGGGCCCTTGGATAGCCTTACAACACCCCTGCAGAGAAGGGTATTTGTGTGGGACGTTCAATCAGGGAAATTATGCCCCAGCCTCCTTTCATTATCTTGCCACCTGGTAGAGCTCCACCCAGAGCCTCCAGAAGCCCCCCTGTGAACCACAGCACCAACTTGGTAATAACCCTGTGCACGAATGGCACAGATTAGCACCGTCTGCACTCTGGCACCTGTAGATGCTCTGAGGGGGCTGCCGCTCCTCCCTGTGCCATGGAATGAATCCTCAGTTACAGCCTCAATCATTCCATCACCGAATTACTGGCTGGCTTTGTGTCAATAAATCAAAGAGCGCCAGTGACAATCTACAATCGTACGTCCCCAGCCCAAACTGTTACACCTGAGTCCACGCCAGGAACTTTTTCTGGCTGCAATGTGGGCTTCAGAAGGGGGGGGTGTATCTGCACGCATGCTTCGCCTCCAGATTATAGCGCTGGCCCAAGTATACCAGCCTGTGCCTTCCTGGGACGAGCCTTTTTAAGAAAAAGGCTGTCCAAAGATTAAGAGGGGGGAATGAAGGAAGGTGAGGACAGGTGACCTCACCTAGGCCCGAAGTCACCCCCCCACCAAAGCAGGCTCAAAGCTTCTCAAAGCTTTTCAAAATCATTTTCTCAGCAGCTAAGCATCAGAAACATTCCGCTCTGCTGTAACAAAGGTAGGGAACACAGTCCATTGTTTCTCAGGCTTTTGGCCTTGCTAAAGAACCACATTGCAACTTGCTTCCTGTCCGGGAACCATGCCAGAACAAGAGATTGAAACATATCTGAACACTCTGAAACTCCCGCCCCCCCTTTCCTGGGAAGGGTGCCAAGAGTCCAACAGTCCCAAGACAGCTTTCTGTTCATGCTCAGAGGAACTCATGGGCAGGACTCCTGAGGGAGGAGAAAGGAGGAGGGAACTAGAAAGGGGTATATATGCTTGTGCACATGACTGTGAACTTCGTGCATGCTTTTTGTGGACTATCACACTTGCTCCTTCTACCAGTTCATGGATGGTAGAAATAAAAAAGCCTTTTCTCCGAAACTATTCCTTGAGTGTCTGTTGACTCCCACTTCCCTTTCCCAGGCGCAATATTTTTCCCACCCGAGGGCAAAGCCTCATAAGGCTACACTGCTTTATTTAGGCTGTCAAGGAACTACGTCGAAACAATACCGGTCCCCCCAAGGATTTGTTGCAGTTAGTCAGCGCTTGCCTCCTGATCAATGCTCAAATTTCAGGGGGCTACGAGGCAGGAGGAGCCCAGACCACTCCACTTATCCCTTTATAAGCGCTAGAAACCAGACCGCTGAAGCTACAACAATTTGCAAGCTGCCCGGCTGAGCGCAAAGGGAGAGCTTTGCAGAGTTTCTGCGCCTCTCTTCTTCTTCCCCATTATTGGGGCCCGGACAGGCGTTGAAGTGACGGGACGCAGCCTCCAGGGGGAGCCCGCGGAGCCCTCTGGCGCCGCCTACCTGGACCTCCTCCTCCTCCTACCCAGCGGGCCGCTGCTTCTTACCTGGCATCTGATTACTGGAGTTCCGCCCGGCCCGAGGGCGCCGCGTCCCCTTGGGCGCATGCGCGGCGGCTCCCCGCCTCTCCGCTTGCCCTCTTGTCATCAGAGACTGGCTGCAGCCGCCGAAGGAAGAAGGAGCAGCGCAGGGAGCCGCCGCCGCCGCCGCCTTTGGCAGGGAAGCGTCTCACTCGGCTTGGCAGGTAAGCCTTTTCTGTCCTTCTCTGCAACTCTGGCTCTCCGGGGCGCCCCAGCCCCACCTGTGGCACCTTCTCGCCTCCCACCCCGTCGGGGGCTCCTCCTCTCCCAGGGCAGGGGCTCCCCGGGGCACCCGAAACACGCAGCCCCCGAGCAGCCGGGACGCCTGGAGGGGAGGCCCTTCCCTTCCCCGCCGCCGCCGCCTCCGTCCCTGCTGTGTTTTGCTAGGCACCCATGGCGGAGAGGCGCCCTTCTGCGCCCCTCTCTTTCCACGCGGGGTGCGCCTCCAAGATCACTTCCAGCCCTCAAACTCGACGGAGTCACCTTGCCCAAATACGCTCAGGAGCGGCTCCTTCTCTCCTCCCCCACCTTAGTGCATTCATCAAGGAGGGTGTCTAACAACCATATACCGATGGCACCAATTTAGATGCGAGAAGGGGTGAATGAAGATAGTATTTGATGGGGGGGGGGCTAACCTGATGCAGCTCCCTAGATAGCACTGCATTTAACGGTGTTTCTTAAGAGAGGGTTGGACACCCAGGATCTATGGTTTTTAAACCCTTGACACTCTTTTAAGTGGTTTTGCATTCATCTAAACACCCTATGAGGTTCCCAGTACTCAGCGCCTGTGGCCCGGCCATCTGCAGACGGCCACATTTTGCACAGTCAGTCTTTCTGTTGTTTTTCAGAAAGCCAGCAAGTTGGAAAGCCTGCAAACGTGCAGAGTAATGTTTGCAACCCTGTGGCAGCCATAATGATGTCTGGCCAGCCAGTCGTCTGCTGTATTATCCGAGAGCGTTTGTTGTTTCTATGCCCTGCTTTCCCGGCTCTGCCGGCTACATAATTTAATGCTGTTCCCAGCTGTCTTCCCCTATATTCCATCTTGAAAGCAGAATAAATTATACAAGGGCAATATATGCAAGTTTAATTAGCACAACTTATTCTGAACTTGATCTTGACTGAAGGGGGACTAGAATTTGGGAGGATGATAGAGACAGCTTTGCATAAGAAACGAAGTCAAATGAATTTAAGAGGCAAATTTCATGAAGGGAATGGGAAGGTGCTGGTAATTGTTGCTTTAAAAATCAACATGGAGAACAGATTGGAATTACTCTGCATGAAGAGTTGACAGTAAAACTTTGTTTCTAGAGATAAACATTGTTGGTTTTTCATTAAAACATTGTCTTTAAAGTTTTGATACGAACTTGACAGTTCTGCTGGATGTAAAGCAGAATGTGTCCGTTCTTAAAATTAAAGTGTCCATTGTGTTGTCTAGAACAGTTTATCAATAGGAGACCTACTTTCAATAGCATGCTAATACCTTGTAACTGGAGATTACCAATACTGTAAGTACTACAGATTTAAGGTAACAGTATTATGAAATTGAGGTTAAGTTGAAGGAAGGATAAATGGAGTCTCTGTTCCTTCACAGTTAATGTTAAAAGTTCTGGATGGTGGCTTGTGGGGAACAAAACAACTATTTTCTGAAGCAGTGTTTGGTTTGAAAAAGTTGTGAAAGCAACTTTTATTTTGATAGGTCTTGTCTCTCTCATTTGTTCAAGTTCTTCCTTGTCTGCTAGAGCATTAAAAATAAAAAAAGAAATAATGTATGGTTCTTTGAAAATTGCTTCTAACATAGATGAAAGGTTGATAATGCATGCATTTGAATGTCATTACTGCATAAGTTTAATCTATTATACATGAAACAAGGGGGATGGTATGCAGAAATTAAAACAAAATTGTGTGCTTTTTTATGTTTCTGGCAGTTTATGTACCGTATGTTTCCTGTTCTCTGTGCATGGTCACATCACCCTTTATCTGTCCCCTCCCCCCCTTAAGTCCTTTGTCTATTCCACTCCCCAAGGCCATTTAGTAGTGCTAGAGTTCTGTTACGCTAGGTTAACATTACCTTGAGAATAAAGAGGGATAAATAATTTATCCTAGTCATTATGCTTTTAATAAATAACTAATGTCCATGTAACTTGCAGCTGACACTTAATACTCAAATCTCATTTTAGAAGGGCCATATTTAGTGGAGAATATTCAAGTGTATCTTAGAATTGTCATTTTCGTTAGAGCAAAACATATTTTGAGTGTCATGACATCTCCTTAGCACCCTGCAAACAAATATATTTTGAAGATTTTAAAATGACCTAGAAGCAAGTTAATGGATATTCTAATAGTGCACATTGAAAAGTCGCCTTGTACTCAGCACAGATTGCTATGGGCACAGGTATGCAAATTTAATTTGCCCAATGCAAGTAGTAAACAGTATTACCCCTAGCTTGCCTAGGAATCTAGTCCTGATTCATAGCCTCATTGCCATGCACATTCTCTGTCAACTGCTGTTTATCACTGGTTGCCATGCTCCTTGGATACATAGGCTACTGTCTCATTTGTTTACCTGCAGCAGCAGTTCTTCACACTGTGTCTGAGAACTGGTTATTCTGAGGAGCAGTACCACTAGTCAGACTGAGCAACTGATAATGATTGGGGAAGCAGAGAGATTTAGGGGGCAATGCAATACAGTGGACTCTTGGGTTGTGAACATGATCCATGTGGGAGGCACATTCACAACCCACAGCGTTCACAACCCGCAGCGCAGCACCGTGTCTGCGCACACGTGGGTCGTGATTCGACGCTTTTGCACATGCGCAAAGCACCGAAACCTGGAAGTAACCCGTTCTGGTACTTCCAGGTTTGGTGCAGGGTGCAACCCGAAAATGCGCAACCTGAAGTGCCTGTAACCCGAGGTATGACTGTAATCTGGAAAAAGGAGGGGATATTATAGCTGTCATTTGGAGTTTGGGCCTAATTGATTTAACAGTATTTCTGGCCTTAGGGTTTGAGTTAGTAGGTAACATTATGCAGCCACAAAGTTGTGTTTTGCTTGCCTGATATAAGTCCTGCACTTCTGTTAGCCCTCACTCTGTTTCCAAGATCACCTTGGTTCATTGCACTGCCTGTTTCATGTCATCCAGCAAGTTGTTCTGAGCTAGTGATATAGCCCCGCTGAGTCATTGCCTCAGTGGATTAGGTGCTTATTGAGAAGTGGCTCAGTGACCCAGCAGAGCCGCTGAGCAACTTTATTTGTAACATGCACCAAATACATGTTTGTAGTGATTACATGTCCATGATACTAGGAAAAGAAACAAGCAAGGCATCCTTCGTATAACCTCACATACCTGCTATTGAATACACAAATTGCCATTTGTAAACCACTGAGCCTCCTGGGCTTGCCGATCAGAAGGTCGGCGGTTTGAATCCCCGTGACAGGGTGAGTTCCCTTTGCTCTGTCCCAGCTTCTGCCAACCTAGCAGTTTGAAAGCATACCAGTGCAAGTAGATAAATAGGTACTGCTGTGGCAGGAAGGTAAACTGCATTTCCATGTGCTCTGGTTTCTATCACGGTGTCCCGTTGCACCAGAAGCGGTTTAGTCATGCTGGCCACATGACCCGGAAAGCTGTCTGTGGACAAATGCCGGCTCCCTCAGCCTGAAAGCAAGATGAGCGTCACAACTCCATAGTCGCCTTTGACTGGACTTAACCGTCCAGGGGTCCTTTACCTTTTTTTACTATCTTTTACTCTGACTGATAGCAGCTCTCCAGGGTCTCTGCTAGCCACCTTCTACCAGAGAACTTTTATGCAAAACATAGCATCTATCACTGAATAATGGTCTCTTCATGTAGGGTTTAATTCTATACACTCTTGCTGCTTTTTTCCTAATAACAGAGGTGCAGGAGAGGAGCATTTTCTATTGGTCTGTGCAGGAGATTTATTTTATTATCACACCGATGTTCCTCTTGCCACAAGAGTGCTGAAGATGTTGTGTATGCTTCTCCTCACAACAACCTTGTGTGGCAGGTTAGGCTGAGAGCCTGGCCCAAGACTGTCCAGTTAACTTCACAGTTGGGTAGAGATTTTCCAAAGTTCTGGTCCAACATTCTAACTGCTATACCACACTGTCTCTTTAAATGTTTGGCTTTAATGGAAACTTTGAGATTTAACACTAAAAGTGTAGAGGATAAGAGTAGCAGAAGAAGAAGTGGAACATTTCCTGCCAAATAAACATTAACTCAAGGGAGTCGCGTCCTTTGATCAGGGGTAAAAAAAACCCCATAGCTTTGTGTTGTGCAGAGATGGCAAAGATTGAAAGAATTTTGCTAGGAAGATTACATTTAAAATATTTAACGAAAGACACATTCTTTGGAATTTAAGATAGATAAAGCTCTAAGCTTAAGATCTTTGACCAGCTCAACTCCATAGTAAACCAACAGTTAACATTTGTACTTCTATCCAGAAATAGTCCGCTCCTCCTCCTCCTGCACCAGGGGTTCACTTTGCATTTCTGTTATCTTCCTTACAACAAAAGTGATTGAATTCACACTTTTTTCAAAATATTCAATTACATGTTATTGCTCTTTCTTCCTTTTTTATTATAAAAAAATTGCGTCTGACAGAAATGGGCATTAGGGTTACAAACAGGATTAGAAACCTCATTCCTTAATGGAAGAACACTGAATTGGAATTAATGCAAATTCACTAGTAATGCATATAAGTTTCCACTCAAAGAGTTCTCATTTTTTAAAAAATTAAAATGCTCACTTTTATTATACAATGTTTCTTAAAATATGTAGTAACCTGGTGCAAATCTGCAGTTGAAACTAGATTATTTTTTTAAAAGAAAAGAATCTCACAGTAAACAGCAAGAGAAGTCACAAAGCAGCTTTCTGTCTTATGTTGTTATTGTTGATGAAGGTAGTCTCTGGTGATTGGTTGCAAAGGCTAGTGATGGCAGGAATCTGGGGAAACTTCCAGAATCCTCATCAAAGATGTAACTATTCCCTTGCCTCCGACATTTTTCTTTTTTTTTTTAAAGTCTACTGATTTGATTATGTCTTGCTTGATTGGGATAAATGAGGTTGCCTTGCAGGCTGTTCATTAAGGGTTTTCATGCAGAGGCCGAATCTAAATGTGGCATTCTGCATTTGTGGGCAACTGCACAGAGTGGGTGTAAGATGTCTGTGAATCTCAAAATGCCAAAAATAGCCCCAAATTGCAAAAGCCTGCTGGCGAGTCACGTGTGTTTATCAGTTCATGCTGTGTACTTAGCGGAGAATTAATCCTTCATATATAAATGTGCAATATCTTGAGTTAGCTTTCCCTTCAATTCTGTTGTGTAAGTGAATTGAGGAACCTCTCAGTCTGTTGTGCTACACATACAGGAAAAGCACAAATCCTTATGAATCTGGTGGTGGGCAGGAACTTGGAAGATAAGCAGGTTCTGTGGGTTCTCTGGAGAAAGGGCCTTTCTGGTGAATCCCCATCTCTTTTGGCCCTGGCTTACCCAACTTTAGGGACACGGGTGGCGCTATGGGTTAAACCACAGAGCCGAGGACTTGCCGATCAGAAGGTCGGCGGTTCGAA